CACGCCCACCGCCACGGCCACCCCGGCTGCTGCGCGACTGGGCTGCTGCGGCTGTGGAGGAAGAGTGGCGAAGGATCTCAGCTTCAGTGGTGATAATCCACTGAGCGACTTCGGCAGGGGTGTGGTGCTTGGAGATAAGCTGCATGTAAGCAAGCTTGTGAGCGTCGAAGGCAGGTGTGAGGCCCTCGAGGAGGTGGCAGCAGATGACGGTGTCCGGGTACACCACATCGAGTGCTGCAAGGCGCCGAGAAAGGTCTAAGACACGGCGAGTGAAAGCAGCTGCGCCAGAAGTGGAATCCATGGAGAGAGTTCCAAACTCCTGGATAAGGGCGTAAAGAGTGGCAACGTCCTGCCGATCGAAAAGGTCGACCAGCAGTCGCCACAGGTGGGAGGAGGAGGTAGGTGAGAGCTCGCGTTTGAGGGAGGAGGGGATGGTGGCGAGAAGAATGGCAAGTGCACGTCGATCAGCAACCCGCCAGGCAGTAATTTTCGTGGTGTAGTCTGCAAGTTCTGCAGTGTAGGTGTCCAGGTCCTCCTGGTACTTGTTGTAGCGGGCAGCGGCGTCGTCATAGATGCGCCTGTCATCCTCGTAACGCAGTTGCAGGCGCAGGTGCTCTTGGAGATTGGTGCGGTAGGTGCGAATGGCGGTTTCCGAGCTCTGCGGGTCGTTCACATTTGGCGCAAAGGCGGGAGGATCACCGGGGGGAGAGGGCTCGGCGCCAGGGTGGGCAGGGGCAGGTCCAGTAGGAGCGGTGGGGGCCGCGGGCTGAAGTCCACCGCCTTCCTGAAAGACAACCGAGCGAAGGTTGTAGCCGCTGACCACAACAGAGGAGAGGAGCACCTCGACGGAATGAGCATAAGAGTGCCAATTAGCAGCGGAGTTGTCAGGCAGCAACTCGAGTGCATCAACAGTGGCAAGGTCGACGGAAGAATCGGACGACGATGCCATAGAGATGAGGGTGGGTCGAGGCTAGGGCAGGAGGAGGATGGTGTGAGGGTACCGTTGCCAGTGCTGCTGCTGGCCCTGCTGCCCGTGCCGCTGCTGGTTCTGCAGCTGGTGCCGCTGCGGATGCTGCTGCGGGTAGGATGGGAGGAGGAGGACGGTGGATGAGGAGGGCGATGCTATGGGGGAGGCAAGGGGGAAGGGTGCTGCTGGTGGTGCCGCTGCTGGTGCTGCTGCTGGTAGGATGGGAGGAGGAAGGGAGGAGCGGAGGGTGGGTTGGGTGGAGGAGAAGGAGGGCGATGCTATGGGGGAGGGGCAGATCTGGGCGCGCGGAGGGCAGATCTGGGCGCGCGGAGGGCAGATCTGGGCGCGCGGAGGCCAGATCTGGGCGCGCGGAGGGCTGATCTGGGCGCGCGGAGGGCAGATCTGGGCGCGTGGAGGGCGGATCTGGGCGGGCGGAGTGCAGATCTGGGTGCGGGAGGAGGAGATCTGGTGGCGCGGGATCCAGATCTGGGCGCGGAATGATCAGATCTAGGCGCGGGAGGAGTAGATCTGGTCGCTGGAGGTGCAGATCTGGGCGCTGGAGGTGCAGATCTGGGCGCTGGAGTTGCAGATCTGGGCGCTGGAGGTGCAGATCTGGGCGTTGGAGGTGCAGATCTGGGCGCTGGAGGTGCAGATCTGGGCGCTGGAGGAGGAGATCTGGTGGCGCGGAATCCAGATCTGGGCGCAGAATGATCAGATCTAGGCGCGGGAGGAGTAGATCTGGTCGCTGGAGGTGCAGATCTGGGCGCTGGAGGTGCAGATCTGGGCGCTGGAGTTGCAGATCTGGGCGCTGGAGGTGCAGATCTGGGCTCTGGAGGTGCAGATCTGGGCGCTGGAGTTGCAGATCTGGGCGTTGGAGGTGCAGATCTGGGCGCTGGAGGTGCAGATCTGGGCGCTGGAGGTGCAGATCTGGGCGCTGGAGGTGCAGATCTGGGCGCTGGAGTTGCAGATCTGGGCGTGCCTTGGAGGGCAGCGCCTTAGGGGGCGCACGGGGAGGGAGGACAGCGCCTAAAGGGCGCGTGAAGGGAGGGCAGCTCCGTGGGTGGGGCTAGATCTGAGGAACGGGGAGGAGAGGGTGGCCTAAGGACCGAGGGAGGAAGGCGTGAGCCATTAGCTCATGATACCATGTTGCAAGTGAGAGAATTGATGCATTGAATAATGAGCCAAGAGGCTCTTTAGTACAAACAATGAGCAAGAGAGAGATGAGAGGGAAGCTTACTCTATTGGCCAATAAGTTGGCCAATGGGTGAGCTTGCTTGTGACCCAAGCAACCACAAATGTGTGTTGGTTGGGATTGGTTGAGCTAAGGACCAATCCCAACCAACCACAAAATGTGGTTGGAGGGTACACTAAGCAACCCCCCAATTGATAAAATGTGCTACACTTCTAGCCTATGTATGTTGTATAAAATATGAAATTACAACATCTGCGCCTTGCACCCTGTCTCTGCGCCTTGCACCCTGTCTCTGCGCCTTGCACCCTGTCTCTGCGCCTTGCACCCTGTCTCTGCGCCTTGCACCCTGTCTCTGCGCCTTGCACCCTGTCTCTGCGCCTTGCACCCTGTCTCTGCGCCTTGCACCCTGTCTCTGCGCCTTGCACCCTGTCTCTGCGCCTTGCACCCTGTCTCTGCGCCTTGCACCCTGTCTCTGCGCCTTGCACCCTGTCTCTGCGCCTTGCACCCTGTCTCTGCGCCTTGCACCCTGTCTCTGCGCCTTGCACCCTGTCTCTGCGCCTTGCACCACAAGGTTTGGTGCACTCATGTCTGCAACGTGTCAGTTTGGTGCGTTGTCCTTCAACCTTTTCCCCCTGTCCTTCCTACTCAAATGCCTGCACCCCTTGTTCTTCACACACAGGTGGTATTGGAGGAGCAGGGAGAGAGTCTCATCCATGCACTCTTGGACTTCTCCCCGCCTCTGCTGCACCTCTCCTTCATCCATGCTTTCCTCGACCTTGACCCGCGGGCCGTGGTGCTGCAAGAAACGGCAGTGAGGGTGAATCGTTGGCTGAGCGACCGCCAGAACCAGCACGAAGTGATTGCACGTTTCCTCACTTGCGATCGCCGATTGTGATGGTGGATTGTCCAACAACAGAACCTACATGACGTCCTCTACTGACTTTTGAGTCGACTCAAAAGTCACATCGCCGATGGTGATGATGACGTCCTCTGCTGACAAGTCTTGCTTGATCCTTGTCCCTGTGTCAGCACCGCACCGCAGGCTGTGGTGCTGCAGGCAATGGCTGTGAGGATCGTCACAAATGCTGTGTGTGTTACCGGTATGTATGATCAGCAACAGTACCATCATCACCTCGCAATGTGACGTGGCACAAGTTGATACCATACAACTGTGTCTTGGGTTTCTGCTGGAACGGCTCTGATTCGAATGGGAAATCAACACATTTTGTTCGGTTCAGCCATACGAAACGAGCCTTTTGCTCACTGAAAACGCACTAGACTTTGACGTGTCCAATCAACAGCTCGATTAGTTATCATGGCGCCAGTGGCTTCAAGTGTACATGTGCGAAGCACATCTCTGGAAGGCACAGATATGACATCACACATTACACTACATGAGCAAGACCAGCCCATCCCTCATGCATCTCGCTCGTATGCTCGAACCTCCAGTTCAGTCAAGGACGGCCGAACCACCATCAGTGCAGCATCAAAATGCTCCTGGGAAACGCATGGGGGAGTGGTATTAGATGCAACAACTGCTGCTCCTGCTGCTCCTGCTGCTCCTGCTGCTTGCGCTTGCACTTGTGCTTGTGCTTCTGCTACTGCTTTTGCTTCCCCATGTGCTGCTGTATCCTCTGCTGTATTTTCACTCCCTCCCTCCCCATTTCCAAGAACCTTTCCTCTCAATGCTGCCAAAGCAGCCTCCCTGCACAGCGCTGCCACGTCAGCGCCGGTGAACAGAGCCGTGCGGGCGGCAACAGCTGGCAGGCTGACGTCAGCAGCAAGGCGCATGGCGGATGTGTGGATCTGCAGTGCGTGCAGCCTGCCTGGTTCATCCAACGGTGGTACATAGATGATCTGATGGGGCGGAAGGGGAAGAGTTTAGGAAAGTATGATTGATTTGGGTGAGGGGGAAGGCTTGTGGATTTGCAGTGCGTGCAGCCTGCCTGGTTCATCCAACGGTGGCACGTAGATGATCTGATAGGGAGGGATGAAGGTCGGTGTGTGGAGGCTGGGGCATATGGGAAGCAGGAGTAGTTAGGGGGAAGGGGAAGGGTAAGGTGTGTGGGTGTGCAGCGCGTGCAGCCTGCCTGCTTCGTCCAACGGTGGCACGTAGATGATCTGATGGGGAGGATGGACGAATGGGGAGGAAGGGGGAAGCAGGTTCAGTATAGAAAATCACTTGGGGTGATTCAGCCCATCAATTCTGAATCTGACATGTGATTCAGCCCATCAATACCTCTACATTGACCCTGGGCGACCTTAAGTGACATATGACCGAGTAGGGGATGGAGGTGCTTTCCGAGTCAAACTGTCCCAGGCGGATAATGGCCGGATCTAGGGGTTGGAAGCGGTTGGTTGCGGCTAAGATGCTACCACCACCAGCACTGACAAGCCCATCACACTCCCCTTGCATTTACCCTGCACCACCAAGCATGACCCGTGACCAAACGGGGTGGGCACTCACTGAGTCAAACCTTCCTGGGCGGATGATGGCCGGATCCAAGGCCTGAAAACGGTTGGTTGCTGCTATCACCAGCACTGCCGAGGAGGACGAGGAGGGAGCGGATGCGTCATTTGACTTCCCTTGGTTTGTGCTCCCTGTGCTGCTTATGCTGCTACTGTCTGTGCTGCTGCTAGTGCTGCTCGCAGTGCTTGAGTGTGCGATGGGAGCAGTGAGCGACTGAAGCCCGTCCATTTCAGTCAGCAGCGCCGCTAGTAGCCTCTCTCCCACGCTGCCCCCCCCCCCCCCTTCACCAGAGCTTTCTGCATCTGATCTGGTGGGGGTGAAGTGGGAGTTGGGGACAAGGACAGGTGGGGAAAGCACTTGAAATGATGCACCTAATCGAATGTTGCGATGGGAGCAGTGAGCGACTGAAGCCCGTCCATTTCAGTCAGCAGCGCAGCCAATAGCCTCTCCCCCACGCTGCCCCCTCCTCCCCCTCCCCCTCCCCCTCCCCCTCCACTACCTGAGCTTTCTGCATCGGACCTGTTGGGAGTTGAAGTGGGAGGGGGGGCAGGTGCAGACCGGGAGGCAAACCTGATTTGGTGCACCCACTTGGTGGTTTTTGATTCGACTCAAAAGCTGATTTGGTGCACCCACTTGGTGGTTTTTGATTCGACTCAAAAGCTGATTTGGTGCACCACTTGGTGGTTTTTGATTCGACTCAAAAGCTGATTTGGTGCACCACTTGGTGGTTTTTGATTCGACTCAAAAGCTGATTTGGTGCACCACTTGGTGGGGTTGGACCAACCGGGTTGGTCAGGAGGGCACCCACTTGGTGGGGTTGGACCAACCGGGTTGGTCAGGAGGGCACCCACTTGGTGGGGTTGGACCAACCGGGTTGGTCAGGAGGGCACCCACTTGGTGGGGTTGGACCAACCGGGTTGGTCAGGAGGCGTGTGGAAACTGTCCGGGTCGAAACGAAAAACATTGCCTACCAATTATCCATTTGGACTCCACTGCACCACATCACGCTGCACTGCACCGCACTGCACGGCACTGAACCAGTCTGAACCGCTCTACACGGCACTGCACTCACCTGTGGCCCCCCACCACGTCGACCTCGTCCACAAACACGACGCAGGAAGCCGCCATGCGAGCCAGGCGGAACGATTCTTGACAGGGTCAGATCTGATTCTGTAACATACACGTAAACTGCATCGCATTGCACCACCCCACATCACGCTGCACTGTTCCGTACCGCACTGTACCCACCTGCGCCCCCCCACCACGTCAACCTCGTCCACAAACACCACGCTGGGAGCCGCCATGCGGGCCAATCGGAACGTCTCTTTGAGCATCGCCTCCCCCTCGCCCACGTACATGGAGAACAGGTCCGCACCGCTGCAGATGGAAAGGGATGTGGGAAGGAGCATGGGCCATAGGTGTGTGATTCAGAGCAGTGGCCTGTGTCTCTTTGAGCATTGCCTCCCCCTCGCCCACGTACATGGAGAACAGGTCTGCACCGCTGCAATAAAAAAGCAAAGGAGACAGGAGAAAGCATGCACATGTATGAGTTCTGAGACATCTCAAAGCGAGAAAGCACGCACATATGAGTGTCTTCCTTAGGCATGCATGAAACAACAGCCCCACTACGTTGAGAAACAGTTAGCCCATGTGCTCTTCTGAGTACAAGAGCATCGCCTCCCCAGGCTGAAAAGGGGTCTGCACCGCCGCAGATAGAAAGGGAAGGGTGCAAGAGGAAGTTTGGATGGACCATAGGTGTGTGTGTGTGTGTGCGTGTGTGTGTGTGTGCGCGTGTGTGTGTGTGTGTGTGTGTGCGTGTGTGTGCTTCAGCATCATCTCTCCCTCGCAAATGTGTTGGCTGTGCAGCAGCACCCCTCTGGGGGGACAATGAGGGCGAATCCCCTTGGGTGGACTCAAAGGGAAGAAGAGTAGAGAGGAGAGACAGGAGAAGAGCGCGCACCTGAGGGAGAAGAGCGCGCACCTGAGGGAGAAGAGAGCGCACCTGAGGCAGAAGAGCGCGCACCTGAGGGAGAAGAGCGCGCACCTGAGGGAGAAGAGAGCGCACCTGAGGCAGAAGAGCGCGCACCTGAGGGAGAAGAGCGCGCACCTGAGGGAGAAGAGCGCGCACCTGAGGGAGAAGAGCGCGCACCTGAGGGAGAAGAGCGCGCACCTGAGGGAGAAGAGCGCGCACCTGAGGGAGAAGAGCGCGCACCTGAGGGAGAAGAGCGCGCACCTGAGGGAGAAGAGCGCGCACCTGAGGGAGAAGAGCGCGCACCTGAGGGAGAAGAGAGCGCACCTGAGGGAGAAGAGCGTTGCCTTGGAAGTGTGGGCAGCGGCCAGAGCGAGCATTGTCTTGCCGCCCCCGGGGGGCCCATGCAGCAGGACACCTCTGGGGGGTGTGAGAGCCTTGAGTCGGCTCTAATGGAACAAAGAAACCCACCTGAGGGAGAAGAGTGTTGCCTTGGAGGCGTGGGCAGCGGCCAGGGCGAGCATTGTTTTGCCACCCCCGGGAGGGCCGTGCAGCAGCACTCCCCTGGGGGGAGTGAGAGCGAGGCGCAGGAAGGCTTCAGGGTGCTGTAGCGGCCATTCCACTGCCATTTGTAACCGCTTCTGAGCGGTTGAGAGTGGTGGGGAGGTGTAGACGGGGGTAGGGGCGCAGGGGAAAGAGTGAAAGGGAGAAAGGGGGGATGAGGGGCAGAGCGGCTCACTCCCTGGTCCCTGGTCCCTCGTCCCTCGTCCCTCGTCCCTCGTCCCTCGTCCCTCGTCCCTCGTCCCTCGTCCCTCGTCCCTCGTCCCTGGTCCCTCGTCCCTCGTCCCTCGTCCCTGGTCCCTCGTCCCTCGTCCCTGGTCCCTGGTCCCTGGTCCCTCGTCCCTCGTCCCTCGTCCCTCGTCCCTGGTCCCTGGTCCCTGGTCCCTGGTCCCTGGTCCCTCGTCCCTCGTCCCTCGTCCCTCGTCCCTGGTCACGAGAGAGCGCCACCTCAGAATGTCTCATGCATACCAGCCCCACACCCTCCAGACCCCCAGTTCTAACTTTATTCTCACCTTGACGCCCTCCAGCCCTCCAATGTCGTTCCACAAGACAGCAGGCAGCTCAGCCGCCACGCCACGAGTCACAGACAGGCCCACACGAGAGAGCACAGCTGTCTGCGGCACATACAGCAGTTTCCCCTTAACATACGCTCTCACCTTCACGCCCTCTAAGCCTCCAATGTCGTTCCACGTGATGGCAGGCAGCTCAGCGGCCACGCCGCGAGTCACAGAAGGCCCCACACGAGAAAGCGCCGCTTCAAAGTGCCTCATGCATACCAGCCCACGCTGATTGGTGCGTGTGGGCTTTAAGTTGCTGCATGCAGTGCTGGCATCTGTATCAGTGGCAGTAGCAGTGGGGGTAGCAGCAGTACTAGTAGCAGTATCAGTATCAGTTTGAGTAGCAGTAGCAGTGCTGGTATCGGTCGTGCTGTTTGCTTTGATTGCACTGCTGCCAACGTCATTCGTTCTGCTGGTCATGCAGCTGCTGCTGATGGTGGTGGCGGTGCTGCTGCTTTCCTTTGCATGGGCGCTGTTGCCATCCAGCCTCTCTACACCAGAAACCACCTCCCCTTCTCCAGATAACGCCTCCCTTCTTCCAAATAACACCTCCCCTACTCCAGGAACACTCTCCTCTTCCCCAGCAGCCATCTCCATGAGGGCAGCAAGAGCCGCCTCCTTTTTCCCCAAAACCGCCTCCCCTTCTCCTACCACCTCCCCTCCTCCCCCAGAAAACGCCTCCCCTCCCCTCTCCTCCTCCCCAGCAGCCATCTCCATGACGGCAGCAAGGGCAGCCTCGCGACACACCGCTGCCAGGTCAGCGCCCACGTAGCCCTTGCAACGCGCCGCCAGTTGCCGCATGTCCACGTCAGCATGCAGAGGGAGGGAGCGCGCATGCAGCTGGGGGAGAGGCGGGAGGAGGGAGACAGAGAAGACAAGTGAGCAGCAGAGATTGTTTTGAAAATTCTCAAGGGAGACCGGGAGAAAGCAATAATAAGATGGCTGGATTTCCCCTCATGATTTTTACTCACCTTCAGTATCGCCTCTCTCTCCCTCGTGCCTGGCACGTTGATTGCAATCTCGCGGTCGAATCTTCCCGGCCGGCGTAGCGCGGTATCTAGTGCGTTGGGGCTGCCATTGGAAGGGAAGGGGTTTAAGGTGCGGAGGGTGGATCAGGAAGAAAGGAGGGCTGGGTGAGGAGTGGGAGGTAGAGGAAAGGAATCGGCATAGCAGGAAGGTATGAGAAGTACTCACTTGAAACAGGGCTGTTTTGTTGCAGGGAAGAGGAACGGAGGCAGTGATATGTGGAGGTGGGACGAGGTCGGAATAGGTGGGAAAGGTTTCCCTTACCGATTGGTGGCAGCGATGGCAACAAGTGGTCGGGAAGGGTGGGAAGCGGTGGATTGGGCGGAGGAGGATTGGAGAGGGGAGGAGGAGGGGAGTGAGGAAGTGGAAATGCCGTCCATGAGAGTGAGAAGCTGAGACACTATTCTTGTCTCGTTCTGCCGCCTGCTCACACACAATCAGAGCCACAAAATCAGAGCCACACACTCAGAGCCACACAATCAGAGCCACAAACTCGAGAGTCAGAAGAATAGGGAATGCTGTTCAAGGGGGCACACCATGACCACGTGCTTGTTCACATAACCTCACTTAAAGCCCGTTTGGGTTCTTTCAGTGACCCATAAGTCTTGTTTACATAGCCTGGAGTCTCGTTTGGGGCACAGCACATCAATCTTGTCGATAAAAACAAACGAGGGCCGCACATTTGACTGTAGAGTAGAGTTGACCCGTAAGTCGCTCCTATGCTGGCTCATAAGCCACACACTGTGTGCAGCAAGCTACCGTACCAGGAGTCTCTTCCCACTCCCTTGTGCGGTAAGCCACCTACCTGGAGTCTCGCTTGGGGCACAGCACGCACGTCAATCGCATCCATGAACACAATGGACGGCCGCACATCCGCAAACCCCTCTGAACCACCTCCCACACCTCCCTCTGTAACTACCTTGTGAGCTACCTACCTGGAGTGTCGTTTGGGGCACAGCACGCACGTCAATCGCGTCAATGAGAACCAATCGACAGCCGCATATCCGCCCCTCCTTCTGAACCCCTTTTAAAGCACGCCTGTTATAGGCCACACACTTTCTTGTGAGTAAACCACCAGCCTGGAGTCTCGCTTGGGGCACTGAACATCGATCTCGTCAATGAACACAATCGACGGCCGCACACCTGCAAACCCCTCTGAACTACCTCCCAACACCTCCCTCTGTATCCACCTTGTGAGCCACCTACCTGGAGTCTCGCTTGGGGCACAACACGTCAATCTCGTCAATGAAAACAATCGACGGACGCAAATCCGCGCCTCCCTCTGACCCTCCCTCAGTAACTCCCTCCCCCAGTCCCCCCTCCCCATCCTTCCCGCCCCTGGCGGCATCAAAGACATCTCTCAGGCGCCTCTCGCTCTCCCCTGCGTATGCTCCGAAGATGGACGACGACCTGCATGCATGCAAAAGAGAGGGTGACGGGCAGCGAGGGTTGGAAAAGGTTGTTCCGAGGTGCCTTGAACAACCTATCGCTCTCCCCTGCGTATGCTCCGAAGATGGATGGCGACCTGATGCAATGCGGTGGTGTGGGGCAGGAAGGGAAGGGACGAGTATTAGTGCATGCCTCGAGCATGGCTCTCGCGCTCCCCTCCTGCGTATGCTCCGAAGATGGATGATGATCTGATGCAATGCGGTGGTGTGGGGCAGAAAGGGTGCAGCAAGGGAAGGGAAGGGACTAGTATAAGTGCCTGCCTAGAGCAGGGCTCTCGCTCACTGTTTAGAGCAGGGCTCTCGCTCACTGTTTAGAGCAGGGCTCTCGCTCACTGTTTAGAGCAGGGCTCTCGCTCACTGTTTAGAGCAGGGCTCTCGCTCACTGTTTAGAGCAGGGCTCTCGCTCACTGTTTAGAGCAGGGCTCTCGCTCACTGTTTAGAGCAGGGCTCTCGCTCACTGTTTAGAGCAGGGCTCTCGCTCACTGTTTAGAGCAGGGCTCTCGCTCACTGTTTAGAGCAGGGCTCTCGCTCACTGTTTAGAGCAGGGCTCTCGCTCACTGTTTAGAGCAGGGCTCTCGCTCACTGTTTAGAGCAGGGCTCTCGCTCACTGTTTAAAGCAGGGCTCTCGCTCACTGTTTAGAGCAGGGCCTTCTCTAAAGTGATTCCAACATAAGGACGAGTTTTGAGTCGACTCAAAACTCTTCTCTAAAGTGATTCCAACATAAGGACGAGTTTTGAGTCGACTCAAAACTCTTCTCTAAAGTGATTCCAACATAAGGACGAGTTTTGAGTCGACTCAAAACTCTTCTCTAAAGTGATTCCAACATAAGGACGAGTTTTGAGTCGACTCAAAACTCTTCTCAAACGTGATTCCAACATAAGGACGAGTTTTGAGTCGACTCAAAACTCTTCTCTAAAGTGATTCCAACATAAGGACGAGTTTTGAGTCGACTCAAAACTCTTCTCAAACGAGATTTCAACATTGGGACTAGTATAAGTGCTTCAAGCATGGCTCTTGCTCACCCCTCCTGCGTATGCTCCGAAGATGGATGTTGATCTGATGCATGGAGGGTGGTTGGGGCAGAGAGGGTGTAAGGCAGATGTTTTTCATCCTCCATACACTATGAGCAGAGGGTGTTTTTCATGCACTTTGGGCCACACACGAAGACAGGTGTCTACTTAAAGTGCCTCAGGCACCTCTTGCTCTCCCCCGTGCCCCAAAGATGGGTGACGACCTGACCTCATGCATGCAACGCAAGAGTGGCGAAGAGAGGATGGCAGGGTTGTTGCGGGGCGGTGTGCATGGCAGGGTGGTTGCAGGGCGGTGTGCTCACTCACGTGACGGTGAAGAGCCGTGCGTTGCACTCCCGAGCTATCTCCCTCACCATTAGCGTCTGCCATGCCATGCCATGCACACACGGGATGGGATGGGATAAGATGGCATGGGATGGGATGATATGACATGGTTTGAAGAGTCCAGATGCAACCTAGGATTCAAGGGAACGAAGTTTATAACCTATCATCTCACACACTCACCTCGCAGAAAAAAGCGACTCCCAACGCCTGTCTCAGACCGGCACTCGCTCCGCCAGTGTCTCACACACTCACCTTGCCTGCGAGGTGACTTTTAGTCGACTCAAAAGTCGTTTCACGCGCTCACCTTGCCTGTGCCTGGCGGACCATACAGCAGCACACCTGATGGCCACTGCACAGGGAATGTGGGTGGGGAGAAAGAGGGGTTGGAGAGGGAGTAATTTCAAGGCGCATCAAAGAAAGGAAGGGGCCGGAGTGGGAGGGCCGTACAGCAGCACACCTGACGGCCACTGCACATGGAATGTGGGTGGGGAGGAAGGGAAGGTGTGTGGAGTGGGTCTGTTTTTGAGACGCCACAAAGAAAGGGAGTGGGTGTATTGGGATGGCCATACAGCAGCAGCACACCAGATGCTGCAAAAGGAACGCGTGTGAGGGGGAAAGTAAAGGGAGAGTGTGGAGTCGGATATTCTTGAGACGACACAAAGAAAAGGAGTGGGTCGATTGGGATGGCCGTACAACAGCAGCACACCTGACGGCTGCTGGGGAAAGCGCAGCAGCAGGGAAAGCACGTGGGAGGAAAGGGAGGAGGCAGAGTGAGTCTGGCTGTGAGGCGCCATACAGAATGGGGGAGCGGAAGGGGGAGGGGGGAAAAGGGAAGGGGAGAAAGGGGGAGAAGGGAAGGGGAAAGTGGAGGAGATGGGCCAGTGTTGGGAGGGGGGTAGGGGAGGGTGAGTGTGGGGCTTCCATGAGGGGAGCTTTCCCCTCATGGAAGGGAAGGGAGCTGAAGGTGGAGTCAGTGGAAGCCGCACACTCACCCTCCCCTCAGGGGAGGGGGGTGTGGGGCCAGTGTTTGGAGGGGGTTAGGGGAGGGTGAGTGTGAGGCTTCCACTGGCGCTTCCATGAGAGTAGGGAAGGGAGCTGAAGGTGGAGGGGAGGGGGGGAAGGAGTCGAGGGAAAATGACGTCCTGCAGACCGAGTGAACACAAGGAATGACCTCAGAGGTCTCGGGTTCAGGGTTTAACCCCTCAAGGTCCATACTTGCACGCTTTTACAGGGTGTAGGGTTCTTAATCACACGCACCTTCAGGCCTAGCGCGGCGGCCTCCTTCGCGTACTTAATCGGCCACACTACCACTTCCCGCAGCGCCTGCATGCTCTCGTCCATCCCCGCCAGCTGCGCCGCATTCCCCGCCGCCTCTCCCGCCGTCAAACCCGCCGCGCATTGCCAAGTGCCGCCGCCAGCGCTGGCGGCGCCATCGGCAGCAGCAGGCGGAGGAGCGAGCATTGCGAAGGGACGCGACGCGGGCCTGGGAGCGCGGCACGAGAGTACAGACTTGATGTGGCCCGGCAGAAAAAGATCGGTGGAGATAGAGAGAGTGTTGAGGAAATACAAGTTGGCGGTTCGAACCTCTCGATTTCGCTACTAATGCCCCCGCATTCGGCGCGTATTCTGAGAAGCAGAAGGCAGGGGACGCGATGCGTGTGAGGCCACGCGAGGGAGGGCGGCACAAGCGGGGCGAGAGGTGGAAATGTGATCTTTTCAAGACGTGTGGTGTGGAGAGGGACGGACAGTCGGAGGCTGGTTTGTTTATCTCCGCGTGGGTCACGCAACGGGTTCGTGGATTCAACTCGGAATTCAACAATGCGCGTCACTGAATTAGTGTGACCTGTAGGGATGTTGCTGGTGGGACTGGGGGAATGTGCCAAAAACAGGAGAGGCGGATTAAGAGACATGAAAGACAGAACGCAAAATGGAATTGGAGAAGTGGGGTATCGATCCCCATACCTCTCGCATGCTAAGCGAGCGCTCTACCATCTGAGCTACATCCCCATGGCAAATAATATCCCTTTTTAATTTATTAGCATTAAAATTTTTTTGAAAACTCTAATTTCCCCTACCTGTTTTCTAGTGATCATCATCACCCTTCGCCGCTCCGCCTCACATGCGCTTCCGCATACCCCTGCGCATGGCGCTGCTTTCCAGCTCACCCTCCCCCTCCCTCTCCGCGCTCCTCTCCTCCCGCCCCTTCTCCGCCCTCTCCCCCCTCGCTAGCGCCTCTTCCGCCTTCCTCTCCCCCAACCCCCTCCCCATTCCCGCAGTTTACGCGCCTTCCGCCCAACGGGACCTCGATCTCCGCCTACCCGGCTTCCCCGCGCCACCCGCGCTTCCGCTGAAACAATCCCCCCATGTTCCGCGCCTTCCGCCGTTGCTGGGGGACCCGTTCCCGGGTTGCGGATCAGGGGAGATTCGAGAAATCGCGGTTCCGGGGATAATTATTCCCGCAAGGGGCTTCCCCCTCCCGCTTTCCGCGCCCGCGCATCCCGCGCTTGCGCCTAAGATATGGGCGGGGGGAGGTCCGCGGACGTTCCCCGGCGGAGTGACGAAATGGCAGTGGAAGCGCATGCAGGAGAAAAAGCGGCGCGCGCGCGAGCGCGCGCAACTGATCCGCGAGCAAGAGGCGTTCGAGGCGAAGCGGCGCGAGCAGCTCCGCATCTTGCGCGGCCCGGAGCGCCCCTGGGGGGACGACGCCGACCACGGATGGGGGAAACCCCCGCGGGAAGGGCGGCTGCCGCCGGCTTTTCCGCCTCGATCCGCGGGGCCGCCGCTTCCGTGGGAAAAGCCACGCGGGGGAGATGGCGCTGCGCGCCGATGGGGTGAGGAGGAGGGGGGCGGGGGACTTTGGAAGGGGTTGGGGGAGGAGGAGGGGACGGGGGGAATGATAGTCCCGTGGGAGAGGCAAGGGGGAAAGGCGGGAGAGGGAGCGGGTTGGGGGCGCGCGCGGGAGGAGCAACCAGGGGGGAGTGATTGGCGGAACCAGGGGGGCATGGCGGAAGCGCTGGTTGGAAAGGGGGAGGGGGGACCAGTCCGCTGGGAGCGGCTTCCGCAGGTGCCATTGGCGGAGCGGAGAAGGCAGGCAAAGGGGGAGCGCGCGTGGGGGGTAGATGGCGCTGGGGGGGAGCAGCGCACTTGGGGGGAGGAGCGCCAGCGGGAGGACCAGCGCAATAGGGGGGAGCAGCGGGAGCGCATTGCGCCAATGGCGGGGGAGGATGTGCGCCCGTGGCAGCGGGAGGGGGAGGGGGAGATGGGCGAGGGGGAGTGGAGGATACGCCAACAATGGCGGAGAGGGGAGGAGGGGAGAATGCGCCAACAGGAACGAGGGGAGGAAGGGGGGCGCGTGTGGTGGGAGGAGGATGCAGAGGTTGGGGCGGAGGGGGGAATGCGCCCTCGGGGAAGGGGGGAGAGGGGGAGAGGGCAAGGGGGAACAGCAAGGGGCGGTAGTGAAGGGGTTAGAGGGGGAAGGATGAAGCAAGAGGAGACACTGGAGGGATTGACAGTGGAAGGGAGGGGGGAAGAGGGAGAGGAAGGGGAAGAAGGCTGGATGTGGTGGGAAGAAGGGGGGCTATATCGGCGAGGTAGGGGAGGAGGGAGGGAAGGCGGAGGGGGGGGAGGCGGAGGGAGGGACGAAGGAGAGCGGAGAGAAGGTGGGAAGGGCGGAAATGGGATGGGAGCAGGGAGGGCAGGAGGTAGAGGAGGAGAAGGAGAAGGAAAGGCGTCTTATGAAGCGCGCCAAACCAGGCAGGGACAGGCACGAGCAGCATTCCCTGAAGCAGAAGCAGAGGCGGGAAGGGGGGGGCGGGGGAGGGAAGGCGCATGGGGAGTGGGCGGAGGACGAGGGGGAGGAGGGGCCGGAGGGGGAGGGGGAGGAAGGGGAGGGAGAGGCGGGGGAGGAGGGCAGAGGTTAGCATATCAAGGATCAAACCGGACGAGCAGGGGAGGAGGGAGGGGAGCATCATTGGTGCTGCCTGCGGTACCGGAGGAGGTGATTGGTCGACACGTGAAGCTCAAACACGTGGAGGATCTGTGGAACGAGGATGACGGCCCGCTGGAGAGAGAATCAGGGCCTGCTTATAACGAGTATGGGACTCCGCCTGGTGCTGGTGCTGCTGCTGCTGCGGATGGTGATTTGAGTGTTGGCCAAAACCACTCAAAGGAGGAGGAGGAAGAGGAGGAGGAAGAGGAGGAGGAAGAGGAGGAGGAAGAGGAGGAGGAAGAGGAGGAGGAAGAGGAGGAGGAGGAAGAGGAGGAGGAAGAGGAGGAGGAAGAGGAGGAGGAAGAGGAGGAGGAGGAAGAGGAGGAGGACAGGAGGGCTGTTTCGCGGATCCCATGGTTGGCTTATGCTGCTGCTGACAATGATGGGGATGATGGGGATGATGGGGATGATGGGTATGGCAGTAGTGGTGGCAGCCACACCGCCAGGATTAGGAATGGCAGCGGTGGCAGCAGCGACAGAAGCAGCAGTGGCCGCGGCGGCAATAGCAGCAGGGGACGTGCATGGAGGAGGAGAGATGTGTCGGCATCTGCTGTTGCCACTGGTGTAACCATGCGCGGACACATGCCCATGAGCATGCCCACGCCCATACGCATGGTTATGGGTATTGCCATGCCCATGCCCATCAGCATGTCTCTGCCCATGCACATGCCCATGGGTATGCCTACTGCTACCAGCATCGTTGCTGCCTCTGCTGCCGCAAGCTGCCGGCGCTTTACCTCCGCTGCAGTTGGTGCTGCTGCTGCTGCTGAGGGTGCTGCCACTAGAGCTCGTGATGACTCCGTTTGGGGCAGCAGAGAACACAACGCCAGCATTCCCAAGGGTGACAGCAGTGATGCTGACAACACCGAGCGTGATAATACCGGTGATGGATGCGAGAACAACAGAAGCGGCTCAGTGGGAGTGGAACCAGGCACTTTCGCCGCCTTACCTCTCTCCCAGGCCTTGCTTTCAGCCGTCAGCAGCAGTATGGGCTTTAAGCGATGCACTCCCTTGCAAGCTGCTGTCATGCCACACATACTCGCAGGTATGTTGGTACCATTGCCATTGTCATTGCAATTCTCGTTCTCCCTTGCAAAATTGCGGTTTTCCTTCGTGTCCTTTTGAGAATTCCTCCCCTCGTCCGCCTTGCTGTGTCTCCTTCATTTTTATTCCCCTCATTCCCCTCTTCTCTCAACATGCATGTCCCTCCCTTCCTCTCCCTCCCTTCCTCTCCCTCCCTTCCTCTCCCTCCCTTCCTCTCCCTCCCTTCCTCTCCCTCCCTTCCTCTCCCTCCCTTCCTCTCCCTCCCTTCCTCTCCCTCCCTTCCTCTCCCTCCCTTCCTCTCCCTCCCTTCCTCTCCCTCCCTTCCTCTCCCTCCCTTCCTCTCCCTCCCTTCCTCTCCCTCCCTTCCTCTCCCTCCCTTCCTCTCCCTCCCTTCCTCTCCCTCCCTTCCTCTCCCTCCCTTCCTCTCCCTCCCTTCCTCTCCCTCCCTTCCTCTCCCTCCCTTCCTCTCCCTCCCTTCCTCTCCCTCCCTTCCTCTCCCTCCCTTCCTCTCCCTCCCTTCCTCTCCCTCCCTTCCTCTCCCTCCCTTCCTCTCCCTCCCTTCCTCTCCCTCCCTTCCTCTCCCTCCCTTCCTCTCCCTCCCTTCCTCTCCCTCCCTTCCTCTTTCTTGTGCCAGGAGCTGATCTCTTGGTCAAGACCAGTCCTGGCAGAGGGAAGACCGTGGCTTTTATGGTAAGCCCACATGCTATAATAAATCTGTATATATTATAACGAGGCTAGAGAGATTGTTGTGCAGCTAGAGATATGCAGGGTGTTTTTTGAGAATTCTCAATAAAAACGAGGCTAGAGGAATTGTTGTGCACAGCTAGAGATATGGCAGTGAGGCTACCAATGTCATAGTGTGTGCAGACACAGGGAAGACCATGGCTTATATGGTGAGCTAACATCCTATATTGAATTTGCATATGATATAGTGATTCGATTTATGCAAGAGTGGGGTCCTGACCTCCCACTGGACTGGCCGAGCGAGAACAGCATCTGGTTGGTTTTTGTGGTGTGCGCTCCCACCAGTGGAGGTGCTGCTGGTGTGCTGTGCGCTAACAGAGAGCAAGCTGAGAGGGACCTGGAGGAGACCCGGCGATCCTTTGTTGCCAATGGCCCTATATCCCATGTTCTCCTGTTGTTGCCAATGGCCCTATATCCCATGTTCTCCTGTTGTTGCCAATGGCCCTATATCCCATGTTCTCCTGTTGTTGCCAATGGCCCTATATCCCATGTTCTCCTGTTGTTGCCAATGGCCCTATATCCCATGTTCTCCTGTTGTTGCCAATGGCCCTATATCCCATGTTCTCCTGTTGTTGCCAATGGCCCTATATCCCATGTTCTCCTGTTGTTGCCAATGGCCCTATATCCCATGTTCTCCTGTTGTTGCCAATGGCCCTATATCCCATGTTCTCCTGTTGTTGCCAATGGCCCTATATCCCATGTTCTCCTGTTGTTGCCAATGGCCCTATATCCCATGTTCTCCTGTTGTTGCCAATGGCCCTATATCCCATGTTCTCCTGTTGTTGCCAATGGCCCTATATCCCATGTTCTCCTGTTGTTGCCAATGGCCCTATATCCCATGTTCTCCTGTTGTTGCCAATGGCCCTATATCCCATGTTCTCCTGTTGTTGCCAATGGCCCTATATCCCATGTTCTCCTGTTGTTGCCAATGGCCCTATATCCCATGTTCTCCTGTTGTTGCCAATGGCCCTATATCCCATGTTCTCCTGTTGTTGCCAATGGCCCTATATCCCATGTTCTCCTGTTGTTGCCAATGGCCCTATATCCCATGTTCTCCTGTTGTTGCCAATGGCCCTATATCCCATGTTCTCCTGTTGTTGCCAATGGCCCTATATCCCATGTTCTCCTGTTGTTGCCAATGGCCCTATATCCCATGTTCTCCTGTTGTTGCCAATGGCCCTATATCCCATGTTCTCCTGTTGTTGCCAATGGCCCTATATCCCAATGTTCTCCTGTTGTTTCCCGCACTACTCCGCAGATCCCCTGTCTAGACAGGCTCATTTCCAACCACTCCGACTCTCCCACTCGGCTGCTTGCTGGTGCCGGTACCCCAGTGAAAGTGCTGCTGGTGAGAGCCAGCCGAGAGAGTTGACTTTTGAGTCGACTCAAAAGCCAGTGAAAGTGCTGCTGGTGAGAGCCAGCCGAGAGAGTTGACTTTTGAGTCGACTCAAAAGCCAGTGAAAGTGCTGCTGTTGAGAGCAAGCCGAGAGAGTTGACTTTTGAGTCGACTCAAAAGCCAGTGAAAGTGCTGCTGTTGAGAGCAAGCCGAGAGAGTTGACTTTTGAGTCGACTCAAAAGCCAGTGAAAGTGCTGCTGGTGAGAGCAAGCCGAGAGAGCTCCGGGACAGGCTCAGCGTGTGTTCTTCTGTTTCTCCCCCTCCCACTGCCCTGCAGATTCCCTGCCTTTACAGGCTCGTTACAGACTTCTTCGACTCTCCCGCTCGGCCGCTTGCTGGTGCTGGTACCCCAGTGGAGGTGCTGCTGGTGTGCGCTAACAGAGAGAGGGCTGAGAGGGCTCTGGGGCAGGCGCAGCAGCTGATGCAGCTGCTTCAGACGCCGCAGCCACAACAGGTGCAGGGGACTCCGCGAGGGCAGGAAGGAATCGGGGAACTGGGAAGAAAGGAAGCAGCAAGAGGAGGATTAGGGGACAGGAGGAGAGGAGGAGGAGTTAGGGGGAGGCGTGCTGACCGAATGAAGGGCGTCAGGCAGGGGGGGGAGTCGGGAGTGGGGCCACAGGGAGTGGGGCGGCAAGTGGTGGGGGCGCAGATGGTGGTTGGAGGGTTGAGTATGGACGGTGAGGGGAGGCGGTTGCAGCAGGCGCCGTGTCAAGTGCTGGTGGCGACTCCTGCTCGGCTGTTGGAGCACTTGCAGCAGACCCAGGGCATGCGGAACCGAGTGCAGCAGGTGAAGGTGAGTGCAGCAGGTGAAGGTGAGCGCAGCAGCCGAAGATATAGAGCACGTGTAGGTCTGGTAGGGAGAAAGCAGACTGGAGCAACTGCAGCGCCAGTAGCACCACCAGCTGCCTTGCAGCAGACTCAGGGCATGCGGAACCGAGTGCAGCAGCTGCAGGTGACTGGTAGGAGGTGAAGGTGACTGGTAGGAGGTGAAGGTGACTGGTAGGAGGTGAAGGTGACTGGTAGGAGGTGAAGGTGAATGGTAGGAGCTTAAGGTGAATGCAGAGAGCAAAGGTGAGAACAGCAGGCACTGTGTGTGAGAGCACTGTGTGTGAGAGCACTGTGTGTGTGAGCACTGTGTGTGTGAGCACTGTGTGTGTGAGCACTGTGTGTGTGAGCACTGTGTGTGTGAGCACTTGCTCAGCTGGTGGCAACTCCTGCTCGGCTGTTAGAGCACTTGCAGCAGACTCAGGGCATGCGGAACAGAATGCAGCCGCTGAAGGTGAGGAGGTATGCAGTAGAGGAGGGGAAGGTGTGTTCGAGGACTTAGAGGGCGAGGACTTAGAGGGCGAGGACTTAGAGGGCGAGGACTTAGAGGGCGAGGACTTAGAGGGCGAGGACTTAGAGGGCGAGGACTTAGAGGGCGAGGACTTAGAGGGCGAGGACTTAGAGGGCGAGGACTTAGAGGGCGAGGACTTAGAGGGCGAGGACTTAGAGGGCGAGGACTTAGAGGGCGAGGACTTAGAGGGCGAGGACTTAGAGGGCGAGGACTTAGAGGGCGAGGACTTAGAGGGCGAGGACTTAGAGGGCGAGGACTTGCAGGACTACCCGTGACATACCGTGTGAGCAGGTGTGCTTGTATCAGACATATCACATTGCCGCCTACCTACCTACCCATCACATACGAACAGGTGCTTGTATTGAAGGAGGACATAGAATAGACTGCATGGTGGTCGTGGGGGGTGCACATCACATACCGTGCGTCCTACCTATCAATCACATACCGTGCGTCCTACCTATCAATCACATACCGTGCGTCCTACCTATCAATCACATACTGTGGGTGTGTGCTGTGCAGGCTGTGGGTGTGTGCTGTGCAGGCTGTGGGTGTGTGCTGTGCAGGCTGTGGGTGTGTGCTGTGCAGGCTGTGGTGTGTGCTGTGCAGGTGCTTGTATTAGAGGACTTCACTCGCACCATACACGCCATCCTTCCGCTCCTTGTTGCACGACTTGTGCTCTCATTCTCACATTGCTTCTCACCTTCCGTCACACACCATGCGTGCAGGTGCTTGCATTGGAGGACCTAGACCGCATGGTGGACATGGGGTTCACTCGCACCATACACACCATCGTTACGCTCCTCCCACCCACACGCCAAACACTACTCTTCTCAAACACTCTCTCCAATGAGGTACAGTACCCTGCATTCTCCCTTGTGCCTTTCGAAGCTTCCCTCCCTACACGACCAACTTTTGCTCTTCTCAAATGCCCTCTCCGATGAGGTACCCTGACCTACATTCTCCTTATTTGATTTCCTCTGCCCGACCAATCTCCCCTGCCCTCTGTTCTTCCAAACTGACAGTGCCGAAGTCTCCCTGCCCTTTGATTCACTCGGCTCTGTTTTGTAAGCAGGTGAAGGATCTTTCACAGCTTATGCTCAAGGCTGATTATGTATCGCTTGATGTGGAGAGTGCTTGACTGGGGGAGTACCGGTAATAAGCGTCACTGCAAACATCACTCATTATTGGGTACATTTTTAAACGTAGCTTTTGTCATTATTCTTTATGGTTAAAAAAACAGAGAGAGTTGGAGTTGCCATTTCAAGGTTGTGGTGTCCGCAGCTCTCATAGCTGTAATGCCTTGTACTGTTTACGATTGATTGTTTTCTCATGTACCAGGGTCCGGTACTTCTGCTCATGCTTTGTTTTTCACATCCCTCAAACAGTCACCCCAAGATTTATTAATATTGTTTCCATTTTGACCTGCCTGCACCAACTACAACGAACTAGTTAACTGGAACCATCTCTCAGTCGGCATGGCTCAGCTCAGCAGCACAGCTGGTCAAGGGTCACATGCAGAAGAATACATCCCCACAACCCAGCCAGACCACGCAACCATTCACATTTACCAAACCCGCCATTCTGCCATGCACCTACAACCCCCCTACACATCACAATTATAAGTTGTGTGACTCTGATACAGTAATACCACGGTACTAGAGTACCAGCACTTCTACAGTCTACATGCATGCATCCACTAAACAGAACAGCAAAGAAACCAGATTAAAAGGATCCATGCTGATCCTCTAGGCTTCAGGTCAGTCTTCTCTTCATCAGCCTGAATTTACTCCTCCACTGCGCCCCCCCCCTCCTCCCCCTCCACCCCCCCCGCTCTCCCCTGCACATCCCCACCGATGTGCTCACATCCCAATCTCTCAAACCAGCTCTCCCCTGAAACAAACACAACTCCCCAGACCACAGCTGCTACCTTCTGGCGCTAATGCAAGCAGATGCACTGGCAGAGCCAAAGGAAAGCAAGCAGCTGAGGGAGGAGCACAGAACACTGTGGGTGGCCTGCTTTGATGACACAGTGCAGCTTTGCAGTTAGCAGCTTCGCAGTTTGCACCTGTGGTTCCAGCAAGCCTGAGGCCACCCATACAGACGTGCTCCGTCGTCGCTCTTTGCTGCTTCTCTTGACTGCTAACAACCAAAAGCCCGGCTCCCCACCACAAGCAGCATCACACTCTACATTTCTGCTTCCACTGCAGCCATCACCGCCAGTCCTCTACAGCTTCACAGAGCAGATCGCGTCTCACTGCTAGCCTTTCAAGGTAAGGGCATAAATACCCCGCAGTCCGCCCTGCCTGTCCAACCCCAGCGTTCTTGAACCTTCCGACTTTAAGGCTCAAGGATCCCAGCTTGAGTCACCACAGCCATAGCAGTCTACTGCTCCAGGCGCCCGCAGCAACCTTTAGAGCAACCACCGTCTTGACTCAAGAACCATGTCCCTCATCTGTATCCCCCTCACCCCGCACCCTTCTTCCTCCATTCCTCTTTCTCCACTCCTCCCCCACTTCCTTCTCAAGTCACCAAATCTCGCCACCTTACTCCTCACGTTTACCCCCAACGCTGGCGGCCGCAGCAGCGGACTGTTCCTGAGCCGCAGCAACCCACGAGCGGAGCACGCCCTCTTCCTGCAACCCCCTCCTCCCCCACCCACCCTTCCAGGCCATCACATTACCACACCCTATTCCCCTCCCCCCTCAGCGCTGGCAGCAGCAGCAGCGGACTGCTCCTGTGCCACAGCAACCCACGAGCGGAGCATCCCCCTCTTCCTGCAACCCCCTCCCCCACCCACCCTTCCAGGCCATCAGATAACCACACCCTACTCCCCTCCCCCCTCAGCACTGGCAGCAGCAGCAGCAGCAGCAGTGGACTGCTCCTGCTCCGCAGCAGCAACCAGGGGACAAAGCGTTTCCACCATATCACTGATCAGCGCCCGCAGATTCGGATCCTCCTCAATACAATGCTTCGCAGTGCTATGCTTCCACCCAAGCACCCAAGCCCAAGCGCCCATCCTGATAAGTATCCGACCCAAGCGTCCCACCCACCCCTGTTGACTCTCCCCACCCCCCTGTTCTCCCTCCCACCCCTGGGTCAGCGCACAGAAGCCCTACTCCCCGCCCCCTCCAGCGCTGGCAGCAGCAGCAGCCGACTGCTCCTGAGCCGCAGCCACCAGCGGGCGAAGCGTCTCCACCATATCACTCATCAGCGGCCGCAGGTTCGGATCCTCCTCGATACAATGCTTTGCCGAGATCGCCAGCTTATGTGCCGCCCGCTGCGCCGCCTTCGTGGTAAACTGATCCAGCAGACACGGGTCGACGAGAGCTCCAATATCTGGCTTTCGCTGGTTCAAATACTGCTGCGCCCAGGCCGTGAGCGGCGGCATGCCCTGCTGCGTTTGATCCATGGCGCGTTTCCCTGTGAGGAGCTCGAGGAGCATGACTCCGAAGGCGTAGACGTCGGATTTGCGGGTGAGCTGGCCGGTTTCCATGTACTTGGGGTCGAGGTACCCCATGGTGCCCATGATGCGCGTCGTCACGTGGGTTTGGTCCGTGTCCGCTCCCTTTGCCAGCCCGAAATCCGTCAGCTTCGCAGACCAGTCCTGGGTAGGGAAAAGGAGCGAAGGGAGAGGGCGAAAATGACAGGGAGAGGGGAGGAGAAAGCGGGGAAGGTGGGGGGGGGGAGGGGTATGAAGATGGTGTGCGCGCAGGCAAGGCATGCGGGTGAGCTGGCCGGTTTCCATGTACTTGGGGTCGAGGTACCCCATGGTGCCCATGATGCGCGTCGTCACGTGGGTTTGGTTTGTGTCCGCTCCCATATAGTCAGTGCCCACTCCCTTGGCCAGTGCAAAGGCTGTCAGTTTGGGGGACAATATCTGGGATTTAGGGTTGGGGGAAGGGGGGAATATTGATGGGAAACGTGAGGCTGCTTAGCGGGCTTTGGGTGAGCGGAATGGGAGTACAGACATCAGCAGTACAAACATCGCACTCACATCATCGAGCAGGATGTTAGGAGCCTTAAAGTCGCGGTGAATGACGTTGTTCTCATGCAGGTACGCCAGGCCCGCAGCAGCATCCAGCGCAATGCGCAGCCGCACCTCCCATGGCAGCGGCGTGGGGGGGGTAGGGTCATCCTCCTTGGGCTCTGATGGGCAAGGAGGGAAGAGAAGAGGGGCGGAGACGGGCAGAGAGGGGAGGAGAAAGAAGATGAAGACTGACAAAAAGGACCTGCCGGACCTCCCATGGAAGAGGCGTGAGGGGCGTGAAGGCCGTAACTGCGTGGGCTGGTAAAGTGGTAGAAATCGGTAAATAACTACGCGCCTGACCTGGTGAGTGATAAATATCGTTCTTGACCTGTCAATAACGAGTACAAAACACTCACTAGGGAAGACATGGTAATCCAGACCCGCTTTTCCCGGAAACTCAGGCACCAGCACGCCCTGGCACCACAGTGAGCCTATTCCCACCACAAGTAACAACTGACTGACCTGGTAAGTGGTGGATGTCAAACCTGCCCATAACAAGTATGCAGCTACTCACCAGGGAAGAGGTGGTAGTCAAGACTGCCCTTGCCCAGGAACTCGTACACCAGCATACCCTCGCACCACTCTAGGCTTACTCTTACAGCCTTGTAACAACTGACTGACCTGGTGGTAAGTGACAGAAATCGAATCTGTCAATAACGAGTACAAACCACTCACCAGGGAAGAGATGGTAGTCAAGACTGCCCTTGCCCAGGAACTCATACACCAGCATACCCTCCCCGTTCTCCGCGCAGTATCCGAGGAGCTTCACCAGGTTCTGATGGCGCACACGACCCAGAAGCAGAATTTCGGCCTGGGGGGACAAACAAGACAGGGGCATGGGGGTTTTGTTGACATCATGGTTTTCTAACGGTCACAAAGCAAAAGCAGCAATACCCAGGATATCTCGTTTCTACATATTTTTTTCCTGCCTTTCAAAACACGTACTAGCTTCTCTGCATGCACATTGCCACCCATGCCCCACCATATCCACTCACCAGCCACTCCTGCTGGCCCTGGAAGCTGTTCGAATTGAGTTTCTTCACAACAATGGGCATGGCCTCCCAGTCCTTGAGGAACCCTTTGTACACCTTGCCGAACCCGCCCTCGCCCAGCACGCGGACTCACCACCAGCCATTCCCTTAGAAATTTTCTCAAGACTCACCAGCCACTCCTGCTGGCCCTGGAAGCTGTTCGGGTTGAGCTTCTTCACAGCGATGGGAAAAGCGTCTTTGCTGCCCTCCCAGTCCTTCAGAAACCCCTTGTACACCTTGCCGAACCCGGAAAGTCTTTTCTTATCAACTCAACTCTATGGCAGCCATCAAGTCAACTCACCAGCCATTCCTGCTGGCCCTGGAAGCTGTTCGGATTTAGCTTCTTCACAGCGATGGGAAAAGCATCTTTGCTGCCCTCCCAGTCCTTGAGAAACCCCTTGTACACCTTGCCGAACCCGCCCTCGCCCAGCACGTTGTCGGGCTCCTTAAAGCCCTGCGTGGCCTTGTGCAGCTCCTTGAACTTGAACGTGCGCAGCTCGAACGGCGCCGCCGGCATGTCCAGCCCCATCAGCGCGTTGTCGCTCTGCGCTGGCGCTGCTGGGGGAGGGGAGAATGGGGGGAGGGGAGGGGCGAGCGGGGGAGGGGGAAGGAGGGAGGAGGGGAAAAGGAGAGGGGTGGAGAAGGAGGGGGAAGGAGGGGACGGAAAAGCAGAGGGGAGGGAAGCGGGGTGTGTATGAGGCGTGTGACAACGCAAGGCGAGGAGCACGTTGTCGGGCTCCTTAAAGCCCTGGCTCGCCTTGTGCAGCTCCTTGAACTTGAACGTGCGCAGCTCGAATGGCGCCGCCGGCATGTCCAGCCCCATCAGCGCGTTGTCGCTCTGCGCCGGCGGTGCTGGGGGCGGGCGGGCGGGGGATGGGGAAGAGTGGCGGGAAGGGCAGGAGGAGTGGGGAGGGGGGAGAAGAGTCGGAAGGGAAGGGGGAGCGGGGGCGGTAAGAGGCCGGAGGAGGGACGGGGAGGGGGGAAGGGGGGAGAACAAGCAACAGCGGGGGAAGAGAGACATGGTGGCAATTTCTCTCGTTCTCCCTCCGCTTCGTAGGTTCGAACTACCACGTATCAAGAAAATCAAATACCCACCTGACCTAACACGAGAAAAGGCAGAAAGCATACCCTGAAATCATTGTTGCCGCTTATCACAACCCTTACCAGTCAACGCATGAAAAGTACGATGCTTTCCTGTTCCTTCGGTTTCAGCTCTGGTAGATTACAGCCTGACACTTAAACGCGTTTAACAAAGATGATGTTTTGCGACAATGTTAGCACAAGAAACGTACGAGGCTTCTCTGGTTCCTTGGGTTTCGGCGGCTCTGGTGCGGATGGCGCGGGTGCTTCATGTCCGTTCACGTTTGCTGGAAGGGGGAAAATAGAGCGTACGAAGAAACGGAGTAAGGGTGGGTAAAAATGGAAGATGGACACTAAAGAGCCAGGAAAGGGACTGTTTTGGTTGGAGAGAGGTGTGAGAGCTGTAAGCGTTAGCAAGTCATTATTATTCGAAAACCGGTAAAAGGACGAAACATTGCGAGGAAACGGGAAAAGCAGGCTGCAAGTGGGACGCCGTCACAAAAAAAAAAAACAAGAAAGAAGAGCGTTTGACAACGGGAATAGAACGACGGGAACCGAATAGAAGAAATAAATGTCGGCGAAGGAACAAAGAGTCGCAGACTGGAGAAACGCCACACGTAGCTCGAGGGAACCAGGAAGAAACTTTGTATCAAGTAACAAAAGCCAGAACTGGACGGCGCGTCTAAGGTGACATTTGGTTAGACCCTGAAATCGTTCCAATTAAGTTTGGTGAGCGCTTATTGAGACGGAGTTTATTATGAGGCCATGATGTGTCGACTCAATAGTAGCTTCTATTTTTGCACAATAACTAAGACCGAAGAATAATAACTGTACCTTTGGCAGGAGCTTCATCAGTTGGACTCGACTCCGGAAACCGTTGGTCGACCTCCCCTCCTCCCCCTCCCCCTCCTAAGCAGTTACCCATTTCAGATAGTTAGCTCTACAAGACAGCTATGTCTTCAGCAGTCAACGTGTCTTTCCATTGACTCCAGCCACAGCGAAACGTGTAAGCTTTCCAAGTAAGTCGACGACACCCTAATATTCTTACAAATATTATATACCAGCAACTTAATGGTACCCGATTACTAGGCAATGACGACTCGGGCCCTAGAATCAGTCGTAAGAAGCTGCAACGGAAACCAGGCTCAAATAGTACAAGTTTTAATAATAGGAGATGTTGAAAACGCTAGTGTCTAACTGGCGTGGAAATAAGCTATCAACCTTTCCAAACAATCGGCAATGCCTAGGTTTGGTTTGAGTCGCGCCCTAGACTTAGGTCCCCTTTTCCCAACCGATGCAGGTTAGTTAGGAGAAAGGTAGGTGGAGGGGGCACGAAGGCTGCCTTGGGATTGTCGTGCTTGCCGATTGCGATGTCGCGAAACGATTTTGTGTCGAGTACGAAAAAAGAAAGTTCCCTTTGGTGGTCGTTGGATGATGTTGAAACCAGGTGATTCTCAGCCACAAACGAGTACAGCAAGGTTTACTTTTGGCTTTTGGATCCTTCGCGAAGGCAGATTCGAGTACACCCGCCAGCATCACGAAAACTGGGCAGGGACGGTGAGTTTTTACTGTTTCTCGAAACATTTTGCGGCTCCCAAAATGCTCTATTATGGGTAAATTCCATGGATGCCATCAGACTCGAGAGGTTACGTCTTCTGCACTACGAAATTTGTTAGTAATGGTGGATACATGGTGCCTCCTGGGTAGCCCGATACGGGTAAGTAGTGTCAAGTTGGACATCTGGTCGGCTGACTGGGATGTGATTGTGCGGCTCGTTGGAGGCTTGATGGACGTGAGTAGATGTAATGGGGGGTCGCTATCAAAACTGGAAAGTTCATTACAGGTCTAGAGCAGCCCAAGATTTTATAGACAGCCTGGTATATCTCAACGCCCCGACTACATCCGGGTGCAAAAACGACGCAGCTCGGGAAAGGGATCCGCCACCCTGCGTCATCCTGTCCGGCTAACTGAGTGCACGTCCTGGGCGAGGAGCGTCACCCTGCGTCACCCGGCAATCCCGATGAAAAATACCCCAATAGCACCTCTCAACGGACCCTCCGTACGAGGTCGACACCTCGACGACGCCGGTCGCGGTCAGCGTGCCACGACGTCCACCTAGCCATTGGCGCGGACTGCGACGTGAGGCCCACCGCGATTTCTGGCCGGCCACTGCGCTGGCGCGCAGAGCCACACGTCGCCCATCCGAAACACAACATTCCACGCGGCGAACATCGATCGGCAAACGTCTGTCCACGCGGCGATCAAGCCTTCGCCGGCCTGCTGGCGGGAACGTCCCCGTGGGATACCATCGTCGGGCGACGCCATGAGCACTGCTGCGTCACGCCGACGTGTAAGCACGGTTCACCGTGACGGGAACACCGGACAGTCGGCTGCGAAAAAGACATGAGTGCCCCGTGCAACGTCGACCATTGCGCCGCCGTGCCGTTCTGCCTTGCATGTAGAGTTGGAGACATGCCCACAGATCGCCCGCCAACACCTGTCCGCCCGAACCGCGACTGTGCCTCTCTATGCTATGACCCCCTGACAGCCAAGTGTCCATGGCATTTCGACACTTGTTTGTTGCGTTGCATTCATTTCCATTCTGGTGAGCCACATTTCCCTTGCTCATTTTCACGCTTCTCGGAGACCGACCGACCACGCGCCGTGCAGGGTCGACGACGAGCCACGCCGGTGTAGAGTGCGTTTAGGTCGGCAAACTTTACGGGCTTCCGACTTAGGATCATTCCGACTAGGACGACTAACTAGGTCGACAACAACCGAAATTCGCCGACCTCTTTCTTCAAACCCACAACCAGTATTGTCATCGCCGGTGATCCCCCGTGCGGCCTCCAATGGTCAGGGACCAGTCTAACAACATCCCGCCGGACAACACCCCGCCGAACGATACATTGCCACTTCACACCCCGCCGACCATTGTGCCGCCGACCACGGCCACTCCGAACATCACCCAGCAGAACACCAATACGCCGCCCTTACTTCCCGAAATTCCCGAACTGACCGACATTGCCGCGGAGTTGACGATCGCCGAGAACGTTGAGAGGGCCGAAAGACGGGCGGCCTTTAGGGCCACGGTGCGAAGGCAATACACGGCAGCGATTGTGCAGTATCGACTTTGGTGGGCTGAGCACGTACCGCAGCGAGATCGCGGCGACAACTAGAGGCCGACGGGAACAACTCTACCCGCCGAGATGGCTGGCGTCGCGCCGCCGCCGGGGAGCAGCGCGATTCCCGACCTGAACGAGCCTTTCATGGAGGAAGATGTACACACCGCTAGGGCAAAAATTCCCGCCGACCCGACCATCCCCCTACCGCCAGGGACGAAAGGGGCTCCCGAACCCGAGCCGGACCGGTACTCGCCGCGTTCGGTCACGGAGCAGCCGCCGCCAATTGGACCATTTCCAGAAAACGACTACATGTATCTGACCGTAGAGGACTTGTTGGCAGCCGACGAGAAAGATGACGCCTTCCTGCAAAACATTCCGCGCGACGATTTTGCGGAAGCCGCCTTCGACATCAACAAAGAGCTCGCCAAGAAGAACAGATTGCTGAGGATGATGTGGGGTTTCCGGCATCTGGACACGCTGGAGGCGAGAACGACCCGGATTCAGTACCTGCGGGCGCTGCTCGACTTCAGGAGATGGTGCTGCGCGAACCTTCCAAGACAGCAAACCGCCAGAGTCAAGGGGGACGGCGTGCTGGAACACGAGGACGAGATAGGGAGGTACATCGACGCAGACATGGGTGATAAGTGGCACACCGCCAAGGGCGACCTACAATGGATGCACGGTCCCCGCGTCAACGCCACGCGGATCAGGGCGTACATTCTGTCAATCGCGAGGCAGGAAGGTATTGCAAAGGCCGAGGAGCTCGAGGAGCTGAATCCCGACGTCCGTGTCCAGCCCCTGAAGCCGACAACCGTTTCGATGCTGCTCATCCGCATCAAAGCGCTCCAGACGGCCTGCAAGGTCGAGGGGACGCTCTTCGGGGTGAAGGAGCTCCACATCATGTACGACATCTCCGAGGTCCGCTCGGAGGTGCGCGCGATGGTCAGAGAGAAGTGGCACAGGGACGACAGGTAAGTCGGCAAGTCGTCCCGCGCGGTTCACGCCTGTTTCCCGGTTCGCCCAGCTAACCCAGTCCTCGTGGAAACCGATGTGCAGGGATTGCGTCGACCGGCACCGCGGAACGCTCGGCGACACGTACACCACCGACCAGATCCGCCACCTCATGTTCAAGGTCTTGCCGACCTGGGCAGCTCGGGCGTACGAACCCAAGGCGGCCACCCCCTCCCAGACACTGTGGAAGTTTATGCTGATGAAGACGATGACCCTCTTGGGTCACCACACCCTTCTCCGCGGAGGCAGTCTCCGAGCGATCGAGCTCCCCGACCTGTTTTTGTACAGAATGGGGAACGCGTCGCCCGAGCACTCCACGCGACGGCCGGTTGTCATGGTCGTCGCGTCACGAAACTCCAAGTCGAACAAGGATGCTCGTCTGCATCACAGCTACGCGGCGAGACACCTGGAGCAAGAGATGTGCACCGTCGGTCACACACTGTTGTGGCTGCACTTCGTGTACGACCAGCTGAGCCGCTCGCCCACCTCTCGATGTGTGCCGCCCCTCGACTTCACAACTCCGTACAGCTGGTATCACAAGCACCTCTTTCATGCTCGGAACGACAAGGCACAAAAAGAGCTGCCGGCTTCATCACATTCTCGGAATACGAAAGAGATGTTGCGGACTAACAAGATCTTCATCACGCGCAACACCCACGCCGCCCGGGCGGGTGGGGCACAGGAGCTGGCCGACGACGGCGTTCCGCGATCTGACATCGCCGACTTGGGCCACTGGGCGCTCGACAAGCTCGCGAAGAGCTACATCACGACCATCCCGAAGGCGGCGGTGTTGAGAAAGGCCGGCTACACGGGCAAGCGCGGCGACTACCACCTCGGCCGGAGCATGGTGAAGCCCGACGACAAGGTGGTGGCCCTCATCGCCCAGCACATCTTTCCGTGGGCGGAAGCGGAACTGACCAAGGTGAGCATTTCGGACGGCAAAAACGCCGACAGCCCGCCGACCATTTCCACGACGACATTCTACCGACGGCTGATTGTGTTTGTGTTTGTGTTCGACTCGCAGGCGGTAAGGTGCGCATCCGCGAGAGAGCCCAACACGGCCGGGGTGCACTTCCTGCAATCGCTCATCGAGTTCGGCCGCCGAATCGTTGCCGAGGATCTTGCGTGCATGCTGATGCGCGAACCGTGGCACCCGTACGTCCAGAGTTCCAAGCTCTGCCGCGACCCCGACTTCCAGAAATGGGCCAAGGACGTCAACCGGGTGGACCTCGAAACCATCGCGACGCGCAGTACTCCGAGCAAGAACCCTCAAGAGGTACGGCGTGCGCGTTTCGGCGACCTGTAAAACAAGTCGTCCTGCCACATTGCCTCACCTTTTGCCGACCATCCCCCTTGGATCGCAGGAATTCAGCGCGCGAGTTGACGCCGAATATCAGGTCGACCAGCTCACCATGATGCTGCACCGCCAGAGAGAGGATGCCGCGATCGAGAAGCTTGAAATGCAGAAGAAGTTGGAGGAGAAGGACGCGGAGATCGCGAAGTTGATGAACGCTCTCAAGCTGGCCGAGGCACGGCCGACGCCGACTGCGCCGGCATCGTCAAGGCCGATGACCGCCGCCGAGAAGGCAGCGTCCGGAAAGATCGAGAAGGAACAGAACGATGACCTGACGTATGAGGTCAACGTCGTGCATCCCTAGCGCACATCCAAGACGGTCGAGGCTGCATGGCGCTGGTGGAACAACCCGTCCAACTTCGACTCGCGTCCGTTGCGCGAACGTTACGACGAGCACAGATTCCTCGTCAGACACACGCGCATGATCTGCAAGGTCGAAAAGGGCGACAAACCCGCCGCGTCGGCGAAGTCGGCGAAGAGCTCTCGTCCCACGACCGAGGTGGGTGAGACGGGGAAAAACGATGCGCTGCAGCACTGCGCTCGCCGGATGAGGCGGATCATGGAAGCGGTGCACGACTTGCGGCGGAGCGACGACGCCGCTGACACCGCCGCCGTCATCAAGCTACTCGACAACCTGGGGCGAGCGGGGCTTTCCACTTTCAGCGACGCGCTCTTGGTCCTCCGTGCAATCCCGCCCATCAAGGTCCCCACCACAGCCGACGGAAAGTCGGTCGGCATCAAGGGTCTGGACAAGCCGCTGGCGAGAAAGCTCGCCGTTGCGTGGGGCGTGGTCACGGCGGGCTACATGGACGCTGACTGGGGAAAGAGGCTCTTCGGCGACTTGTGGGATGAGCAGGCCAATAAGGCCAGCTTGGAGGCCGATGCGACGGCGGGAGCCATCGGCGCAGGGAAGCGCAAGAGGGCGGGCTGAGGGTACTGCGTCTGGGTCCGACTTGTGCTGCTGGCTGGGCGTGGTGTGCCTGAGGGTGGGTTGAGGGCGGGCCGAGGGCGGGCTGAGGGCGGGCTGAGAGTGGGCTGGGGGTGTGCTGAGCGTGTCCGACCTGTTCTAGTGATCCTATATGGTTTTCTTTTACTGCCAACGTTGTTTTGACTTGTAAATTAGTAGAAGTTTGTCTCTTGTTCATGCATCAAACTGACTCCACACCACAAAACCTACTTCACAACGTTTCTGAAAAACTACCGACGAACAAGTTCAGCATCCCTAAGCCGGAGAGGCACAACAAAACAACAAAACAGCACCCGAAACCGGACACGTCGACCATGTCACGAGCGGTCGGGCCAGCGTTCGTAGGTCTTCGTCAGACAGCCTGCAGCGTTTGCACCCACGCCGACCATGCTACGAGCAGGCGGGCCAGCCATCGTCGACCTAGGCGTCGGCGACCTGCTTCCCTTTGTGCTGCTGCCCCCTCGCCCCCCTGTCCCGAATGATAATCTTCATCTGGGGGTCGATAGGCAAATCGACGCCGCGAGCCTTGAGCTTCGGGCCTCCGACATTGCAGTCCCCCCAGAAGGCGAGGTTCTCTATCATGACACGGGTGATCAGCTCGTCGTGCTCGTGCTCCTCTCCGACCTCAGGCAGCGACCTCACCACAGCCGCCTGCAGGTCCTTCGTCACCGTTTCGGCGACCTCCCCTACGACGACCACCCGGGAGGCCGCCCGCTGAAGCACCGCCTCGATGACGGTCCGACACCGACTCGCGAACTCGTTGGACGCTCCGCGCATGGTCGCTGCCGCCCCCCCTTTGCCGGCCGCTACTTCCGCCGTGGCATTGGTCTCCGAAAAATACCACACCGCGGCCGCAGTACCGGCGAGGATCTCGGACAACCGCTCCGACCCGACGCCCGGAATGGGCGTCACTTTCGCGGCCACCGGTGCGAAGGCGGCGCATATCGAAACGCGTGCGATCATGTCGCTCGCCACCTTCTTCTTCGCGGCCTTCTCGGGCTCGGTCGACTCCGGAAGGTCGCCGAACCACACCGCCGGGCGAAGAGCCAACATGAGAGCTGCGCGGTCGGCTCCGGTTATCCTGTTCTATTCCGCGACCACCTGTTGGAACCTGCGAAACACAGCAGGAATACCCACCGTCACCGACCGCCCCACGCGAACCGACCGAAACGAGCACCAAATTGAGCATTCGCCAAGCTTACCTGTCGCGGAAGACGTTCGCCCCTCGGCTCCACATGACCATCCACATGCCCCCCGGAATCAATCGCGCCACATTCCAGTCCGCCATATACTGCGCCATCACTTCCTCCTTGACCCCACCGAACTCCTCGAGAACCACGTCGCTGACGAAGCCGTCGAACGACGAAACGGCGACAGCGATGCAGTAGGCGGCCTCGGACTTGTCCATCGACCGGCAGATGTAACGGCTCTTCTTCCCAAACTTCATCTCCGAGACGGCCAGCCCATTTGAAGGGTCAACGCGGACGCCTGAACCCTTCCGACCCTGCGCGGCCACTTTGGACGTCCCCTTGGAAGAGCCGACCTTCGCCGGGCCGCCCTTCGCCTTGTCCTTGCCCTTGCGCTTCTGCTTCCCATTGCCGACCTCACCGGTTGTGGCCGGGGGGGATTTGGCGCCAGCCGCGCTATGGTCCTCCGCAGGAGCAGTCGAGGCGGCTGGTGCACCCTGTTGCGCTCCCACGGTAGGAGCTGCTGCTTGTAGTTTTTCCCGCATGACCTCAATTTCCGGGTCCGGCATCACGATGCTGGCGAGGATCTCTTCGTCCACCCCGCCGGCCTCTTCCGCCGCTCTCCACACAGCCGCCTCCACCGTTGAGCCACTCGGCCCTGCAGTCGCCGCCGCGACGTTCGCTGCCTCTGCTCCTTGGTCGACCGCCTGGTTGCTGTGAGTCGGAGGAATTACCGGGGTTTTCTGACCCTGATCCTCGAGCCATTTCAGATACTCGTCGAACGATGGCTTTTGACGGACTAGAGCCTCGACCGCCCGAGACTCAACAGCCGTTGGGATCGGGATCGGTTCCGCGGCGACCATGGCCCCATGAACGGGTAAGCTAGCCGCACCGGCAGCCTGCTGGACATGCTGTCCGACCACCGCTGCTGGGCGCAAGAGCTCGTCGACCAGCGCCGTGGCGCCAGCCGGACTTGTCGCGGTGGGGGGATGCTGGCCCGTACATGGCGGCCCGCCCTGCTGTCCGACCACCGCTGCTGGGCGCAAGAGCTCGTCTACCAGCGCCGTGACGCCAGCCAGACGCGCGTCTTGTGCGGTCGGCGTGCTCGTGGACGGGTGAAGATGCTGGCCCGCACCGGGCGGCCCGCCCTGCTGTCTGACAACCGCTGCGGGGCGCAGGAGGTCGTCGGGCAGCTGCGCTGTGACGCCGGTCGGTCGCGCAGTCGGCGTACTCGTCGAGGGTTGAACATGCTGGACCGCAACGGGCTCCCTGTCGAGAGTAATAGAAATGAAGAGTTAAAAGGTGGGGCCTAGGCTTAGTAGCCTAGGCCCGAAGTTAGGTATCGAGCGGTATTTTCCTTAGGAGCGATATCGAGTGAGTTGAGAGAGAAATTGGTGAAAAGGTGGTTTCACTATAGGTTCAGGGGTACATATAGCATAGAAACAAAATAAGGTGCACCACCAACAAAAGTTTACATAACTACACTAACTACAACTACAAGCAATTATAAAACATGACAAAATATTTCGACACGCCCCCATAATGCTTGTAGGTAGGTATGTAGTTACAGCAACAGCAGGTACCCCTACCATCTCCTCACCCTCCTCCATCCCCTCCCCCACACTGCTGCAGAAGCAGCAGAGAAAGGGGGAAGAGAGTAGAGGTGGAGGGACGGCTGCTTGTTGCCTCACACCCGCCACCCCGGTACCACTCCCCCTCCTCACCCACATCCTCACACCCTCCTCCCCCAGCGGCAGCTGCAGCGGTGGGACTGAAAGAAGGAGGAGGGAAAGGGAGAGAGTTGACCCCACGCTCCAACACCCTCCACCCCCATACCCTCCTCCCCACGGCTGCAGGGAGACAAGAGAAAGGGGGGGGTGGGAAGGAAGAAAGCCGCAGAGCGGCGAAGAGGCGTCGGTGCAGATGGGTCAGGGGCGGCAGCAGGGAGTGCAGGGGCGGAAAGGCCCGTCGCGGGCCAGTGCCACGGGGCGCACGACGGGTAGAATAAAAGGGCCCGATCGTGTGCCTCGGGGCACACGACGAGCAGGGCACCATCGTGTGCCACGGGGCGCACGATGGGCAGTAGAAGGGCACCGTCGCGTGCCACGGGGCGCGCGACGGGCAGGGAAGGAGTCACACGCCCGTGGGCGGGACAAGGTAAAAATAAAACCGTCACGCGCCCTAGGCGCGCGACCGTAAAATCTTAGCAGCGGAAGTAAAGCGGGCCCATAGGCCAGGACGAACACTAAGCTCCGATAACATGTCGAGAGTAATAGAAATGAAGAGTTAAAAGGTGGGGCCTAGGCTTAGTAGCCTAGGCCCGAAGTTAGGTATCGAGCGGTATTTTCTTTAGGAGCGATATCGAGTGAGTTGAGAGAGAAATTGGTGAAAAGGTGGTTTCACTATAGGTTCAGGGGTACATATCGCATAGAAACAAAATAAGGTGCACCACCAACAAAAGTTTACATAACTACACTAACTACAACTACAAGCAATTATAAAACATGACAAAATATTTCGACACTCCCCGCGCGCCTGGCCGACCACCGCTGCGACGTGCATGTCGTCTGCCATCTGGGCCGTGCCGCCGCTCGGTCGAGCGCCTTATGTAGTCGCCGGACTGGCCTCGGGGTGTGGATGCTGTTCCGCCGTTGGCTGCCAGCCCTGCTTCGCGACCACGGATGCCTCTCCCATGAGCTCGTCGGCCAGACTCACCTGGCCGCAGCTCGGTGGCGCGTCGTGTGCGCTCGGCGGATCGGTCGGGGCCTGTGGCTGCTTGTCCCCCACGGGCTGCCCACCGGTCTTCCCGACCACCGACTGAGGATCCTGGAGCGCGACGTCGACCTGTCGAAAATCTACGCTCGGTCGCGCGCCAAGTCCATCTTTCAGCAAGTCGTGGACGCCGGGGATACGAACATACGGAGGGGCAGGAGGATCCACGCCCACACCGCGTTTCACCGCAGGTCCTCTGCTTCGCTTAGAGCCGCTGGTCTGGTCGCCGGTCAGGGATTTTTCGTCGGCGACCCTTTTCCCCGACTGCCTTGGGGCCGGCCCACTCTCCTCGGCGGTTGCGCGACCGCCGTGCATCACCGACGCGAGAGCAGTTGGGAGGAGGCTAAACCCGGCGGTGCCAATGCCCTGTTGGGTCGCGGAGGTGACCGCCTTCACCAGGTCGTCCCTAAGCTCTTGGACGACCTTCGCAGTCACGGCAGCGGCGATCCGCTGCGCCTCGCCCTCCATGGCGGCCTTCACCTCGGCAGACACGACTGTTTTGATCTTCTAGCCAAGAGCATCTGCCACACCTCGAAGCAGCAGGAGGTCGTCCTCCCGTCGCCTACCCTGTGCAGCAGTAGCCGTCAAGTGCAGGGCTTGCACGGTGGGCAGCCACTGCGTGTTCATGAATTCTAGGGTGGAGCCGCGATAGCTCACCGCCTCCTGCACGACCGCCCTCATAGCGTCCACCGCCGTTTGGATGCTCCTCCCCGACGTCTGCTCGAGATGGGTCACGCCCTCGGCGACTGTAGTGAGCTTGTTCACGGCCGAGGTGACCACGCCGTACATCGTGTTGTTCCGGGCCGTCTGGAACTCCAGCCTCTTTTCCGCCACCAGCTTCTCCTCCCTCAGCTTCTTGATCTCCCTCTCCGCCGCCTTCAGACGCTCGATAGCCGCCTTTGACGCCATCCTAGTCGGGGTCGAGCCACTGCTGCCCCGGGCCTTCTTGCCCGAATTGGGTCCGCTGCCGCCGCTCTTATCCGCAATCTTCTCACCGGCGAACTGTACTGCTTCCTCTTCGCCGGTGACAGCCACGTCGTCCTCCTCACGCTCCACGTCCTCCTCTTCTTCCGAGCCACCATCGTGCTCCCCGCCCCCCTCGACGTCCTCCCTCTCGTGCTCCTCCTCCCCACCCAGAGCGATGGCGGTTCCGACGCCACGGGCCACGGTCGACGCCGCCTCCCCTTCGTTTGGCGCGGCCTTCTCCGCTTGGTGCAGCAGCTCCAGTCGGAGCGCCTTCAAGCCGACCATCTTCGGGTTCTCGACGATGAGCGGATCGTAGCTGCGATGCACGTCGTCCAGATGCTCCAACGACCACGCGAACGCGTTGACCGCCAACAGCCCCGTGCCGGCGACCTCCTCCTTGAGGATGTCGGGCAATTTCTGCATCAACATCCGAAGCACATGGCGCCGACGAAAAGGGTGAGTCGACGCCTGGACGACGATAGCCCAGGCGACAAGGCGACATGGACGTTGGAAACTCACATCACGGATGGGGGCGGCAAGACTCTCCAGACGTTCGGAGAGGACTTTGGCGGAAGGAGGCGCAGCCGTCGACTGCCTTCCCCCACGGTTCAACTCCGCCTTCACGCATTCGCTGAAAAACCTGCGCTACGAGACGGAAAAGAGCCATCAGACAAGGCGGCATGAACGCCGTTAAGGAGCGGCGCGACTAGCCGTCGACGTTGTCCCACCTCAGAACGTTGGCTGCCTCCTCCTCGTGCCGCTTGGAGGAGGTTTTGGGGTCGAGGTGGCGGTAGAACGTCCCGATCTCCTCCTCGTCGGGCAAAAGCAGGTCGCCAGGGCGCACAACAAGCAGGACGCTGCAGTGCCTGCCGGGAAGAGGTCCGCCACTGCCCACACAAGCACGACGGAGACATTCAGGGTTCTGTCCGGGAACAACAAGCAACGCAGTCGGCGTGGATCAAACCTCACGGGCGCGGAACACTCACCTGGTGCACAGGGGGATGGCGAGGGCTTCGAAGCCGAAGGCCGACCCGAAAATCAGATGGTCCGCCTTCGACGCCGTCCTGGCAGCGCGAAGACTCGCACCGCGGATCAGGATCATCCTGTCGCCTTTTCCCAGACGATCGAGCTCGTACCTGGGACAACCGGGGGCAAAAAGGCGGGAGCGAAACACTTGCGCGATGAGCTACAATCCATGCCGGGCGCCGGGGTAAAGCGCGGACAGCAAGACAAGCGGACTCGGACCAAGGTTTCGCACGACGGCGATGTCGCCAGCAGCATGACGGACGTCACCGACGTAGGGCCAATGGTCGAGGACAGGCAAACTAGTTAATAGGACGACGCAGTGCCAAAACGTCCATCGCAGACGGACATCGTCGACCACGCGGAAAAACGACAAGGCCAACGTCGACCTAGAAAGGACGCCGACGAAAACGCGCAGGACAAGGACGAACAACGCGACCTAGGGATGCGCGCTCACGCGAGGCCGAGGTCGAAGCAAGTTTCTGTGAACTCGGCCTTCTCGTCGCGAAGGACTTCGTAGTCCTTCATCTCAAGCGTCACCCCGTACCCACTGGCACGTGGAGGGGGAATTCAGTCGCAGGCAGTGCTATCCTACTGGTCGCCATGCTAACACCACGGTCGGTATCACGGAAGGTTTGGGGAGGAGCGCGGAGAGCTGACAGGGAGGCAGAGGAAATCGGAAAGCGAAGTTGGAAAGGAGAAATGACGGATGGAGTGGGACCCCCCATCAAGAAAAGGGCGTGGGCCGTCGGTCGCCTAGTATGCAGCTCGGCGGACGAGGCAGGTCGTCGTGGCCGAGGGCGAGCCTCCGGCTTCGGCCCGTACCGGGCATGCCCTCGAGGGCGGGGTTCGGAGGGGCGGAGGTGGGTGGTTTGTGTGGGCCGTGCGTGGGGGTGGTCGGGGTGGCGAGGGCGAGCCACGTGTCCCCTCCCGAGGGGCCAGCGATGTTGACGAGGGTGGGGTCGGGCCCTTTGAATTTCGCAACCAACCCGGCTGCCCGGCGAGGGCAGCCCGAGAGGGTTACTAGGGCCTCGCGGGCAACGCGAAACGAATGTCCGCCTCCGTGAAGGGGTAACTAGGCCCCTCGTCGCTCACGCGCGAGTTCGCCACCCCTCGGCTCCAACGTGGGGTTCGGTAGGAATTGGGGGTGGGGGGCCGGGGCGGGGGGCGTGGGCAGAGCCCCGCCCCGCGCCAGCCTGGCGGGGGACTCACGCGAGGGAGTTGGCCGCCCTGACGCTCGGTCGACCGTCACCCCCCCGCGTCGTCCCAGGCAGAACGGGTGCGTCACCCCGAATTCCGATGAGCGATTCAGTATAAAGAGTATCTTTGGTAGTAAGTAAACTATCAGCCAGCCTTCACATTAGCATCACTCCAAAACTAACTTATGCATGACCGCTAACCTAATGCTCTAAATTATTCCGCCTTGGTTGGCTTGGGAGCTGATTTACCACGATTAAGGCGAGATGCCGGTGTGGAGTGCTCTGATTGAGTGAACCTGATAAGCACTTGCATTACGCCGAGTACGGCAGCCACGCCGACAGCGATCCATCCCAAAGTTGCCCAAGTGAAGGTGATTGACGATAAGTTCCGCGTGAAGATCCAGCCATATACCACGAAGTTCAAAACCGTCCAGAAGCACGTGTGCTGTGGAATGTCAGACGCACAGGCGGCGGCATCAATAACACAAGGAAAGGCAAAAGGGGCATGGCATGAGACATGGTACAGACACCACCACTGATATAAACCATTGACATTTGGGATCATCTTCATCACCCTTAAAAAGAAACAGACCAAAACAGAAAGGAAGCAAAAGAACAGCAAAACAGAACTGCAGAGCTCCAGACTGACCAAAATGGATTTCGGAGACTTGGTCGTGTTGAGCCTCATTTTCTCATTGAAGCCGTTGTGTTCAACATAATAATCCAGGTTCTTGTCCTGCTCATATCACATGAGGAGGGGTAGGTGACATAACAAGAGGATTGGGGGAGGGCGAGGAAGGAGGTGAGAACGTCAATGTGGTGGAGGGGAGATGCCTGTGTGAATATGCTTCGTGAAAGGATTGTTTTTGAGAATCTGAATATGCTTCGCACATTGCATGGCGGAGAGTCACAATCTCAAGGCCTCCTAACAGATTGACTCATCAGCCGCGCATCCCCCACTGTTCCATGCCTAATGAACAACAGACTCGAGTCGTAGACGCAAGGAAACCACCTGACTGGCATGTGCATATGACTTTTAGTCACGTGGCAACCTGGGCATGTGCACCCAACTTTAGACACATCTCCACCTGAGGGGCATGCGTATAGGACCCTAGTCACGCCCCCCGTGCCGCTCGCTCTGCTCTTACCTTTTTCACGTATAATTTTTGGCGCCAAGTGGTTTGTGTTGCCCTCTGCAACTGAGAAATCTTGCTTTCAGACATCTCAACACGCCCATTGTGTGCCTCTTACTCTGCTCTTACCTTTTTCACAAACGATTCTTGGCACCACTTGGAGATGCCCTCTGCATCCTGAGGGATTTGGTCCATGGGGACCCGCTCATAGTACACGTCAATCTGAGGGCGATGAGGACGAAAAGGGTAATGGGGTTGGAAACGCAAGGGATGGGAAGGGGAGAGGATATTTGAGTTGTCTCAAGAATCCATTTAGTGATGCCTTGGCATCCTGCGGAATCTGGTGGTCCATGGGGACCCGCTCGAAGTATACGCCAATCTGAGAGCGATGGGGTTGGAGAGGGTAATGGGTTTGGAAAGGGCAAGGGGTGGGAAGGAAAGAGCGATGTCATTTGGAGATTCCCTCTTCATCCTGCGGAATCTGGTCCATGGGGACCCGCTCGAAGTATACGTCAATCTGAGGGTGATGAGGATGAAAAGAGCAAGGGGTGGGAATGAGAAACAATGAGAACGGTTAAGGGGTGGGGAACGTGAGAGGGTTGACAGTGGGCGAAAGGTGGGAAGGAGAGAGGGGCGAATGCTTCAGAATGGGGATGCACAAACGATGGGAACGGACTTGGAAGGAACGGGAGCAGGAGTGGGCTGGTAACACAATGGAATGCTAACAAGGGATTCACTTTAAGCATTCTCAAAAGTGACTCCGTGGGATGGGAACCGAAGCAGCATGGTGGCACAATGGATCGCTATCAACAACCACAATCGAGGCTTCAACACAGAGGGATGGGAACACAGTATGCTGCACGCAGGTGGGGAGATTTTTGAGACGTCTCAAAAATACCCTCAACACTGGTGGCACAATGGATTGCTATCAACAAACCACAATTGAGGCTTCAACACAGAGGGACGGGAACACAGTGTGCTGCAGGTAGGTGGGGAGATAGAAGAAGGAATGGGGAATGGGGAGAGAAGGAGGGGCGGAGTGAGGAGGGAGAAAGGAGGAGAAGGGAAGGGAGGAATTTAACAAGTGAAAGGGGGCAGGCAGAGAGGCTGATCACTTCCCTGCAAGGCCTTTCTCTTTAGAAATGTTAGTTAACGTCGCAGGTGTTGACTGTTTTTCTTTCTTTCTTTCTTTCTTTCTTTCTTTCTTTTATTTCCAGGTTTTTAGCAAAGACCTGTTGCCGCAAGAAAGGGCGGGCCGCTTACCTGCGAGGCCTTGCGCTTGAAAATGTTAGCGAACGTTGGGGGGTTCTTTCCCACGGGGTAGTTGACGGTGAAGTCATAGATAGCCCCCGCATGTCCCCGCATCTGCTCCACTGACATCACCAGGCCCTGATTCCAGAGACAGATGCATGGGAGGGCGGAGTAGGACAGGAAAGAGGCATATGAGAACATCTCAATTGGGGGGGGTTCCCCCAAAGGGTACTTGACGACGGTGAGGTCGTAGATGGCACCCGCATGGCCCCTCGTCTGCTCAACTGACATCACCAGGCCCTGATTCCAGAGACAGATGCATGGGAAGAGCGGATGGGTGGAGAAGAGGCATATGAGGTAGAGTGGAACAGCTGAACACCTTGGTGCAGGGCACGAGCACGTGGTGGGGGGGGGGAAGCCCGGCTTCCTTGGCGTAATCCTGCGCCGCCTTGAGCACTTTTCCTGTGGCGCCCCAACAGCCAAATACTGCTCGGTTCCTATCCACCTTGATGCACTCCTGCCCACCGTACTGCACTCCAGCCCACCGTACTGCACTCCAGCCCACCATACTGCACTCCCGCCTACCCACCTTGGTGCGGGGCACGAGCACGTGGCGGGGGATGGGCAGCCCCGCCTCCTTGGCGTATTCCTGCGCCGCCTTGAGCTTCTCAGGCGTGAAGCGCGTGCCTTCCATGAACAGAGCCACCCAGAAGAACCGTGGAAAGCTGCGCAGCCGAGCGTAGCCGTCCTGAGCGGGCAGGGAGGCAGGAGGGGTGTAGGGACAGGGATTGTCAGGCGTCTTAAAGGGCAAACGGGGAGTGCAAGGCGCCTTGAGCTTCTCAGGCGTGAAGCGCGTGCCCTCCATGAACAGCGCTGTCCAGAAGAACCGCGGGAAGCTGCGCAGCCGCGCATAGCCGTCCTGAGGGAAGGTGGGAGAGAGAGAAACAAACCGGAGGAAGCAGGAACGTAAGATATAGGGGTTGAGGGAGCAGGGGATACGGGAAGAGAATTCTAGGGGCTTGTAGCTGCGGAGTACCTGGAACCGGACGAATATGGGGCAATATTTCGCAAGGGTGGTTATCTTCACAAGTATTCTGCTCAAAGGAGAATTCTAGGGGGCTTGCCGCGCAAAAAAGCACAATTCTTACGAGTATTCTCCGCTGGTCGGTGGCGTAGTTACGGGCGATGAAGAGGTACTCAGAGAACCACATGGACCAGCCAATCACAGGCATCCACTTGGCCTCCTCCTTGATCAGCGCTCGCGTGCCTCCAAGGCAGCCGCACCTCTGCAGTGGCGTGGGAAACAGAGGGGAGGGGCCGGCGATGAGCGGGGAGGACGGAGATGAGTGGAGGGAGAGTGGGTGGGGGGGGGGGGAGCGAGTGGGGGATATCTCTCCGTTCTGGCGACTCTCCTTCTTCGCATCGTTTCACTGCTCTAATAGCTCTGTGAAGGTTCCGTCCGTGCTTACATGAAACATCAATGTTACTACCCATGTTCCTAGGATGTATGCGAGGCCGCTACAGATTGAGCGCATAATGAGAAGGATCGAGAGACACCCACCTGGGAGAAAACCCAGCCGATGGCCCAGTCAACGTCGCTGCGGTGGTTGCTCACACACAAGGCGCTCTCCTTGCCTGTCGGACAGCACGAACGGAGGAGAGCGCACGAAGCAAAGAGATTCGCGTGCAGCACGAGCGGAATGAGTAGGTCGCGAAAGGATATGCAGATGCAGAAGACAGCAGGATCATCAGCTGAGTGACGAGTGTGCTTCGCAATGTCGGATCGGTGGGGAAGATGTCTATGTGTTCAAAGTCTTAATCAACCGCGTACCGTAATATGCGTGATCCTTGGGATCGCCGTAGAGCCGGACCTGCGGAACGCGTTGACGCACGAGCACAGCGGAATACGAAGTTTCCGTCAGGTGTTGCGTCAACAACGTGTTCTGTCTTACTGAAGAAATAGAGCTTTCTCGTAACTCTCCGTATATTCACACGTTTGAAGCGACGAATCGGTAAGAGCACGCACCTCGACGCGGCCCCACCACTCGATGAGCCAGATGAGCATGGCCCAGAAGGACCCCATGAGGTACCAATTGATGATGCGGTACGTGCGAGGGCTGATGGGGAACACGAAAATGGAGAGCGCGATCTGCGGAAACGGGCGGGAAATCGAGGAATAAAGGACGGAACGCGAACGAAGAGAGGATGCAAAAGTTGAGACGTCGTCAGAGCGGAACTTAGGGCGGCGTTTGAAGCTTCGGCTGCGAGATTCGGTAGATTTCATGAGAAGCACACCTGGATGGTGGTGACTATGAGACTTGATGCAAGGAAGTTGACGGCAATCGGGATGGTGAAGATAACGGAAGCCATGGCGGCCGTAGGGGTCCAGCAAAAACCTGGCACCCTAGAAATCAGTGAATCAAGCAGGCAGATTCACCCTGTGAGAATGGAGAACCTGAACTCCTAAATTAGCCTTGAAAATGGATGGTAGCTTGGCTGAAATAGCGTCTCTCCCTAGAGTCTGTCTGCTGATGTACAGTACGGTTTCAAGGAGGTGTGGTGTGTGGTCGGAGTGAAAAACCATATTCGAAGGCCACCCAGGACCCGTGAATCCTAGGGCTGAGAGGCTTCGAACGGCTTGGCGCGAAAATCGATGAGAGTAGGATCGAGGGAATCTGATTGGCGGGTGTTCGTTTTCTTGATGAAAGAGTGCATGGCGGAGGTTCGCAAATTCTGATGAGGTTCGAGTGTAGAGTTGCTTCAAACAAAGCAAAGACACTTCTATGCACACATATAGAAATATATTTGACAAGTCAGTTCATGCAACCATTAATCCAACCAACGGCATTATGAAATAATTTTCCCAATAAATAAAAGAATCATAATCAATGTTAATCCCCAGGGCTATAACAATCATAGGCCCCCATCCCTAAAACTGGTAAGAATATCTAAGCCCCTGTAGTCTGTATCTGGAGGTATACGGTATCAGAAACAAGCATCACGCTCAACCATTTTAGTGAACCTAGGGATTCTAATCCCAGTCACAGATCTTCACCAGGGACATCCTGGTTTCCAGCGAGTCCTGCCATCAGACTTGGAAGCTCCACCTGCAACCTGCCATATCCTGCTTATATCAACGTACATACAAAACCTATTGGCTAGTAAACTAGATTTAGGCGAGGCCACAAAGATAACATAAGGATAAGGCATGCTAGACGAGAGGCATAGGAGGGTCAAAGCATGCAGAAACGGTATTGATGCACTCTTATCACATGTCTGAGTCTAGGTTGGTTCCATGTGCATTATTCAGTGCATTTTGAATTAGTTGCTTCTGTGGGAAGATCGGGCCAGACAATGGAGAAGACTGGTTAGTGAAAGTGTGAAGTGCGGGAAAGTGCGAAGCCTGTTGAGGAGTCGTGCTAAAAGATGGCTTGTCCAGGACGTTAGGGGTCGTGCAACCTTGGCCGATGTCGCGCGTAGCGAACGAACTCAAAGAATCTGTTTATCACCTGCTGGCGAGGAAGGTGCAAGGGGCAGTAGAAATTGCCGTGGGTCGTGTTTCAAAAGCGTGGCTTGCGCATAATGGCAGTGTGGATCTCTGACGGGTGGGGGTCGCCTCGCCATGTCGTGGTGACAACTCACGTTCACGTCTAGTAATATTTTGGTCGGCTCGCCGTGAGTGTACGAAATGCTGCTGACGCATGTCCTTGAAGGATCATTTTCGAGGAATGTGCAATTACTCGCTTAAGATTGCTGAAGCCTGATGCTTGGCGTCGTGAAGAAGCAAAAGTGGATCACAGTAATTCAGTATGTCGACCCTGTAACACAGCAAGATAACGCAATCTTCATCATTCCCCTCACCTGCGGCTTACCGGCTTTGTTACTCTCGATGTAGGATCACATGTTTGGAACACCCATTTCTGGCCATTTGGCACCTGAGGCCAGAACGAATCGCGTCGTTAAGTCATGGCTCTAGTTCAGCCAGAGGCGCTTGTGCGCAGCCCAAGAAAAAAGAACGAGGGGGCTAATCTCGCGATGCGTGGCAGCATTGAAACAACTGCTGCGAGCCTTCTAGAGGCGCTTCGAGCGTGGAACGACCTCAGCTCGGCCGCACTGGCTCGACGCGCGGTGGATCACCAGAGCTAATCTCCGGGAATTAAAAAATAAGCCCATGCAGGCTCAAAACGCGGGTCTGGAGATCCCAAAAAACTGTCTATAACTACCAGGAGAGCTTGAGAAGACGGTTTGTAGGGGAAAGCAAGCCTTCTAGAGGCGCTTCGAGCGAGGAATGACCTCAGCTCGTCCACACTGGCTGCACGCGCAGTGGATCACCAGAGCTAGTCTCCGGGAATGAAATACGGCCATGCAGGCTCAAAACGCGGGTCTGGAGAGCCCACGAAACTGACTAGAACTACCAGGAAAGCCTGAGAACAAGGCTTCTAGGGGAAAGGAAAACAGAATGAACGGAAACTATTTGGGATGGAGAAACCAGCAGTGCGATTTATACATGGCCAGATGCCTTGAACTGCTGTCACGCGTTCCGCAACACGGTGGTTCTGGCAAGTTCAAGAGTCCTCCTCCTTGTTCGAAGAACCTCGCTCAAGCAACCCGCAAGAAACGGTCATGCTAGACTAGACGGAGATTTTCGTGCATCCAATGCAGACATCTGTCAAGCGGGCGTAGCGTGGCGTGCGTGAAGCATTTTTGCCCGGCAAACCCAGATGAGCGAAACACGTTCCTCCCAGCAGGTTCAGAGATTTTACGTTTCCGAAACATATAATTTGGCTGACCGCCGTCGATTGGGCACATGGTAAAAACTGGAAGTCAACCAGGGAAAAATCGTGTGATTGGCTGGTTCCATCACAAACGCGAACAATTATCGCGCAACATCATCGCGAACGATAGTCTTCGAAAGTCTTGCTGACGGGCCCTCTCAAGTTCAAGCAGTTCGCCCCCAATTCCGCAAGTCACGGTGTCGGTTTTGTGTGGCTGCCTTGGTTGTACGCGAAGGGCGCATTCCTGCGGGGACACTTGTGTCTCAATCCCCGATTTCCTGAGTCGCGCCTGTAAATTTGCCAACTGTTGTGTCACAAACAACCAATGTATCGCGACTCTAGGCGACCAGGCGAGATGTACAGTTGTGCGCATTTGTTTGGGTGACACGAATGACTGTACATCCCTTTTTTCAACCGCTTGGCTGGGGTGTGGTTTCGACGAGCGGGATTTTTTCGCGCACGAAATTGGCATTGCAGGCTGTCCAGGTGCATTGACATTTCGAGCAGCGTTCGAATTTTTCACATTGACGAGTCAGATTACAATTCGTCAGCGACGTCAGCGCGTTTCACGCTGACCAATAAAGAATACAGTGATGGTCGCGGAAATGCGACTCGCAATTGGGACACACTACAGTTTATGCTGTTTTTGTGTGTCACAAAGCGATTGAGACGTTCGTGTCTCCACAGGAATACACCCTAAGACAGCATCTAGAAAAGTATTTCGATAAGAGACTTCAATCCAGACAAACACAACATTAGATCCAATCAAACATGTACTTCATTTATGGCTCTTCTGTGCTCTATAAGCCTTTTTAGCTGAAGTTCTACCACATATATTTCCAGCTGATAGTACCATAATGATTTCAGAATCTTATTTATGGTGTCCCGCTTGGCCCTGGAGTGCTTTCAAGAGCCCCTCCCACCGATGCTCCAGCAGAGAGTGAACTTGGCAGTGTGTCCGGCGATGGCATGCTCCCTACTCCCTTTGTAATGTCACGCTTGCATAGCGGGCATGTCGGGTGTGACTTGAGCCACTTGTCAATACATGCTGCGTGGAAGTGGTGCGAGCATGGTAACTCCCGTAACACACACCCATCCTCATACCTTACAAGGCACACACAGCATTCTGCATCCTCCGCCTCTACATGCCTCCGCCTTGGCGGATGGGCCGAGCCAACCAATGACATGACGCCACCTGTCTCTTCCTCAACTGTCACACGGACGTCCAGCCCATCGCCACTTGGAGAATTTCTGATGCTGCTGTTATTTCCTCCTGCCCGGCCTGCCCGCCTCCAGAGCCCAGCAGCAAGGCCAACCGCGTTGCGCCACATGGCACCGGCAAAGGCAGAGGAGGAGCAGCAGGGGCAGGGGGCGGTTCGGGTGGCTGGAGAGGAGGAGAACGTGGTGGAGGAGGAGAGGGGGGGAGACGAGGAGAGGCGGAAGGAGGAGGAGCAGGAGTGGAAGGGGCATATGCTGCTGGCTTGGGAAGAGTTGTTGGCGGCGGTGCGATGGCGGTAGAACTTGAACTTGGGGAGAGCTTCGATCTGCTCTCGTGTTGCTCCTTCCTGGAAAGAGCAATGCGGCATCAGGATAACAGGATCGGAGGAAACCTGAGCAGAAAATTGGCAAACTCATGCTTGTCACACTGTCGAGGCTGCTAGCACTTTTCACACTGTCCAGCTCAAACAACAAGCAACCCTCAAGGTGATTCTCAGGAAGTGGTCGTAATTGATGATGCAGCAGCTCATGGCCATAACTACACAATGCTCATCCCGCACCCGCTCATGTCATACACCTGATGATGTCGCAATCATTACAGTCACTGTGCTGCCTGCTTGCTCCACTTGTGTGACCTGCATATGCATAGATGAGAGCGATGATGCAGGGCAGGCAGCAGCATACACCACCATACCCACTCAGTGTTAATCCCACACTCATCACCCATGCCAGGCCCCCTGACTGCTCACTGCACTCGCCTGGTCTGCAACAGCGTAGATGAGAGCAATGATGCAGGGCAGGCAGCAGCACACGGCCATGCCCACAACGCACGCCACAGCCACACAGAAGACGACGAAGAACACGTCAAACGCCAGGAAGGCTGTGGTCGCCCTGATGTGGTGATGCAAAGGAATGTGGAGGTGGAAGGGGGTGGAGATGGGTGAGGTGAGGGAGACGAAAAGTGAAGAGATCAGGAGCAGTTGTGGAAGCAGGTAAGCAGTAATTAGTACACACGGCCATACCCATGACACACGGAATGGCCTGCTACTGGTCGTGGCCATTACGCATGACACACGGAATGGCCTGCTACTGGTCATGGCCATTACGCATGACACACGTAATGGCCTGCTACTGGTCGTGGCCATTACCCATGACACACGAAATGGCCACACAGAACACGTCAAACGCCGGGAAGGACTCGGATGGCCTGATGTGGTGATGCGAGGGGAGTGGGGGGAGAGGGAGGAGGGGGGATGAGCGAGATGATGAGGTGAAGGGAAAAGGAGAGCAGTGGAAGCAGTCTACTCTTGAGGTGCTTCATAAATGGTGGCGTGTCAAGTGTATGAGTAGAGGGCATGAATCTCATCAGGAGAGGGTCTCACCAGGAGAGGGTCTCACCAGGAGAGGATGGGCGCGTCTTTGAAAGAGTCGTCGATGGTGGAGAGGATCCACGTGAAGCCGACGAGCCACCAGGCGAAGGAGAACATTGTGTTGGCTGACTCTACGCGCCGTGCCAGGCTGCAATAGGGTGAGAGGGTGAGAAGGAGAGAGGGAGGCATGAGAGCAAGCAGGAGAGAGCATGAGAGGAAGTGAGCTCGAGCCACCAGGCAAAGGAGAACATTGTGTTGGCTGACTCTACGCGTTGTGCCAGGCTGGAATAGGTGAAAGGGAGGGAAAGCAAGAGGGAGAGCAGGAGAGAGAGAGAAGGAGAGATCACGAGAGCAAGCTTGAGCCACCAGGCGAAGGAGAACATGGTGTTGGCGAACTCTATGTGGTGTGCGAGGGTGGAGAAGGTGGGGGGGGAGGAAGAGGGAAATGGTACGAGGGGGGTAAGGGAATCATGGTGAAGAGAGGGAGGGTCAGGTGGTGGGTGGAGCATGGGAGAGTGGAGGGGAGCACACTGCAGTGCTTCTTACTCACCTAAGAGAGAGGAAGGGACACCAACCACCGCAGTGCTTCTTACCTCTGATCTGAGTCGTCCGATTCACCTTCATCCACAGCTCCCACCATCATCTCTTCATCATCCACCGTCGATCCTTCCTCACCCCTCATTCTTCCGCCCGCCCTTGCCTGCCCATCCCCCCTCCCATCCTCCCCGCCCGCCCTCTCCTCCCCCAGAAGCCCCTCAAGCGCCTCCCCTTCGCGCACTTCCCTTTCCAGTAACAGAGCCCGTCCCGTTATAAGCACAGACGCTGCTTCGTCTAGAGTCGCCACTCTACCCGCGTCCCTCCTGCGTAGAATGGAGATGAATTCCTCTTCTCTCTCCCTTTCGCTACGGCTGCCCGTCACTTCCACATTTCCTCTGCCATCCCCTCTCCCCCCCATCCCCCCCCGTTCCCCCGATTGGTCCCGCGACGCATCGAATCTCGTCCCCTCCACATCCCCCGCCGCCTCCCCCGCTTCACCCCTCCCACTATTCACGTTCTCGTCCCCCTCGTTCGCTTCCCCGCCCCCCCTCATCTCCCTCCCTCTCTCCCTTTCCCTATCCCTCCGCTCTCCCCTTGCGCGCCTCCCCCTCCTCCCCCTCCCCCGCCCGCGTCTCCTCTCCCTGCGCTGCTCCCGCTGCTCCCGTACGCGCCGGCTCTCCCGCCGCTCGTGCTCCAGCAGAACGCAGATCACGTGCACGGCGCATTGCACGGCGTAACCGAGTAACCAGATAGACAGCGGCGCGGGCGGGCGCTCGTTGCGCGCCTGGCTTATAAAGAGCGTGATGGCTGTGACTACAACGAAGGCGAGGTTCCAAAACGCGTCGAGGATGACCACGGGGCGGGAATACGCCCACGTGCTGGGCTGCGGGTCGGGCAGCTGAAAAAACAAAAACAAAAGCAAAAACAGAAGGAAAAGCAACAAAAGATATGTAAACGAAGAATACGTTTAGAAGTGCGAGGTTGGCTCGGAGAACGAAAGCAGAAGCCAACACAGAATCACAACACGAATGGTGCATGGGATAGGTTCGGATCGGACCTGTTCCGGAGCTGAGGTTCGGCGAGGCGACTGTCGACGGCGCATCAGCTGCTGCATCCCGACCTGCTGAATCAGCCTCGCGGCGTCCAATGCCATTGCGCCACCTGTCCTCGACCACGGCTGCGCCGCGTCGTTCACCGCAAAATGCGGCGAGGGCGGCGACGGAGAGGGCGATTCGCCTGGAGTTGACGAAAAATCGTCGCGAGGAGTTGACGGATCGCTGGATGACGCGCCGAAAGACAGAAGCGCTTCGGTTTCCGAATCAGCGGCGCTGGTGACGGCTGTGGCGGCGAATTCGGCCGCGGCGGATTCGGCAACGGCAACGGCGGCGGCGGTGGCGGCTGCGATGGCGGCGGTGTCGTTTGTGATGGTGAGGCTACCATGGCTGTTTCCATAGCCATTGCTGTTGTCGCTGCTGCTGCTGCTGCTGCTGCTGCTCTCGTCGCCTCTTCTTGCCCGGCTGCCGCAATCCAGACCGCCCGCGTGGCCCTCTTTCCTGTCGCCCATGCTGGTCGCCGTTTCCTCTTTAAAGGCTACGGCCTACTATTCCAGCTGATCGCTCTCTGTTTCTTATAACCGGAGAATTAGATAAGGGCCTAAGGAGGTGACGCTAACGGTAGGAGATGCGCGCAACTGAAGGCGCCTAAGAGTGTCGGGATCTCGGAATGCGACGTCTCAAACCACCATTTTTTTTTTCGGTTTTATTAATCGGCTGGACTACTGACGACTTTTGAGTCGACTCAAAAGACTACAGGGGCCGCGGGTTGGCAGCGTATCTGCCTGGGCTGAATCCCATTGCCAGGGACAGCTAGACGGTTCACTGACTAAGGAACTTAGCGCATTCGCAAGGGGCAAAGCTGTGGTGAGTCAGCGCGTAGAGGGAATGAATCACGCTATTGATAATGACGCATGAAGACTTGGTGGGTGGTGCCGCATCATCCACTCAAAGCCACACATAAGGAAGCAAGGCGAGGAAAAGGGTGTAGGGAGGAAGGGTGGTCGTCACATCCTCAGCACACTAGATCTTGGTTTGGAGGGAGTGTGCACCCATCCGCCATGCGTCAGCGGACAGGGACGGCCGATGGTATGAGGGAGGGCAGGTTGGGTTGGGATGGGGGTGGGGTGGGTGGGGGGGAAAAGGACGGGGCGGAGGAGACAAAGGGAGGAAAAGGGGCGAATTTCAGGAGAGAATGGAATGCGGTTGAGGCGTGTGGCTGCAATCTAGGGGCAAGCGCTTTGTAGGGGGGATTTGCAGGTGAAGGTTGGATTGGAAGAGCAAGCCGCAGATTTGTGCGAAAACAGATGTCTATTGGCGATGCGATAGACGACCGAGATGTGCGTCGGGTTTGTGTGTGGGGGAATGTGATCTCTCTTATTGGTGGCGACGAGATCCTCCGCTGACGAATTTCTGAACGGATTGAACAGGTGGTCCGGGTGGGGTTGCGAACTCTGATGACGACCCGCGAAGGCGGCGTTGCTTATCGAGACGCTGAACCACGTGGCGAAAAGAGATTTGTTTATTTGCGCCCTCGCGCCTCGTATGGGGGCTCGGAGGCGGCTTGGCAGGATACGGACAACACCAAATATCCCGCATACGCGATTCCTCAATTGCAGATAACTAGTCTATAGTGTTTCTCATTCAGCTAAAGAATGAAAAACATAACATTTTTAATGATGGTTACAAACAAACTCATAGATCTGTTCGTTTTGACGACATCAATGCTTGGTGAGCTGGCAATGCCTAGTTTGCATATGCGGAACGGATTACCTTATCTGGAGGATAGAGCTGAGGCTCAGCCAAGCCACGCAGAGCATTCGCCTTATTGTCAGCATGCGCGATTCGGCAGGACAATACGCGATCACGACTCTGCGACAATGCCAGCCTGTGAGACCCATGTTCCTCTTTATATTCCTAATGCATCGTGTCGTGATTATCCGCCTTACCTTACGTCTAACATCACTCACGCGCTCTGGACGTCCTTACCACGGATACCTCACGCCTACGTCTTACGGCTCGCCAAGAATTCGTCCTGGATTTGCAAGAGCCGTCTCCCGCGCATGCGATGTTGTTTCCCGAGTCCTCTGAGCGATTGGCTCGAAAACATCGCGACTTCACTTTGGCAAACGTGCTTTCTGGACGACATGCCTGTCGCTCATGGCGGCTCGCCAAGCTACGCCTCTCTGGCGCCACGATTTCCGAACGAGCCGCGTCGAAACGCCTGGACGTATCATTTCGTGATGGAAAACCTCCTGGGATCCGCCTTGTGCTTTGGCCGACCCAAGTTCTTTCCGATATCGGACACCGTGTCAGGGCGACGATAAGTTCCTGCCGTCGCTAGCAACGCCGCGTAAGCTCGTTGTTCATCAGCATCACCTCAACAAGAGGGCAGTCCTCCGTTTTCTACTTAATCAGCATCACCTCAGCTTCGTCGTACAGGTTCCTGTCATTGCGGAAGCCGTTTCTTCCTTAGTCGATTCAATAGTCTCGGCATGGCGCAGTGGGGAGCGCGAAGGCCGCGATCGACGCCATCAGCCGGCGGCGGCGGCGGCGGGCGCGTCGCGCACGCTCGCGACGCGAAGGTCGTCACGCTCGTGGACGACTACGAGGATCGCAAGACCGGAGCCGTCGGATTGACGCGCGATCAGCGCGTCTCGCTCGAGTTCAAGCCGTTCGATAGCCAGACCTATCTGCATCTCCGCAATAGGCGCATGGCGGTTCTCTCCAAGGCCGCGATTCACGGCGCCGGCCTCGGTAGCGTCGGGAGTGTCGCCTCTCGGAGCTATAGCGAGGACGACTGGGAAGACTATGATCCCGAAAACGAATATGCGTATAACGAGTACGGCGATAGTGAGGGCAGCGGCGAGGACTCTCCGAGGCGAGGCGGCGCGAGGCGGCCGCGCGAGCCGGAGCTGTACGACGCGATTCGGCATCCCCTGAGCGAAGCCTTCGACGCGGTTCGCGAGAAGCTCGAGCGCCGCGCGCTGATGGTCGGCGGAGGCGGAGGCGGAGGCGGAGGCACGGGAGGGGGAGGGCGCGCGCAGGGGGGAGTGGAGCGGGTGAAGCTTCTGGTGCGGCTGGGGAAGCTTCTCTTCTCCGTGCAGGGCAGGCCGGAGTGAGTGCAGTGTTGCCGCTATTTTCTTATGCTCGTCGTTTCAAGCTGTTTCGCCCCTACTCCTCGTAGCGATCCCACCTACATCCTTCTGCATCCTCCCCTCTTTGAATTGAAACCCCCCTCTTCTCCCCTTCCCGCTTCCCCCTTCCCCCCTCCCCTCCTCCTCTCCCCTCCTCCCCTATCCCTGACTCCCCCAGTCCCAGCGCTACCCTGACCAACATCCCGCCATTCTCAGCCAAGACATTCGAGGAACACACGAACGAGCATGCCCTGTTTGCAACGGCGGTTGATTTTCTGTGATTCTAACCCCCCTCCTCTCCCCGTTTCCCCTCCTCCCCTTCCACCATTTACCATTCCCCCCTTCCCCAGTCTCAGCGCAACCCTGACCAACATCACGCCCTTCTCAGCCAAGACATTCGAAGACCACATGAACGAGCATGCACCGTTTGCGAAGCAGGTGTACCGGACCTATGAGAGCCACCTCCCGGAGAGTGCATATCAGCAGGTGAAGGACATGCTGCTGGGGGATGGCCAGGTGGCGCACTCGCTGGGGGAGAAATACAACATTCAGGTGAAGTGCAGGTTGGTTGGTTGAAAGCGGTTGAAGTGAGTTGATTTCAGTTTTGAGTCTTTTCTCGGATTGTTCCTGCTAGCACTGCAGCGCTAAAAGACAGGTTCGCGATGTGCCTTGAAAAAGATGCTTCCCACATGTGATGGTACATGCGCGCACTGCAGCAGCATGGATTCATACTGGAGACTCGTTATGAGGCGTGTATCAGACTTGAGGCAGGCAAGTTTATTCCAAGGCAGCCTCACCTCAATGCTGGTTCTCCTGTTCCGGCTGTGCCAATCACTGATTGCATATCATTTGTCAGGTGGTGGACACGAGGGAGCACATCGTGTACAAGGCAGTCTGCAGGCACAGCCCTCAGGAGCAGCGCTTGACCGTGAAAAAGGTGCCGTGGCTGGTTTACGCAAAGGTAGCACACACGTAACACGGGGACAGCGGCTGTTCCCGTTCACGTTACATGACCATGTGGAACGGTTTCAGCTTGTGATGAACGTTTTTCGCCGCACTCGTCACTCCTGTTGTTGGAACCATTTTCCATGTGCTCACTATTATTCGGTATTTCCCTGCTTCTTTACGGTGCCTGTGTTGCTTGCTTCCCTGCAGCCTCATATGATGCTCAAAAGTGATATTGATGCTTTCGTGGTTGTGAATGCAGGTGAAGAAGCCACCTGTGCGCCATGCACTGTTTGACATTGCACGCCCTGACAAAGTCGTGGACGCGCGCTTGATCCTCGTCACCGAGACGCACTTGACGACACTGGATGTGAGTCTTCCCTCCCCTCTTTTTGCCCCCACGTTCTCACCCTTCGCCATGCACTATTCGACATTGCACGCGCTGACAAGGTTGTGGACGCGCGCTTGATTCTCATCACCGAGACACATCTGACGGCACTGGATGTACGCACCACCAAGACACCAAACCCTTTGTAACCCTTTGTATTGTCCACTGAATTTCGTTTCAGAAAGCTTCCCTACTGGCATGCCTGTTTCCCTACCGAGTTTTGGTTTTTAGACATCATTTTCCTTCTGCTTCCTCCGGTCTCCCTCCACCCCTCACCCCCCAATCCCACTTGCTCCCCATTCCCACCCCATTCCCTGTACTCGTTTTCTCTATCCCCAAATCATTACCCTATCCCCGTCATAAGCTGGAAGAGGCACTAGAGAGAATTCTCAAGGCCACAAAAATCGACCCCCAGAGTCCTGCAGGGCTGCTTATCCCAGCTCACATGAACCACACGATTTCCTCCTTTTCCCTATCGCTTTCTGACTGAATACTCTGCAATCCCATCACCTTCCCGCCCCCTCTTCCCTCGTTCCCCTCGCAGGATGAGTTAGAAGTGGCACTAGAGAGCATTCTCGAGGTTACCGAGATCGACCCCTAGAGTCCCGCAGGGCTGCGTTTGAGTCGACTCAAAAGCAGACCCCTAGAGTCCCGCAGGGCTGCGCATCCCAACTCACTTAAACCACATGATTCCCTCCTTTCCCCCATCGCCTTTTGAGGCGCCTCAAAAGACATAAACCACATGATTCCCTCCTTTCCCCCATCGCTCTTTGACTGAACTCTATGGAGCTCCTTCTACCCCCCCCTAACCCGCCCTCCCTTCCCTCCTTCCACTCTCAGGATGAGCTAGAAGTGGCGCTAGAGAGCATTCTTGAGGCCACGAAGATCAATCCCCAGAGCCCAGCAGGACTGCGCATCCCATCTCACATGACAGAAGCCCATGGAAGCTCTGATACCACCAGTAGGCGCGATGCTGGTGGTGGTGGTAGCAGGGACTATGGTGGCACGACTAGCAGGGGCTATAGTGGTGGTGCGACCAGTGGGAGATCTGCTGGTGCTGGGAGCAGCAACAGGTTTGTGGTGCGAGCGGTGCGGCACGCCACGACGAGGCGGGCAGAGGGGAGAGGGCGGGTGTGGAAGCTGTCCCGTGTGGATGGGGTTGAGTTCAAGGAGGGGGGTGGGCGGCAGACCAATGAAATCGAGTTCTGCCCGGTTGCATGGCAGCAGGAGCTTAAGGTATGATTTGGAAAATCAGTTCCTTGAACTAATTCTTTTTAAGGGTGCCTGGTATCTTTGGCTTGGGAGAGGATTTCTGCATGACTAAATACTTATGTGGTGTCATGCACATCAACAGCAACTCATTTTGTCAGATGTTATAGTCATCATTCCGTTCTGGACACATTGTCACATCCCCATTCAACTCTCTATTCCACCTGCTGATGCGCTTATTCCCCCTCTGTAGGGTGGCCCTGATGGGCATGCCAGCCCCAGGGGGCAGCAGCAGCCCCCCACGTGGACCACAGAGGAGATCATGGCGGAATGCCCTGGATTGTTGTCGTGGCTCAGCAAGAACCTTCCATGATCAGCAAACAACATACGGTAGATGGGAGATGCAACGGGGAACAATGTCCCTTAGCTTGGTGCACTACTTGCACCCTTGGGTGAAGGGTTTAGCAGGGCATGGAGTGGATGTAAACAGCGATGTGCTCTGGGTTGCTGGAGTACGTGAAAAGCAAGGCTTGTTGATATGATCGGTTGAGGCGCACTAGCAGGGTTTTAACGTGATAAAGTTTTTCTAGAAAACAATAGGTGTTGTGGCACTTTTGTTTCCTCGCGTCCTGTGCTACTGAACCAGCACACTTTCCGCGTACCGCGAATTCGGTGTATTCCCGCCGCTTCGCAATCGTCACCGTCACACCTGAAGCGGAACAAGGCCCAACACTTCAGGACTTGAGCACAGTTAAGTGTGATATGGTAGGTTATGGTTCGGTGCAGGTACGTTGAGCTGGCTGAGAAAGCGGTTGGGTTGGAATGACGGCGACCCCAGGCGATACATTTTTGCTTCACGGAATCCTAGATTCCAAATGTCTTTGTGCAGGTGCACTGAATGTTAGTACTCCCTCCCAACCCTGAACAGCTGTCTCGTATGATAAGCATGTCAACTCGTCATAGTTACTGAGGGCGTGTCCAGTTCATTCACTCCCTTGGTTTTTAGTACCAACACACGTCTCGAGGTTCAGAAATTTCACTGTACCTATAAACGAATGCATTGTGAGTTGAGTCCCACCCACCTGTAATTTCAGGAGCGCGGACACGTTCTCCGCCTTACGAATCAACAGTGCTCTGATCGGGTTCGAAACGAGGTAACGGTATCCCTCGTCAATCATAGCTAACGAATTTTTGTGCAGGCGGGGGGGGGGGGTGTTGGCGAGTGTAGCGAGCTACTGGCGAAATTGTGCAAGCGATACATGGGGCACTACTGTAGTGGCCATGACGCGGTGCTGTACCCTTGTTCGTGTCCCCGCTGATTCCAGTAACGTGAGTCAGACGACTCGAGGTACGTGCAGGGTTTTGTGAACGAAAGCTGATTGTGTCCGCAGGACACGTTCAATACAGTGTTACAACAAAAAATGTGGTAACTGAGCGGGCTTACGAACAGTAAATGTACGAGCTGGACACTTCCTAAGCAAGAACAATTCGAGGTGAGACCTGACGATCACGTCGACATAGGCACAAGCATTGAGAACAGCGAACAGGCGCGCATTCTGTGCATTTCCGAGATCCAGTATGGCGAGAGAGACTCGGAACAGACGCTGTTGGGTTTCCTCATTGCATCCGTGGTAGTTTTTTACATGAAAGAACTTCAGAAAGACGACGTTGACGGGGAACCCTTTGCTGCCTAACACATACCAGCTTAACTTCACGAAGGTCGTCTCCTTTTTTTTTACGCATCGGAACGGAGGGGTAGTCCTCGCAAGAGATTCGCCGCGCCTTTTTTTCTATCATGACTGACGGAGACTCGCGAAGGCCGATTCCACTAGTGCTCAGATCCAAACGTCCAATTTACCATTCCAGCGACGTGCGGTTACTAGCGCTCGTGGACGATTACGAAGATAAGAAGGCCGGTGATCTTATTTTCACTCCGGACCAGAGAGTTTCCCTTCTTTTTAGAGAATTTCGTAACCAATGCTATTCCCATTTGGGATATACACTTCTTGCCGTGCTTGCCAAGGCCCCATTCCAGGGAAATGTCGAAAATTGGCTGTACAAAAGAAATAGCACTTTGGGTGATTTAGAGCATAAATCTGGTACGGATTCATGGTCGGTTCATGGAGATGTTAACAGCGAGGATAGCGAAAACCTTACAGGTTTGAATGGGGAGGGCAGCGGGAACAGCAGGGGAAACGAGGACAGGCCAGAAGAGGCCCCAATGATGATTGCAATTCGGCAGCCTCTGATCGAATCCCTCAATCTGGTTCGAGAGAGAATTGAGCAGCGGGCTCTGCAGGTGGGAGATGCTGGTGCTTGTGGCGAGATTGAGAAGATGAAGCTCCTGGTTAGACTCGGCAAATTGCTATTCTCCGTGCAACACAGGCCTGGGTACGTGTGCTCTCGTGTACCAGGTGTGATCGTGGAGTGTTATTCATCCAAGGTGTCTGCACGCACTTGGTGTGACCGCATCCTGTTATTTCAGTCCGTTTCGCATCTCTGGTGCTTCTCATACTTCCTGCCCTTTCGTTTTCTGATCCCAGCAAACACTTTCGTGGAAAGTCCCTTTCATCCAGTTCTTGACTGGGTTCCTTGATTCCTGTTTTATTTTGCCAGGAAGTTTCAACCCAGAAATAATTTCCTCCTCAATCAAAGCCCCACCGAATGAATACCTACCTTCTTTTGTTTACTTCGTTTTCCAGGGAGTCTTTATCGAGGATACCATCATTTTCTGCTCAAGTGCTGGAGAATCATATGAACAAGCGAGCACGGTTCAAGGTTCCGATACACCGGACGATTGAGACGCACGTGCCTGACAGCATCTACAGCAAATTAGAAGACATGCTGATGAGGGATGCCGGTGATTCATGCCAAGCGGCTGCTCTGAATACATCTAGTGAGAAGTACAACATTCAGGTATTTTTATCGCGTTGGCTGTTGCTCGAGTGCATGTCTATAAGGAGGTGACATGTATGATTGATTTGTGGTATTTGTGCCTGTTCAGGTTATTGATACTGAGGCACACATTCGCTATAAGGTGGTGTGTACATATCTTGCAGAAGAGCGACAATTTTATGTAAAAAAGGTAGGACTAGCTGGGAGAATGGGGATCAATGCATTTCCTTCCCATGATTATTATTTTTATTATGTTCTGCCTATAATACTGGCCTAAAACGAAATGCAATGTCTTGAAGATAATTGTATTGGTTGCTGGTTGTTTCTGCGAATTCAGGTGAAGAAGCTGCCTCTGCGATACGCAGTCATTGACATAGCGCGGCCTGAGAAGGACGTGGATGCTCGCTTGATTCTGTTCACAGAAACGCATTTGAATACACTGGATGTGAGTCGCATATGCGTGAATGTGATGGTAATTGCCTGTGTGTGAATGGCGTTTGCATGCATGTCAGTGGGGTATGCATGCATGTTTCAATGCCATACGCATGGATGTGATGATGGGCGTGCATGGATGTGATGATGGGCGTGCATGGATGTGATGATGGGCGTGCATGGATGTGATGATGGGCGTGCATGGATGTGATGATGGGCGTGCATGGATGTGATGATGGGCGTGCATGGATGCGATGATGGGCGTGCATGGATGTGATGATGGGCGTGCATGGATGTGATGATGGGCGTGCATGGATGTGATGATGGGCGTGCATGGATGTGATGATGGGCGTGCATGGAAGCGGCTTGTGTGTGCATCCATGTTTCAGTAGCATATGCTTGCATCCGAAACAGCAAATTAATAGCGTGGAGACAATACCAAGTCTTTACCCTAAACTCCAGAGAGACTTTATAACGAACATGCATGCTCGGAAACAAACTAGATTGTCGATGGAGCTCCAGTATGTTGGCGTTTCCTGTTCTCTATCAATCTGAAACCCTGTCTTGCCCTCCTATACAGGATGAACTAGATGCTGCAATAAAGAGGATTTTGGAGTTTTCACAGATCGACTCTTGGACACCAGGAGGGCTACACATTCCAGCTCACATGACAGAAGGCTATGAGTGTTCAGCTCCTGGTTATGGTAGCTGCGGCTGTGATGGCATGGGTAGGGCGTTTGGAGAGAGCAGCGGGCAGAGCGACAGAAGCAGAAGGTTCCAAGTGTGTGCGGTTCGGCATGTTACTGTACGGAAGGCGTTGGTGGGAGGGAGAGTGTGGAAGTTTGCACGAGTGGATGGGATTGAGTACAAGCAGGGAGGTGGGCGGCGGACCAATGAGATTGAGTTTTGCCCGGTTGCATGGCAGCAGGAGCTGAAGGTATGTATGAAGCACGAAGTTGGTCCTGCTCTGTGAGGGCAGCAGGAGTTATTCTAGTGTCTTTGACATCATGTGATAGCGTGCCATAGGATAGCATGCATGCATATTTTTTAGGAGACACTCACTCTGACCATCACACACCATCACAATCACACTCATGAACTCCACCACTGCATGTCGAGGACCGCTTGCGTGGTCTGATGTCAAGCAGAATTCCTCACGAAGCATCAACTCTCTCTCTACTGGTACCCTCGTTCAGAAGCCTCAAGCCTGCTTTATGCATTCCCGATTCAGTCAATTACTCACCCTTACTCTGTTCATCTCCATGCCTAGTGTAACACTGGCAGACCTATTTGCCAGATCCCATTTTCGTTTACCAATGCACCTGCGGATGTGTCCATTCCCTGTTGCCATCCCACCTGCTGGTGCATTTGTTTCCCTGGCTCAGTGTGGCATGGGAGGGCCTGGCAGCAGCAAGGAGCAGCAGCCCCCCTCGTGGAGCACTGGAGACATCATGGCAGAGTGCCCTGTGCTTCTGGATTGGATGAGCCAGAACCTGCCATAAATGCAGGGCACATGGCGGAATAAAATACTGTGCTGGGAGAGCAAAATTGACGCTGGGGGGCATGGCAGCGCCAGGGAGCACCGGATAAGACCCCATTGTGGAGGACTGGACTGGAGTCATCATGGTGGAGTGCCCTGGGCTGCTTGCTCGGCTGAGCGAAAAGCTGCCGTAAATGGACCAGAGGAAATCATGAAAGTCTGCTGTGTGCTGCTGGCATGGCCAAGCGAGAACCTGCTGTAAATGTAGTTTCTGTATCTGCCTATGTAAATAGTGAATTGATGGGGTCGAGGAAGGTGTGACAGGAAGGAGTGTTGAATACATGAAAAACGCTAGTTGATCTTCTAGCTCCGTTTTCATTGGCTAAGGGAATATGTGGGGGTGCAATTAATAGCATCACCAATAGCATGATGTAGTACGGTAGTATATGTGGAATCAGGTATGGTATGTTGAGAGCATAGGTTGCTTTTCATTTTGAGTGCATATTTCAGAGCATGAGGTAAGTAATCTTCTGTTCTCATGCTCCTCAAATTTCTGCTACGACATCCGTGTAAGACCACTCAATACCGAATCCTCTACCTATATTTTTAGTAACGTTGTGACTCGTGAGGAATACGCCCTTTTGTTAGTCCGCAGCGCGGGAAATCGTGAGCTTGCTGCGGCAGCGGGAAACACGGGAGGCGGAGGATAAGAACCGTCGATCGATCCAACGGTCCGATAGTGCGTGAAGACTCCAGAAAGATGAAAGGCGGACCGTCTCAGAATTCCGACATGAGAAAAAGCATAGCCGGCGGATCATCGGGGACACGCGAGGAGGAGAAGGATAGCGAGTCGGGGGAAATGGAAACGGAGAGAAAGCCTTCGGTTGTTAAGAGTTGACGAATTGACTCCGCTGCTCAATAGCGGGGATGCGGCAGGATCATCATCAAGCATCGCGAGCACACCTCCGTTCTCAAGCAACGCCTCTACTACGCGTCTGACTCCTGACGCGCCTACGCCTCCAGGGATCATTGGCAATGCCTCTACTACGCGTCTGACTCCTCCAGAAAAAGTGGCGATGGGGGATGAAGAAGAGGCATACGGTGATGACCAACCGCAGTGCCGAATCTGTCTCGAGAGCGACGGTGGGTAGAGCAACGCATTCCTGCATCTTTCGTTGCCGAGTTGAGCGGTCTGGATGTGATGAGCGGGAGGAATTCGCCTTGTCAGGGAATGGGGGGACGAGAAAGCGGCGATCGGGGATGAAGAGGGGGACGACGAGGACCAACCGCGGTGCCGCATCTGCCTCGAGAGAGCGACGGTGCGTGGGTTGAGGCGTCTCAATATCGAGTTTTTAGACGTTAAAACCCCAACCGCAGTGCCGAACGTGCCTCGGTGGGTACTAGCGATTTGTTGCTGCCATTTCTTAGGCGCCTCAAGGATCGGGGATGATGAGGAGGCGGAGTCGCAGTGCCGAATCCGCATTGAGAACGACAGATGCGTCACGATTTCAAATCGCGGGTCCTCCTCGTCGTTTCAGGCGTCTATCACGGGTATTACATATCATGTACGAAAGACGACTACATGCCTTCTGCAGCCTCCTCCTCACTCCCCACCTGGTCGTAGTCTCCGCCTCCGCCTCCGTGGATGGCTGATTTTGAGGTTCCTTCCGCCTCCGTACAACTCCATCATTTGTGAGAGGAAGGAGAGGAAGTCATCATTTGTGGCCTTTCTCGCACCTCCATCGCACCTCCATCGCACCTCCACCGCACCTCCACCGCACCTCCACCGCACCTCCACCGCACCTCCACCGCACCTCCACCGCACCTCCACCGCACTTCCACCGCACCTCCACCGCACCTCCATCGCACCTCCACCGCACCTCCACCGCACTTCCACCGCACCTCCCCCCTGCACCTCCCTTTCTGAACAGGTGACGACCTCATCGCTCCTTGCAAATGCAAGGGCTCTGCGCAATTCGTGCACCGTTCTTGTCTGGACCAATGGCGGGTCACCAAGGAGGGATTTGCTTTCTGCCATTGCTCCACGTGCAAGACGCGCTTCCACCTGCGCGTGTGCCCGCCGCCCGACCCGCGATGCCGCCACCTCAAATTCAGATTCTTTGTCGCGAGGGATATCGTGTTCGTAACACTGCTGGTGCAGATGGTGAGTTTTTTTTTTTTTTTTTTTTTTTTACTTTGTTGCGATGGATATTGTGTTCGTAACGCCACTGGTGCAGATGGTGGGTTACCTCTTTCCCTGGTGATGACTTTTGTCGCGCCTCAGAAGTCGCTGCTGGTGCAGGTTTTGATATTTTTCCCGTTTTCTCTCTGGTGAAATGCTTCCACTTTTCTTGTCACTCGATCTGTCACTCACTCCCTCACTCTCCCTTTTTCACTTTCTCCTCCCTCCCTCCCTTCTTCACTCCCCCCTTTTCCTCTCAATCTCCGCCAACCCACCAGCTGATTATCTGCTTTGGCTGCATTGCATACGTGGTGGATAACTATTTCGACATGGGCTTGCAGAAATCATGGGGCGTGGAAAGTGCAGCAACGTTCTACTACATTTGTGGTGAGAGATGGAGTGAGAGAGGGAGTGAGAGAGGGAGTGACAGAGGTAGTAACAGAGGGAGTGAGAGAGTGAGAGGATGGTGTGTATTGCCAGGGCAGGCATGTGCGGTGAGAGAGTGGTGTGTTGTTGTATCTGCTGATCTGTTCCATTGCCATCATCCCTTGAGTCCACCCACATTCCACCCACCCCCTTTTGAGTCTCTTTTTCTAATTCACAAAAGTCACCCACATACATCTTATCCCCGTTTGTGACATCTTACGTTACCACACTACCCTTAACCCCACCCCTTGCCCATCTCTTACATGCAGTTTCTTGACCAAGTGTGCTGCTCATGATCGTCTCTTCCTTGTCTCTGTGGGTGTTGGCACCATCGCTCATGTGCCATCACTCTTCCTTCCGCACAATCACTCCGTCATAACGTGTGTTGACCCACCCCCTGGTCAGATCTCCCTTAACCATCTCGTCGTGTCCGTCCATTCCAGGTGTGTTTTGAGTCGACTCAAAACACTCCCTTAACCATCTCGTCGTGTCCGTCCATTCCAGGTGTGTTTTGAGTCGACTCAAAACACTCCCTTAACCATCTCGTCGTGTCCGTCCATTCCAGGTGTGTTTTGAGTCGACTCAAAACACTCCCTTAACCATCTCGTCGTGTCCGTCCATTCCAGGTGTGTTTTGAGTCGACTCAAAACACTCCCTTAACCATCTCGTCGTGTCCGTCCATTCCCCTCATGCCTTATCTCGACCAGGCCTGCTGCTCTTCCTTGTGTCTGCCGGCCTCCTCGGTGCCATCATGACATGTGTTGACCGCCGAATTCGCAACGATCTGGCTGCTCCCTGCAGGGACCTGGAAGCCTGCTGCTGCGACCCGCGGTGAGTGTGCTTTTGAGGGGCCTCATGCCTCAAAGATAGACGTGCCATCTCCCTGCAGCGATCTGGCTGCTCCCTGCAGAGACCTGGACGCCTGCTGCTGCGACCCATGGTACGTGCCTGTCTGAGTGTTGCTGATGTGACTGCTCCGGGCCTCTGGGGTTGGCTTCTTGAGTTGTGAAAGGCTTGGTGCAATTCACTTGCGTGCAATCCTCCTGTGTGCAGTACATCGTACAACATCCCTTCCAGTCGATTTCACACACCATTCTTCCATCTTTCTTATGTCATGTACAACACCCCTTCCTCTCTCACTCCACCTTTTCTCGCTCCATCCATCGCTCCTCTCTCCCGCCCTCCTCCCGACCTCTCCCACTCCCAGTGTAGGTTGCTGTAGATATTGCTACATTTGTCCCGGAGGTACCGGCCCGGACTGCTCCTGCTGCCTCCACCCCTGCACTGGCTGTGGTCACTGCTGTGCGGGCACGTGCACTGCGGAGGGATGGCTTTCCTTCATGGTGCTCCTATCGGTCGTGCTGGCTTTTGTGGGGGTGTTTTACTGCTTCCTGGTCTCGATCCTGGTGGGGCAGCGGATTTGGCAGCGGCATTATCACATCCTCGCTAAAAGGATCCTCACTAAGGTACTTGCTTGCTCAACTTCCATATTGCTCGTTCTGGCAAATGCCTGTAGGGTTCGCCTCCTGTATTCTTCCTCGTCCTCCTTGACCCCCTCCTCCTTCCCTCTGTCCATACCGTACCATACCCTCTCCAGGAATTTATCGTGGAGGATTTGGCTGGAATGTCCCTCCCTCCTGATTGGTCGCCACCGCCGCTGCTGCCGGAACACGAGAGGCAGCTCAGGGATCTGCGGCTTCTGTGATTGGGGCAGCACTTGTGATTTTGCGCATGCAAGGTGTTACACGAGTTACTGGGGAGGCACTTGTTTGGAACGTCTCTCCCCCACGATTGGTCACCACCTCCGCTGCTGCCGGAACACGAGAGTCAGCTCAGGGAGTCGCGGCTTCTCCGATTGTGGCGCCTTAAAAATCGGCTCTTCTGTTTATACATGATGAGCTAGCTGCTGAGGGCGTTACTGGGGAGGGGAGGCACTTGTGACCATTCACGCCTGATTGGTCGTCACCGCCGCTGCTGTTGGAAAATGAGAGGCCGCTCAGGGACTTGGGCATTCTCTGACTGTGCACATGCAGCTGTTACATGGGATACTGGTTTTTGAGTCAACTAGAAAAGGCAGCTCATGGATCGGAGGCTTCTCTGAGTGTTCTTGAGATGACGCAACTGCTGCTCCAGCTTGTTCCAGGATGTATGGACATATGGCCAGGAAGTGTAGCTGTAGAGTACAGTGTTACTAGTTGTAGCTTATCTTTCAAAGGCAGACATGGCGAACTTGAACTAGTGTAAAGAAGTACCGAACTAGCACAGCTAGAACCTGTGGTGATGGCTGGTATGGATGCATTGTTCACGAGCTATTACGAGCTAGCCATGCAAGCAGCGCAGGGCACTCTGTAATGATGTGCTCTGAGGTCCATGTGGGGTGCTGCTGCTGGTTGGAAGAGTCAGGTTGCCCACTGTCACCCTGCACAGGGGATGAGAGAACAGCCAAGCTAAGATGGAATGGCACATGATGGCACATGTGAGCAATGATGAATGAATCACGTGCCAAAGGAGACATGGCACGAGCATAACCCTGATATGCATGCTGAGCAGTTCGGGCATACCGGGGGGTGCAACGACAGACATACCCTGGGGTATGTGCTTGTGTTCATTACCTTATTTAAAAAAAGACATACCCTGGAATATGTGCCTGTGTTTCTCACCTTGAGCTGCTGCCGCCACACTGCAGGGCACACCTCCACTATGTTCGTCTTCCGCCCGCCTCCCTGCTTGTACTCGATCCCATCCACATGGGAAAACTTCCACAGCCTCCCCTCTGCCAGCACTTTTCTCACAGTCAAATGCCTGACCGCCCTCACTTGGAATCTGCCGCTCTCTTCACTGCTGCTGCTCCCGCCACTGGAATTCAAGCTGCTATTGGGCGAGAATCCGCTGCTGACATCCGAAGTTGTGCTGCTAGAGTCACATTCCATGCCAGTAACGTCAAAGCCCTTCTGTCCTTCGATCATGAACAATGGAACGCTCACCCCTCCTGGGCTCTGTGGGTCAATCTGTGCTGCTGTCAGGACCTTGTTGAACGCAGCTCCTAGCGCCTCCTGGAAGGGATGCAGGAAGGAGTTTGGGAGTTTTTATTCTTCTTCTTCTTGCTTTCCTTTTTCGTTTTTGCAGCTGACAGGTTGCGTTGAAAGCATGAACCAATTACAAGCGCAGAAAGAAAATAAAGCATGAAAAAAAGGTTATTCTTACCGTCCCAATGTGTCCATGAATGAATGCATGGGTCACTCACATCTAGAGTTGGCAGATGTGTCTCAACTGTCAAGATCAAACGGACATCCACAGCCTTGCCTGGGCGTGCTATTTCAAAGACTCCATAGCGAACTGGAAACTTCTTCACCTGAAGACGCAAGCATCATATTGCACATATTATACACAGCACCTGGCATCTCCCTCCAGTACATGAGACGATGTACCGTTCTAGCTCTGACTGTGCGTTCTTTGAGCTCTAAAAAACACGCTGCTCAATCAGCTGATCTCACATTTTTAATGAGAAAGCGTTTTTCTTCAGCGACATATATACAGCTTGCCCTGTAGATAACTCGTGACCAGGTATCAAGCACCTGAGATTTACACGAAACATAAGCGCTCAGCACACGTGACAGCAGTAAGTTGCACGGACAGATTGCATGCGATGGAAAATGTATCACGCCAGTCCGAACTCTTGAGAAGCAGCATCACCAAAAAAGAAGGAAAAGGTGTCAATCTTTGATATTCACCTGAATGTCGTATTTCTCACTGCTTCTGCAAGCCAGACCCGAATCTCCCAAGACCATCTCCTCCAAAGCGCCGTACACGCTGTCAGGGACGTGCGTCTCAAACACCCTGTGAATCGGCAGCTTCAACTGCTGCTCGCTCCCACTCATGTAGTCTTCTAGACGTTGCGCAGAGAAGGGCGGAACCTTGATCAGACGATTTCTGGCGGGAAATAAGCAGGATTCAGTTTGAGAGCTGGTTTTGGAAAAACTGAGATGGAGAGGGAATCAGGTACACTTTAGAATCATAATCCTGGCGTCACATGCATAACACCGTCACTACAGGTTCAGCACAATCTCTATGCACGTACAGTACCTGTTTCCGTGGGCCGAGAACAACAGCTTGCCAAGCCGGACCAGGAGCTTGACCTTCCTGATTTCATTATCAGCAGCTCCCTCTGCTGTCACAGCATAGCGCTGCAATTTCTCTCGGACTAGATGTAGAGACTCCGTCAGAGGCTGTCGAATCGCATTCAGAAATCTCTCCTCTCGCGAATAATCCCTTTTCCCCGCGTTTCCCACGCTTTCCAAGAATTTTCTGCTATCCTTGCGATCACCACCGTCGGTGTCATTCGAACATGAAAGAACCTCGCTGTTTTCCCCGTTCTCGGTGGCTCCAATAGCACCATCCCCATTACGGTCCTCATCACTACCACCATGAAACATCCTTATTACGTCACTTGGATCGTTCTCCCATTTACCCGCGAACCTATCGCTGTTAGCAAGCCAGTCTTCCAGAGTGCCTCGGATTGGTGCTTTGGACAACATCGTAAGGCGACGTTTGCGAAGATAGGGGTAACTGTCGCAACCAAACTGCTCGAAAAACAGCGAAATTCGCCCATCTGGCGCCAGGTTCGCGCTATCGGATCGCCAGTCATCGTAATCATCCACGAGTATTAGGATTCTGGCGTCAGGGGAATGGGTGAGCGGACCGCCGCCTCTCGCGGATAGCTTAAATCGCTGCCTATAGGACTCGTAAAGTGCCATGATAGCGAAAATAATGCGCCAGCAACTTCTTCTGCATACGAAGGCACGCGTTTCGGAGCCTCAGCTCGAAGAAAAAAGATCCATGAGGCTAAAGCGATCCACCGTTTAGCAACAAAGATTCTCGGACGCGGGCGTACAGCCATGGCTTCCTGCTGCAGCCATCCCTTGGAACTAACGAAACTTGGAACTAACCACAAGCTGCCATGAATACTGCTGAGTAGCGGCTCAATCTGAAATGGCTCTCAGGGAATTGCTGGCATTACCTGTCAGAAATCTCGAGGTGGGCTGGAGAATGAAGCTTGTGCCCCTCGTACATTCTGATCCGATACAAGCGGTGAGCACATACCAGGAACTTGAAAGGACGACGTGAAAGAGTTTGGAAAAAGAGAAGAGTCACACCTTGTGCTGATTGGTTGAAGACCACGTCTTGGAAGTACAATTCGCAGGCATACAGTAAGAAACTTACATGCCTGTTATTGGGTCTTATCTAATTACATGCTCGAGCTTTTGTTCCCTATGGCAAGTGCTCCTGCAGCCAGTTAATGAGGGAGGGACAATCGGCAAGAATGCTGTCTGGAGTCCACTGTGGTGCTGCCTGCTGCAAGCTAGGGTCAAAGCAAGATCCCGCCGAGTAGGCTTTGGGTGAAGGCTCGTCCGGCAGGAAAGAGGGAGAAGGGGCAACAGCCGTACCATCCCTTGCCTCCTGCTTTGTCTGCGTCAGTTGTAGCAGAAATGGCAATGAGAGGGGACACGATGAACAAGGATGAGAACGATCAGATGACAAAGGTGATATACGATTCCCGTTGCACTCACAACTTCAGAAGCGACTCACATTCAAGCAGAACACCAATTCACTTGTGAGGCGCCATGAGCACACAGACGCACACCTACATGCACACGTGCGCACCTTCATGGCATCTTGCCAGGCCAGCAGGGAAAACTCCACTTCATTCGTGAGGCGCCCTCCCCCATGGTCATATTCCACCCCATTCACTCGCGACAGCTTCCACACCTGCCCGCCCGACCGAACCCGCAGCCGCTTCTGATGCCGCACACTCTTCACTCTGAAGCGATGCGACGGCGCTGGTGGTGCTGCTGGTGCGTGGGACGGTGAGCGCGCGTCCTTCATCCCGACGTCAAAGTCGAGTGTGATGGGCCAGTGCAGGCCGCCTTTTCCACTCTCCTCGATGATTGCGGTCGATGCTATGCGCTCACATGCTGACCGGGTGGCATCCTGAGAGTGGGGAAAACAGGAGGTGACATCTGCGTTGACTTAACAGTCGAGCATGATGGGTCAGTGCAGGCCGCCTTTTGAGCTGTCCTCAATGATTGCGGTCGATGCTATGTGCTCAAATGCTGATCGAGTGGCCTCCTGGGTGAGAGGGGAGAAAAAAACGGGGAGAGCACACATACCGCACAGACGTATATCGAGAGCGCAGAGGCGAGTGTCTGTGGAGCGCATGAGGTGGAAGTCAATGGGCTCCAGGAGATGAGCTGCAGGGACATGTGATACCCACACACACACACACACATTGCACACGGACATGTGACAAAAGGATACGTGATACAAGCACTGCACATGTACCATTTCATTCTTACGTCGAGAGCACAGACGCGGGTGTCGGTGGAGAGCATGAGGCGGAAGTCAATGGCTCTGGAGGGGCGAGAGACGTCGATGACTGCATAGCGGAGTGGGTTGTGCTTCACCTGGTGGGGAGTGTGCAAGGCACGAGAGAGCACACAGGGAGAGCATAAGGCGGAAGTCAATGGCTCTGGCGGGGCGAGACACATCAATGACTGCATAGCGCAGCGGGTTGTGCTTCACCTGGGGTAGTGGAGAAGTGGGATGGATGTTTGCTTGATGCCTTGGGAGAGACGAGAAGCAGCTTAGAATGAAACCATTTAAAAAAATTATGAAAAAACCTTTTGCAAGCGTCCATAAAAGGATCAGGTGATAAGGAGCAATGAACATGTAAGCACACAAGATGAACGTCAAAATTGGTATGCGCAGGAAGAACAGCATATGAAGCACACACACCTTAACGAGGATAACCCCTGAACCATCCGGATCAGGCTTGCATATCAGCTTGTACTCCGTGTCAACCTGTTCCGTGTCTTGTACCTGTAACAAATCAGCAACATGCGGGACAAAACAAGTTCGAAAGGACACGACAAGAACAGAGACAAATGCATGCTTGAACTTCAGCGGACCCATTCTCACTACGTCTCTTGGCATTCCCGAAAATGTTCTGTCCGTTTAGGCTGCCAAATGTTCTCTACCAACCTTCTACCGGCTAGCATAAGGCACATACACGTATAAGGCAACTCTTCTCATATGTCACATGCCCTCACATGCCACATACCCTCACGTGCCACATACCCGTATGTGGTACTTCTCTCTCGTGCATGTGCTGACCCCGTCCCCCGTCATCACAATATTCTCCACGGCTTGGAACAGCGGCTCAGGCATGCCTGTCTCCAGCGACCGATGCACCCTGGTTGGCAGGCGCTGAGCGCGCCTGTTTAGGGTAGATTCCAATGCACCAGCTGTGAACGGCGGTAGGCTGGGGAGGAGCGACCTGAGAGGGGTGAAAAGAGGTTCAGACTGGTTCATATGAGGGGATACGGGGAGCAGGGAAGGAGGAGATGGCAAAGAGCGGCTCTGGCATGCCCGTCTCCAGCGACTGGTGCACCTCCAATCCCTCCCAACCCCTCCAACCTCCCCTCCCTCCCACAACTCACTCTGGCGATCCAAACGGCGGCCCGAACAGCAGCTTCCCCAGCCGCACGACGAGCTTGCATCGGTCCAAGGTGGACCGCCTGAGCTGCGACTGGGCGGCAAACTCCATCTCCCTGTATACCGCTTCCAACCCCGAGCGAAGCTGCTCAGATATGGCGTCGAATAAGGAGGTCGGGGTAGCGATGGGGGAACCAGTTGGCTGGTTGCTCTCGTTATCAAGTGATTCGATGTGGTCGTATTCAGCTTCTGGAACTCTCGTTAGAAGGGAGAGATTCTGATCCTGTAGGTGCAAGTAGCTCCTCCCTTTGAACGGCTGGAATCTAAGCAGCATCCGGTTGCAGCGACCTTTGCCCCCGTTACAAGCACAGTTGCTGCTGCAAGGTGTTTCAATAACGGAAGATTCTCGCTCGGCATAATCGTCGATTACTGTAGCCAGCACAACATCGCGAGCATTTTTTATCGCAATTTTGTTCGCAACAAGATTCTTGCCTCGGCCACCCGCCTGACCACGGCCTCTGCCTCGGCCTCTCCCGAACCTAATCTCCGAGCCTGCATGGCCTCGACCCGAAGGTGCTGGTGTCGTCCGGGGAGGAGGTTCAGAACCGGAAGTTGTTGCACCAGCTCGCATGTGAGGAGGAACGTACGGCATGGCTGATCCCGACAATTTCTTCGGAAGATTTAAAAATATACTGGGTTTCTCGAGAGCAACTCCGTGAATGAGAATACCTAAACGGAATGGCGTGATCTCAACTGCTGGAGTGGAAGTGGAGGGTTGAGGTGACGCTATATCTCGGCTGGAAATGACGTGAGAAAATGGTGATGGAACAAATCAACTGGTATTTGACGGAGGGATTTGTATGAAATCCCAGGCGCATCAACAGAGGAGGTTGCAGAATCTCAGGTAGCATGCGCGGCGGAAACTCCAAGTTTGCGATAGTTGGATGGACGGATGGGATGGATGGGATGAATTGCACTGTTTGGCGGCAAGACTTTCGATTGGAGCGGGCGAGGAGTCACCTTGAAGTCATCGCAAATTCACATCTGAAACTCGTTACTGGATGGCAAAGGCTGATGTTCTACATAATATTCCTCCCAACAATATCTACATACTCAACTTCTACTAGTGGGGGACTGAGATATAAACTCTCACACTTGTGCTCCGCATTGCCCTTTGTTCGCATTGCACCGTCTCTCAAAATCTCTTACATCCAAGAAGTAAACTCCTGGGAAAAAATACTACCACATTTGTGCACGCTCGCATTGCCAATTCTAAGGGAGGTGCTCCTCCAACCAGGCCATAAGGGCAGGGCAATCAGCGAGAATGCTGTCTGGAGTCCACTGTGGTGCTGCTTGCTGCAAGCTTGAGTCAAAGCAAGATTCCGCGGAGTAGCTTGTAGGCGGGGGCTTGCTTGGTAGGAGGGAAGGAGAAGGAGTAGCAGTCATGCCAGGACTTGTTCCCGCATTGAACTGCATCAGTTGCAGCAACAATGACAAAGAGAGGGGTGCAAATGAGTGGGGAAACAGTTAGGAAACATGAACTCAATTTCAATATTCGTTGCAAGACCATTTCTAGAACCGTCTGAATTCCCAGGAAGCATGAAATCTAAGTGCACAGATACCTGCACACACATGCACACAGATGCACACGCGTGGACACACATGCACATTGCACACACCCACACCCACACCCACACCCTCCCACCAGCATCGCACCTTCATGGCATCTTGCCAGGCAAGCAGGCAGAACTCCACTTCATTGGTGAGGCGTCCTCCCCCATGGTCATACTGCACACCGTTCACTCGCGACAGCTTCCACATCTGCCCTCCTGAATGAACGTGCAGCCGCCTCTGATGCCGCACACTTGTCACTCGGAAGCGGTGTGATGGTGCTGGTGCATGCGGTGATGAACGCGCTTCTGTCATGCCAACGTGGAAGTCCGAGGTGATCGGCCAGTGTAAGCCGCCCTTTGAGTTGTCCTCAATGATTGCTGTCGATGCTATGCTCTCACACACGGATCGAGTGGCCTCCTGGTTGTGAAAGGAGCAAGGGGATGAAGAAAGGGGAGGGGGGAGGAAAGGAAGTTGGATGAGGAGCGAGAGGGCTTGAAATGAAAGATGCTGGGTGAACTGGAATCGACACCACTATGCCATGTACACGAAGAAGAGGAAACGCAGGCACAAGTGCACAAGCACATGTCTATGTGTCACAAGCACGTGTAAATACCGGATACGCACATCAACCGAGCAGAGGCGGGTCTCTGTGGAGAGCATGAGGCGGAAATCAATTTCCTTGGCGGGGCGAGATACGTCAATGACTGCATAGCGCACCGTTTTGTGCTTCACCTGTAGAGCGGTGCAACGCAAGGCAGAGCAGAAGTGGGATAGATGGGTGGAAGGAGAGAAGGATAAAGTGCGTGTGGGATGGAAAAGGAATGCATGCACTGAAAAGCAAAAACCAGAGCATTCATGTTCCGCCTATGTAGCGGTATCCAATCAATACTGAATCAGAGTGAAGTGGGTGCGTGAAGGCAGTCACTGGTGTTTGCTCACACGGGGGAAACGAGAAAGTGCTTGGAATGTAACTTGTGAGGTGGTAACAACTTAACAAGGGACAGCTTAAAGCACCCAGACAGATGAGGTTTATATGGAGGTAATGTGCACATAAGCACATGATAGACGCCATATTTGTAAGAGCAGGGAGCACAACAAGAATGAAACACACCTTAACGAGGATAACCCCTGTGCCATCCGGATTAGGCTTGCACGTCAGCTTGTACTCTGTGTTCATCTGGTCCGCATCTGCTACCTGTAACGGATCAGCAATATGGGGAAAGAATGGCGACGAAGAGAAACAAGTGCATGGCATGGTTCAGCACACTATCTCAAATGTCTCGTTGCATTCCCATAAATGATTTACTGGTCACCCTCTGCCAAACCTGTCTCGACCTGGCTAATGTGACATCACTAGCACAAGCCACATACTCTTATGTGATAATGCCACTCACACGCCACACGTCACATGCCACAACCCCTTACGCAACAATACCCCTCACGGCACATACCCGTATATGGTATGCCTCTCGCATGCACGTGCTCGCCCCCTCCCCCGCCATAGCAATGCTCTCCATTGCCTGGAAGAGCGGCTCTGGCAAGCCTGTTTCCAGCGACTTCTGCAGCCTGCCTGGCAGGCGCCTGTCCTGCACGGGCAGCGCCTGCCAGCAAGTCTGCCGTGGACGCTGGAAACTCGACTCCAATGCGCCTGCTGTGAATGGCGGTGTTCTGGGGAGGAGCGACCTGGGAGAGGGTGAAGAGAGGTGCAGAGAGGTGCGGACACCAGAAGGGGAGATATTGGGCAAGGGCTGATCGAACGGCAGGACATAGAGGCAAGCACCCTTACCCAGGCACACCACGGGCTTGAACCACCCCTCTCTCGCCTTCGGGGTATATCTGGAACGCATTCAAGAATTCTAAATGTGAGTCATACACAATCATTCTGCTGTCCCCAAAACCCAGTCTGCCCCCCAATCCACCCCCCTTCACCGACTCACTCTGGTGATCCGGGCGGGGCCGAGAACATCAGCTTCCCGAGGCGCACGACGAGCTTGCATCGGTCTACAGTGGACCGCCTTAGCTGCGACTGAGCGGCAAACTCCATCTCCCTGTATACCGCCTCCAACCCCGCGCGAAGCGGCCCGGCTATGGCGTCGGATAAGGATGTCGGGGTAACGATGGGAGACGAGGCGGAGAGAGAATCAACAGAAGAAGGTACGGTTGCAGAGGACTCGGAAGAAGGGGAATCTCTAGGCGGCTTGGTGGTTTCGATATCTGACGACTCGAAATGTTCGATGTCGGAATCTAGAACTTTGGTCAGAAGGCAGAGGTTTTGATCCTGCAGGTGGACGTAGCTCCTCCCTTTGAACGGTCGAAATCTAAGCAGCATGCGGTTGCAACGTCCATTCCCCCCATTACAAGCACAGTTGCTGCTGCAAGATGTTCCAATAACGGATGATTCTCGCTCAGCGTAATCGTCGATTAATGTAGCCCGCACAACATCGGGAGCATTTCTTATTGAAAGAATGATGCCTCGGCCACCCGCCTGACCACGGCCTCTGCCTCGGCCTCTCCCGGACCTATTTTCCGAGCCTGCATGTCCTCGACCCGAAGCTGCTGGCGTCCTCCCCGGAGGAGGTTCGGAACCGGAAATTGTTGCACCAGCTCGCATGTGAGGAGGAACGTACGGCATGGCTCGACCGGACAGCTCTAGATTAAACAGCGGCTTTTCCACAAAAAGACACTGATATTCTGGAAAGCGAGTAAGTGAATTTCCTAAATGGAACGCTTTGATCGTTAGTGCTCGGCAGGGAGACAGGCGGACGAAGTGAAGAATCGGAGTGACAGCGGTGGTTTGTCAAAAGCAAGTTCCCAGGATGATGAGCTGAAGGGACGAGCTCGACATGCATCTCCCAGATTGAATGCGCGGTCTCTGTTGGCGGCAAGGCTTCTGATTGGAGCAGGGAAAGAGTCACCTTGAAGTCATCGCGCTGATTTTTTTAGCAAATTCGCTTTTGTACGGAGCTTGTAATGTTTTTGTGTGAGAAATAACTATTGCTGCCTTGCGTCCACCATGTCTCTCAGCTCCTGGAAGGGCATGCATTAGTGGGAGTACCGTATGTACAACGTTCTTCACATGCTATATATATACACCCCCAGGATTTACCCCAGTGGAAAAACTTCAAAATTGAAAATCATACCAAATATTGAGCGTAAGCTAGCATCCACAAACCATTAAGGCAAGTGCTCCTGCGGCCAGTGAATGAGGGCGGGGCAATCGGCAAGAATGCTGTCCGGAGTCCACTGTGGTGCTGCCTGCTGCAAGCTCGAGTCAAAGCAAGATGCCGCAGAGTAGGCTGCAGGTGAACTACTCGTGCTGTTGCTTGGGCCTTCATGGCCCTGCATTGAAACAACACAAGCCAAGCCAACCACGAGAGGGAGGGAAAAATACCAGGGAATTCTTCGGCATCAAAAAACGCCTAGCATGTAACAGCTTATTGCTGAGAGCATGAGCGGCCTTGCAGCTGAGAGAGAAATAAAACAGACCCATTCCCCACATCCCACCTTGGTTGTCTCCCGACATGCCAAGGGGCACAGGTCAATCTGGTGCTTCAGGCTGCTCCCAACCTGCTCCGCTACCAGCCCGTTTATCCGTGTAAACCTCCACCGCACTGCACTGCATTAAACCTCGACACCAGAACGTGCACCACGGAGAACCGCTCAACCAGGACGCTATGATAGGAATGTACCGTCTACTTCCACCCTCGTCCCAACTCTCTCACCTTGGTTGTTTCCCGCCATGCCACAGAGCACAGGTCAATCTGGTGCTTGAGGCTGCTCCCAACCTGCCCCGCCACCAGCCACGTGCACCACACAAGGACGGAATTGGACTGCTTGCTCTCACCCTCATCCTAACTCTTAGGTGACTTTTGAGTCGACTCAAAAGTCGACGGAATTGGACTGCTTGCTCTCACCCTTTTGAGTCGACTCAAAAGTCGACGGAATTGGACTGCTTGCTCTCACCCTTATGAGTCGACTCAAAAGTCAACTCGGAATTGGACTGCTTGCTCTCACCCTCATCCTAACTCTTTCCCCCGCATCTCACCTTGGTAGTCTCCCGCCATGCCAAGGGGCAAAGGTCGATCTGGTGCTTCAGGCTGCTCCCAACCTGCCCCGCCACCAGCCCGTTTATCCGCGCCAGCTTCCACAAACGTCCGCCCGACTCCGCCCGGGACTTGTCCAAATGCCAACAGCCCATGACTCTGAAGCGACTGGATGGCGCGGATGAGACTGATTGGGAGGAAGGAGCAGGAGGGGAAGTGGGTGCTGTTGCTGCTGCTGATGGTGGTGATGGTGATGATGGTGCCGCTGAGGACGAGGAGAGAAGGGTGGTATCGAAGCCAAGGGTGGTGTCTGGCCAGTGAAGCCCCCCTCTTGCACTCCTGTCGATGACTGCTGTGGATGCTATGCTCTCACAGGCGGACTGGGTGGCGTCCTGAGGAGGAGGGAAGGGGGAAGGGGAGCAGTGGGGCGGGGAGCAGTGGGGCGGGGAGCAGTGGGGCGGGGAGCAGTGGGGCGGGGAGCAGTGGGGCGGGGAGCAGTGGGGCGGGGAGCAGTGGGGCGGGGAGCAGTGGGGCGGGGAGCAGTGGGGCGGGGAGCAGTGGGGCAGGGGAGCAGTGGGGCGGGGAGCAGTGGGGCAGGGGAGCAGTGGGGCGGGGAGCAGTGGGGCGGGGAGCAGTGGGGCGGGGAGAGTGACATTTCAGTCAGTGGTGGTGTCTGGCCACCAGGCCCCCTCTTTCAGTCCGGTTGATGACTGCTGTGAATGCTATGCTCTCACAGGCAGATCGAGTGGCGTCCTGGTTGATAGGAGGGGGGTGGAGAAAGGAATAGGAGAGAGGAAAGGGAGGAGGGATGTAAGGAGGAGGTATGTGAGAGGACGGATGTGAAGAGGAGGGATGTAAAGAGGAGGGATGTGAAAAGGAGGGATGTGAAGAGGAGAGATGTGAAGAGGAGGGATGTGAGCAGAAATTGGGATGTGAGGAGAGAAAGGGATGTAATGCAGGGAGGAGGGAAAGGAACACTACATCTATCACACACACGTCACATGCACATGGAGGGAACAGAACATCGACTCTTTCAGCAGCAGCAGGCGACTTTTAAGTTGCCTTAAAAGTCACCACAGGCACAATCGAGGGACATGCTGGGCCAGACATACGCACATCGAGGGACATGCTGGGCCAGACATACACACATCGAGGGAGCAGAGCCGTGAATCTCTCAGCAGTAGCAGGCGGAAGTCAATGCATCAAGAGAGTACATGCATGAAGCACCATAAGGGCAAGAGGGCAAACGCACGTCGAGGGAGCAAAGCCTTGACTCTCTCAGCAGCAGCAGGCGGAAGCCAATGGCGCTGGAGGGGCGAGCGATGTCAATGACAGCGTAGCGCACCCGAGTTGTGCTTCACCTGGTGGGGAAAAGGGAAAAGATTCAGCTCACAAGAGAAAACCTCAAACATGGAGAGCTTTAGGGATGACATGGAGGCATTGGAGTGATGGAGTGATGTGAGAAGGAAAAAAGACAGAGCTTTGACTGTTGACATAACAGTGACGAGTGGTAAGCATATAACTGAGGCGCACCTTAGTGAGGATAATTCCAGAGTTGTCAGGGTTTGGAACACAGATTAGCTTGTACTCGATGTCCAACTCGGTGTCTGCTATCTGTTGCAAACAAACGGCAGAAAAAAAGGGCAAATTGCGTTTCAGATCATATTTCATATTTGTGTACAGTGTCAATCACTGTTTCTCACAAGGGGGGAGGAAACTGTCAAGCAAACTTGGGTGCTGCAGACAAGGGCAAGAAAATACAGAGGTGAATTTTGTGTCGACTCAACAGTCCACCTCTACCCAGGCATTACCCAGATGTGATAGCGCGATCGACCCAGGGTGGTGTCCGGCCAGACCAGCCCCCCTCTTGCACTCCTGTCTATAACATTACGCAGATGTGATAGCGCGATCGGCCCTTGTATCGAATATTCCCTGCGCCTCCCTCTGTGGACATCCCTTCCAGTGCATGAAAGAGGGGCTGAGGCAGGCCCGTGTCATATGAACGGAAGACAGGCACGGGAAGGCGGGACGCGTGCCTGTTGACGTGCGACTCAAATGCGCCTGCTGTGAAGGGCGGGAGGCTCGGAAAGGATCTGGTGGGTGGAAGGGACGGTGGGGGGAAAGGGGAGCATGGGGATTGGATTACCCAAACAAGGCAGAGAGGCCGATCCTTGAATTGAGCGTTCATCATCCGTGTCAGTGCATCAAAGAGGGGCTGAGGCAGACCCGTGTCATATAAACAGAAGACAGGCACGGGAAGGCGGGACGCGTGCCTGTTGACGTGCGACTCAAATGCGCCTGCTGTGAAGGGCGGGAGGCTCGGAAGGGATCTGGTGGGTGGAAGGGACGGTGGGGGGAAAGGGGAGCATGGGGATTGGGTTACCCAAACAAGGCAGAGAGGCCGATCCTTGTATTGAGCGTTCATCATCCGTGTCAGTGCATCAAAGAGGGGCTGAGGCAGACCCGTGTCATATGAACAGAAGACAGGCACGCACGGGAAGGCGGGACGCGTGCCTGTTGACGTGCGACTCAAACGCGCCTGCTGTGAAGGGCGGGAGGCTGGGGAGGGGGCTGATGGGAGGAGAGAGGAACATAGGGAATGAGGGTGGGGTGAGGGGGCGGTAGAAGAGAGGCGGTGGGTGGATGCTGACGTGTGATGGGTAGAAAAGGGAGGGAGCTGATCAGGAGGAAGCATGGTGGGGGAACGAAAAAAAGGAGGGCGGGAAGGGGGGAGAGGCGCGAAAGTGGAGTTGAATAGGGGGTGGTAGAATTATGGAGAGAGATCGTTGATGAATTAGCCTTGCAACAGGAGTGAAATGCGAATGAATATCGGAGAAGGATATCGGCTACCCACCGGCAAGAGAGAAGGATAAGCCGACCGGGAAAAGCTGCTAGAAGAGTTTGCTTCAATAGAAATAAACATCAGCTTTCTCGTGCCACCCACACGGGGTCTGAGGAAACCCAAGGCCTTGCATCCCAATGCAAACCCATGAGTTGCTATTGAGGTGCCTTCGAAATTCACTGCCTCTGAGTACTCTCACTCAAGGCCCGCATCCCAAGGCTGACCCATGCCTGAAATCTTTGAGTCACGGACCTGAGAAGTGGAAGTCTTTGATTGATCTTCACATCAAGTACCCGAGGAAAAGAACACCCTTCCTTGATCTTCACATCCAGAGACTTACACGGGTACTGAGGCCTTCCAAGACGGGGACAGCAGCAGCTTCCCCAGCTTCACCATCAGCTTGCACCGCTCCACCACTCTCGCCCTTCTCCTTCCTCGCTCTGGCACGAGCTGTATATCCCTGTGAGCGGCCTCTAGTGCCCTGGCCAGAAGGCCTACTAGGGTGTCGGATAAGGAGGTTGGAGGAGCGGTGGAGAGGGGTGAGGAGGAGCTGGTTGGATTAAAGGTCCGGGAATCAGATGGCGAATCAGAGGGCGGATCAGAGGTGGGATTTGATTCGGGGTAAGAGGTAGCAGAGTCTGCAGCTGATTCGATATCGTCACGCGGAACCCGTGCTAGAATAGCGAGATTTTGATCCCAGTCGCGCTGTTGAGAACTATTGTGAAACTGCTGGAATCTGAGAACCATCCGCCAGTTACACCGAGACTGGCCCCCGTTACAAGCACATTCGGCACTGCAGAGGCCTCCCGTTACAGATGAACTTCGCTCGGCGAAATCGTCAACTAGGGTGCAGCAAACAGCATCAGGAGAGTTTTTTATCGAGATCTTCTTTATGGCGGGTTCATTGCCTCGGCCTCCTGCCGGATACGTGCGACCTCTGCCTCGACCTCTTCCCCCGAACCTGTTCTCCGAACCTACTCCCGAGCTTCGATAACCTAGGTTTGGCGCCGCCGCTGACGGACCAGCAGGTTCGGCTGCGGAGCTGCTCGCGGCGACTCGGCGATGCGGAGGGACGTACGGCATGGTGAGAGGCGAGAGAGGGAGGCTCTTGCGTCCCAATGAAATCGGACGGAGGGGATGGTGGAGGACGGGGAGACGTACAGATAGGTGATTGAGAAGCAGAGGAGGGTAGGCCGTCTATGGCGGAGTTCAGCAGGCATGCCACACTGAACAGAACAGAATGCTGCTAGCCGCGATTCGGAATCGAGTTTCTGACCCATCCCCGGTATAGGGTTTCCGCCTGTGTTTTTCAAGCTCTACATCTAAATTGTCTTCAGGATTGTCTACCTATACTTTTCAACAGTCATGGTAGGTCAATGTTGCTTTTCTGACTGACAGTAGGTAGACACATTCCACGGATCTAGCTCTCCTCACCAGCTGCTTCCAACATCTCTTGAGAAACTGTTAATTGTAACCGACAGATGGTTGACACGTATTACTGTTATTTATTCATGATGAGGCCACTTCTACAGTGCCTAGCACTTCACACCAGCAGCTTCCAGCATCTCTCGAGAAACTGAACCTGCCTGCACTGCTGCTGCAAGCTCCCTCCTGTTGCTCTCATTCCCTTCCACCAGACACCTCGCAGCATAACCCACCCATTCCTTAATACCACCACTACCCCTACCAGGCTCTGCAATGATCTGTCTCAGAACCAGCACAAGACCAGAGACATCCCCATCTGTTCTTTCCCCTGTACATTTATACATCCTGACAGCGTCTTGATACACTGGTCGGCGGTGACACGCGTTTGCAAGCACCGACACCAAATCAGATCGATATCCTGGATATGCTTCCTCCTTACTCTGCCCACTTAAACCTCCAGGCAGACTCACACCCTGGAGGAGATCCAGCAGCATCAGGATGATCTCCGACCCTCCGATCGCAACAAAAGCATCCTCGGCCGTTGATTTAGAGTCTGCAGCTTGTCCTCCTCCTGCTGCTGCTGAGGTTTCTGCAGGGGTGGCGTCTGAGGCTACTGGATGGGAGGTGGTGGAGGGCTCTTGGGCAGCAAGAACGCGGAGGCAGCGGAGGGAGAAGCAGAGCACAAGCTGCAGACACGTGAAGGACGTGGAGGAGGACGTGAGCGCCTTGCTGCCAGCCTCCTCCCGGGCCTTGCCCAGACCCACTGCTGCGTTTCTGCATGCCGTCAGAAGGAACTTGAGAGTCCCCGGTCCTATATCAGGCAGCCCATGCACCTGCCACCTTGACCCAGGCGCCGCAGGCTCCTCTGATGCATTATCGCCCTTGGAGTTCCCATCATCCTCGTTAGAAGCAGAAGGCAGGTCGATGACTGGGATCCCCCTCGCTTTTGCAGTGGCGTGAAGAGCGCCCCATAGGACCCACAGCAAGGCAGCTTGTTCCGGGCAGAAAAGCCCTCGGACCTGCCCGAGGGCAGGGCGCGGCGAGAAGTTGGGAAGGTTCTTGAAGACTGGCTCGAAGTACCGCGCGCGCAGGCAGAGCCTCTCAATTAACAGACCCAACCACTCGTCCATTCCGTTGGAGGCAGCGTCCGGGAGAGCTGCGCAAGAGGGGCGTGGAATGGGCGCAAAGAAGGTAAAGAGGGAGGTAATGCGTACACAAGACGGACGCCAAAATTGTATGAACAGGAGCGCAACAAGACAGGTGCACAGAGGAACAGGGACGAGCAGAGGCAAGGATGGAGAGAAAAGAGGAGAATAAGGAAACGAGGGGCGCGGAGATAGGGGATTTCTGCCAGTTTCAATCAAGAGCTGTGTGGAGACGGACGGGAGAGATTCTCAGCAGCACACGACAAGACATACCTGAGAAAACAGCCCCACCGCAGCCGCCATCCCGCCCCTCCGCACGCGCAACGAGCGCCTCCCCTTGCGCCCTGAGCGCGCCCGCGAGCAGCGCGACCCCGTCCATCGATCCCCCCAACCCGTCGACGTGCTTGGGCACGGCGCGGCAGCACGTGAAGAGCACCATGCAGAGCGGGCGCTGCACCGCGGGGGAGCGCACTGTGGCGAGGCGCGAGAAAGTGCCGGGGAAGCAGCGGTCCCACACTGCCGTCTGGTGGAGCTCGCCCGCGTTGGCAAAGTTGCCGATGACCTGCGGATGCGGACACACGCGGACGGGTGCGGATAGGACATGGGGGGGGTCGGTACAAGACAGGGGGATCTCAGGTGAGAAGAAGGCACGGGAGAGAGAAGGGACGAGAGAAACGGAAATGGAGGCGGAGTAGCGTGGATGTGAGGCCCCTTAGTCAAAGAAGTCAGGTGCACGAATAAGTAAGCACCCGTTCGTGCCAATGGGTCCACTTGGATTCAATTTAGCATCCGCGTATAGGCGTGCGTGGCATGAGACGAGCCAGCCGCTTTAGTCAGATGCATCGCGACAACGATCAAGAAAAAAAAAAGAGAAAACGAGAAGAAATCACCCAACAACATGAATCGGCCTGAAGTGAACTGAGGAGAGGGAGAGGAAGGGGAAGGAGGACGGGGGACGGGGGGTGGGGCGGGGAGGGGGAAAGGAGTGGGGCAAGTAAGGGAGCAGAGAAGAGCGTCGAAAAGTACAGGCCCTCACCTGGAGCACTGCCTTCAAGGCATCCACGTGATCTCGAGGCAGGTCGATCTGCAGCGCCAGGTGCAGCACGGACGGCGACGCAGGCGGCAGCAGCGACGAATAAAACATGGGCGACATGGGGGTCATCGGGTTACCCGATCCTCCTCCCGCCATCGGCGAGCCTTGCGCGAGAGCCGCTGCGCCGCCCGCGGGGGAAGCCGCGCCGGGGAGAGCGCCGAACGACGCGGCGGAAGGGGAGAGGAGGGGTAAAGAGAGCGTTCCGGTGCCCTTCCTGTTGATGGACCGTTTCCGCCTATGGGCTGCGTTAGCTCCCCCCGCAGAAGCGGCTAAAGCGGGAGGACGGTTGAGCATGCGCGCGGAAGGCGCGGAAGAGGAACTGGTGGCGGAAGCGGAAGCGGAAGCAGATGCGGGTTTTGAAGACGAAAGTTCGTCAGATGTGCTGACAGAAGACGCTGCGGCAGAAGCAGCTCCGCTACCCACTTTCAGCCTTGCAAGCTGGGAAGCCACTTGGGTCGAGTCTTCACTTGCATGTTGAGAAGTGTCAGGTCCCGATGCTGGTTGATCAGCAGCAGGTGCTGCAGAGACATTGGCGGTACCGCTTGCTGCAGCGAGATTTCCGCCGGAAGGAGTGGTGCCTGGCAGCGGGGTTTTGAGGACGATGTGACTCGATACAAGCCGGTCCGCGATAGTAGCTACAGCGTCCAGAGCACCGCATTGTAAAAACGCGTTTTGATTCGTGGCGAGGCCGGCGAGCAGGTTCCGAATAACTCGAAGAACTTCCACCAACGGTCGGATTGCTGGTTGTACAGCAGCGATACCACTGGATCCTGGAGCATCGATAAGCTCGGATGCAGCAATAGTAGCCGCTGATGTTGATGCTGACGGCTCATGTAGATCTGGATCTGCGGAAATAGACCACTCAGTGGAAAGCCGGTCAATGAAACTTGAAGATGCAGATCCTTGACATCCGTCCACAGCCGACGGTCCAGATACGTCGCTGGATCGTTGAAGACCGTAAAGCTCGGGACAATGCCGAGAAAAATCAGGAAGAAGGTTAATCAATCGCGTAACGGCAATCCCGCCGGCGACGTCTGCGTCACTCTCCAGCCATGTCCGGTCCTTGGATTTTAATAGGAGATCAGAAATTACTCGCTGCAACGGATCTAAAGATTCAAGTTTTCCATCGGCAAATTGAGGAGCAAGCTGTTCGATTTCCGAAAACAGATCCTCCGACATGGCAGCTGCTGCATCAACGCAGGGCGAACCTTCACGTGGAACTAATCAAAATCCACAAAAAAAACGAAAACGGATCAGCAAACTTAGGTGAGAAGAACTACGCGAGAAATTTGGTAAGATACTGTATGTACAAGCGTTCCAGCATTGCTGGTCGGTGATGTTTTGAAGAAAACCGTTTCACTAGAGAAATTAATGGCTGCTATCCTGCCGCTGCTTCAGAAACAGTGCTTCTGCTGGTTGTGAAATCTGGAGAAACAGCCAGCCGTCGGCTGAAAAGAAATGGCTTTCCTCCGCTCTCCACCCACCCCCGCTTCCCGAATCCCGACCTTCCTGAAAAGGTTATCCACGCAGATCGGTTGTCTCGAGGGTGTGGGAGGTTCCGTGTGGTGAGTAAAATACAAGGAATGTTAAGTGTACTGCTTCGTAACAATCTCTTATACACTAATACTAGTGCGCGATTTTTTCGACCAATGTTGATTGATTTGATTTTTTTGGAACAAATATGCCTTTTCATTTATTCATGAAGTAATAATAAAACAAAATCGTATGAAATTATCAATTTGGTAAATCATGAACTTCTGAAGTGTATACCAGCAAGGCAGTACACTACAGTGCTTATGTAGACAATGTCTGCCTGTCCAGCACTGCATCAAGCGTCGATTTCGCCTTGCTGGCCATTTGGCTGTGCGTCCCTCCCTCCCTCCCAATCTGCTGCCCTTGGTGTGGTTGCACCTAACCTGGTTGGCGTCTCCCCCTTCTCCTCCCACCCATTCATCCATCACCAACCAACGTAAGGCCCAACCCCCAATCAAATCGCTACAATTCACTCTGGGCAGGCAGCATATTTCCGCTGCAGTCAAATCCGCTTGCCTGGCCGTTCCATTGGACGGTCCTCCTGCTCAACTCACCTTCCAATTTCCTTTCCCTCGAGCAGCTCAACCATTTCTCAGGGCAAACAGGGTCACGGAGACCTGCTGCCGCCATTCTTCCGTTCCGTCAACGTCTCCGTCGCCCGTCCAGCAGCCTGCTGCCATCCTGGAGATCTATCTGTTGTGGCAGTGTTCGACAATACCAAGGGACCAACAGACAGACAGTGAGATAGCCCAACGGCGTTTGCCATGGACTGCTAAGCCCCGCCATTGGACAAACTATTCACAGCCTTGCCATTCAACCACCATTTTTATTATCCTGGCATTACGCATAGCTGAATTCGTGAAATTCGTTGTATCGCTTATAGGTTCTGCGTGAGACGTTCCTCAATGCTACTTGCGTGGTTGAAAAGCAGAGTGTTGCGGAGACTCTTTGGCTACTCGCCATTGCCATTAGCTATCCAGATGGCAGGATTTTTTCTAGTCTTGCAGTTACGTTTATGTTGTGTAGAGATGCACGTCGCATAACGGAGCTATATCTTTCTGGTAAGGTTACGCACCTTGCAATCACAGCAGGTTACTAGTCTGAATCGCGATACCGAAAGAGGAAAAGCTACCCGTCGCGACGCGCATTCAGCTATCATGGCTTACCACCACAGCTTAATCTTCGGCCTTGGCGGGATTCCGTTGATGAAATCGTCAACGGTCACAAACGCCGTCAACGACAAAGAGAACAAACCAGGCGGGTTACCAGAACCAGTTCTCGAGCTCGCGAAAAGAGTGTACTATAACACCATTCCCGCATCGCTTAGCTTGACCGGCGGCGGAACCATCGGCCGGAGCGGCACCGGAACGATCGGTAGACGGAAGAAGACCAAGAAAGACCAGCTGGGGTTTCCGCCGACGAAACCTAATCGATGCGTCGAAGAAGCCAAGTTCCTGTCGATTGAGGCTGCTGCCGTCATGCGGAAGCTGCTGTGGCTGTGGTCCACGATCAGCCCTGAACAGATCGAACGGCTGCGGACGAGTCTCCAGGTATGCGAATACAGGACGCGTAGCCATGTGTCAGGCAACCCATTCATGTTTGAGGTTTCTATTTCCTCTGCATCTTCGCGCATTAACACGTACATCAAGCGAAGTGAAGAATCTGGATGACAATCAATTTCATATTTGGCGGGAGCTGCTGCTGTCAAGGATTGAATCACGCACTTGTGGACTGGCGAATGCGCATTCATGGTCAATGGTTCGTTCCCGCTGAATGGGTGTAGGAATGTGTGTCTGAATGCGCCAATGTATCCGCGATAAAGGATACGCACGCGTCCATCAATGCACCCATGATGGTCACACATATTCGTCGAGAATGCACTCTTTCATGCGTCCATCCATGCACCTGTGAGCAAATCCACTCATTTGCGTGTGCGTGCGTGCATCAATGATGTCAACAGCACCCCTTAATGCCGTAACTCACCAATCACATTCTCTTTCATGCCTTGACTTTACGCATCTTATCACGTCCCCTCACCTCCCCCCCCCCCCCCCCCCCCCCAACCCCACCCCGCACTCATTCCACTCCCTACCCTCTCTCTCCCCCTTCTCCCCACTCTCCCCCCACTCTCCCCTCTCCCCCACAAACCCTTTCCCGCGCGCCCGTGCGTACGTCACACCCTCTCCAGTAGTACAAGGTTGTGTTCATGTACGTTCGTCCTTTTCCCCCAACCCCACTCGCACCCACTCCGCTTACTCTCCCCGTCTCCACTTACCCCCCTCTCTCCCCCTTTCCCTCCCTCACCCCCGCACGCCCGTGCGTCCCTCACACACCCATCTCAGGAGGACAAGGCTGTGCTCACGTACGTCTGCCCAGACCCCGCGCACCTGTGGACCCTAGCAGGTACGCTTCAAGAATGATCCAGGCGTGCCTCTCCCATCATAGTTTCGTTGCATCAAATCTTACTCCTCCCCCCCGCCTTCCCCCCCCTCTCCACCCCCCAACCGGCGAATGCCGCCACTTCCCCCCCAAACGCCCAGCTGTTCCCGTTACCCCTGAATGCCACCCTCGCCCCCCCTGAATGACATCTCTTAAATGCGACCCCTGATTCCGCGAATGCCATTTTTCCCTCCTAATAATCAACCCTTTTCCCCCTAATTGCCATCCCCGTTCCTCATTGCCCCCATCATCCCGTCCCGCATTGCCTCAACACCCCCATCAGGCTTGGAGCTCATGAGTGCGTTGTGAGATTCTGAAATCCTCTCCAGAATCTCCAGGTGATGGGGATTCTGGAAAGGATGAGTGTGGCGGCCATGGGCCTCAAGTGTACAATAGTCGAGTGCAGATATCCCCCTGTCATTCCTGAATCCTAATTGCCTCAACACCACCTTCAGGCTTGGAGCTGATGGAGGTCTTAGAGAGGATGGGCGAGCGCGTGGCGGCGATGGGGCTCAAGTGCGGGGATAGGCGACTGCACCAGCTGGCGAACGTGTTTGGGGAGATGCGGCACCCCGAAACCGTCTTCTCCCACTTCAGACTCGACGCGCACGAGCAGGAGACGCTCTTCTGGTGAGACGCTGTTTTCATGAGACGCCGTTCTGGTGAGATGCTCTATGCCGAGGACTGCAGAACAGGTTTATGCTGCATGTGTGAGGGAGGGGCCAATTCTCAGGCACCCAACAAAGGAGCATGATACAATCTTCTTTTCCCACTTCAGGCTCGACGCTCACAAGCAGGAGGAGACACTCTTCTGGTCAGTCGCTCTATCCGTAATGTATGTATGTACGTGCTGTGGTGGTCAGCAGAACTCTGTTACAAGTGTCTAATACCATTCCACAACCAGCCCTGCTCGTAGCCCCGCCACTGTTCCGTTCCGCCTCCCCCCGTGTCCTTTTGCAGCTTTGTGCTGGAGGAGGTGTAGAAGCAAGCAAGGGGAGATGCGCACGCAGCTGCATGGTGTTTGAATTGCAGTGGTCGCCGCTGTGTCCACGTCTGGAATGCCTTGTCCGCAAATCCCTTCCCCACTCCCCCTTCCCCATGCGTGCAGCTTCATGCAGGAGGAGGTGGAGAAGCTGGGGGACGTGCGCAGTTCCATGGAGCGACTCAACACTCTGCGCTCGTTGCTCAGGTGGGGGTGGAAGCTGAGAACGTGTACCATGCACAGCGTTGCCATGCCGCAACCTTGCCATGAGATGTCCTTGCCATGCCATGCCATGCCCTTGCCGTTCCTCTCACCCTTGCCGTGAAATCCTTGCTTTCTCTTCGCTTCCCACAGGAAGAAGAAGCCTGCACCGGCCACAAGTCTTCTGTCTGAGCTGCAGGCCGCCTCAGCGTACGTCTCTGTGCCTCCCCGTTCATTGGGTGTGTTCCTTCGTGGGTTACTAGATCTTGATGTGCGTCTCGCTGTGCAGTCCCACTGTTACTCACGCCTCTACTGCGCTCTCCTCCGTCCCTCCTCCGTCTTGTTGCTGTTCTTTCGCACACTCTCCAACACTGCTTCTATCCTCCTCCCCCCCTTCTCTCCAACACACCCACCGACCCACCACCTCACCTTCCCATCCCTATGCACAACAGGGATGCTCTGAGCGATGGCGAGGGCAAGGAGGCAGAGAAGGAGGGTGACTCGTCCTCTGAAGAAGCCAAACCCCCACTACTCCATGCCCCTCACATGCCCCCCTCATTATCCCCCCTCCCACCACACGCCGCCACACCTTCCCATCCCTATCTACTCAACAACAGAGATGCGTTGGCCGATGGCGAGGGCAAGGAGGAGGCAGAGAAGGAGTGGGACTCGTCCTCTTGGCTGTCATATACCTCCCACCAATCCAACCGAATCCCCTATCCCCTTCCCCCCCCTCCGTCCCCCTCTTCCCCCCTCCCCGACACCCATCACGATGCACAAAAGTGACGCCCTGGGCGATGGCGAGGGCAAGGAGGAGTCAGAGAAGGAGGGAGACTCGTCCGCGTGGATGCCTCGCTGCGACCTGCCAGGAGCAGAGGAGATTCTCAAACTGGTAGGTCACTGGGTTGGTGGGGTGGGGGGGGAGAGGGGGGCCAAGGAGGGAAGAGGCAGAGAAGGAGGGTGACTCGTCCGCATGGATGCCTCGCTGCGACTTGCCTGGAGCCGAAGAGATTCTCAAACTGGTACGGTTACCTCGTTACCGTCTGCCCGTGCAGCATCTTGAACTATCGGCTCATTGATGCTCATAGCAGCCTGTGTTCCATTTTTGCTGAATGCCTCTGATTAGTTAGTCCTCACTTCATCCTCCACATCTCTTTCCACCCCCTTTTTACCCCTTTCCACCCATTTTATTCCCGAATTTTCCCATGCAGACAGCAACGATATCAGAGCTGCAGAGCCGGTGCCTGTGGTCTGTTGAGCTGGACCATGTTGTGCGGGTGAGTGCAGTCTGTGTGGGCATTCATGGGTAGAGCAGCAAAACACATCTCATGGGACGAGAATGGAATGGACCATGCAGTGAGCTTGAGTCAAGAATGCAGTAGGCAGAGTGCCAGGCATCCGTACTGAGTTGATATTGTGATTCTGCATCCCACCATACCATCCGACCCCGCCCAACCCCACCAGCTGTTGGTGCTGGCGATCATCCTCCTGAGGGACAGAATCATATCAGTCTTTGCCATCAACGCGCGCTCCTCCGACGCCTTGACTCGCGAGGGCTCCCTGGGCCGCGCTGGGCTGGCGCTGCGCTACGCCAAGGTCATTAATCTAGCAGAGAAGCTCATGAAGTACCCGTTCATGGCTGCTGGCAGCACACGGTGGGTGCAAAGTGTACATGGGTTGAGTGCATACAGCCTGAGTGATTGTAGCAAGCACAGTAGCAGTGGGCTGGCGCTGTGCTACGCCAAGGTCATCAACGTGTGGATATACCCCAAGCTATCACATGACCTGGCATCCCCACTTCACCTGACACTTCCTCAAGGCGCCACTATCAGGCCACAGGTCCCCCAATAGTCTGTGTGGCAGCCTGCACACGGATTTGACGTATTAAATATTGCTTATGAATGGGGGGAGAATGATGGTAATGGCGTGGTTAGATGATGGCGTTTCGAGAAGGCAGCAGGTTAAGGGCTGATGCCAGATCGTGTAGCAACTTGGGATACTCCAAAGATTCCCTTTTCCCACTCAACCCCTTCCACGTCTTTTCCTCCCACTCCTAAAGATAAGCTGCCCCATGGCCTCAAACATAACAGCTGCCCCATGGCCTCAAACATGACAGCTGCCCCATGGCCTCAAACATAACAGCTGCCCTATGGCCTCAAACATAACAGCTGCTCTGCTTTCCCCTCCCCCCTCACTACCCCCTTTTTCCCTATTTCCCTGTGTCCAGAGACGAGCTGTACGGCCTGCTGACCTACAGCACAAAGAAGGACCAAGAAGGGCATTATCCTGGCTTTAGCTCCCTCTCCCCCTCCCCGTATTCTGTCTCCCCCCATCCAGGGACGAGCTGTACGGCCTCCTGACCTACAGCACCAAGAAGGACCTCGCCCTGCGGCTATCCCATCCCAGCTTTAGCGTCGCTGCTTGTTTCCCCTCTTGCATTTCTTACTCTTGTGTCTCCCCATCCAGAGACGAGCTGTACGGCCTCCTGACTTACAGCACCAAGAAGGACCTCGCCCTGCGGCTCTCCCGGCCTGTGACCTCCTCCAAGAGCAAAGAACCCAAGGCAGAAGAAACCGCCGACACGCACACAGGGAAGGGCGCTGGCAAGAAAGGGGAAAAGAAGAAGGATGGAGATGAGGATGAGGAGGATGACGATGACGATGATGATGATGATGATGATGGGTTTACTTGGTTAAAGAAACCTAGTCCGTTCAATGACCCGCGCGGTCTGGGTGGGAAAGGAGGAGCGGGGAAGGACGGGGAGGAGGAGGACGACGAAGATATGGAGGAGTGGGAGAGGCGGATGCGGAAAGCGTTGAGTCTGCTGCCTCTGCTGGCGCAGCATACGATTGCATGGAATGATGCCATCACTGTGAAGCCGTCGTCGAACCGCAAGGCCACTCGCCTGCTGAGAGTTCAGGTGAGGAAACAGTTTTTGAGGAGACAGGTCTGCTGCCTCTGCTGGCGCAGCACACGATCGCTCGGAACGATGCCATCACTGTGAAGCCATCGTCGAACCGGAAGGCAACACGTTTGCTACGAGTGCAGGTGAGGAGACAAACAGTTTTTGAGACGCCTCGAGAGTAAGGTTGAGCTTTCTGCCTCTGCTGGCGCAAAGCACACGATTGATTGCAATGGAACTGTGAAGCGGTCTTCGATCCGCAAGGCGACACACTGCTGTTTGTTGCATCACTTTCCCCCTTCCCGCTCCCCAGGTTCTGTTCTGTACCACGCGCACAAGGCTGTCTTCGAAGCTTCTCTCCTCGACGCCCTGCCCTGGTCTCAAGGGGCGCACTTTCACACTGCACACCCATCCACCCACCCAACAACCGCATCCGTTTCCCCTCCGCCCCTTCCCCCCCCCCCCTCCAGACGCTGTACTACCACGCACAGAAGGCAGTGATCGACGCCTCTCTCCTCGACGCCCTGGAGGGCTTGTCTCGCCTCGTTGCCTCTGACGCCTCCAACCTCACACAGCTCAACTCCCGCAAGATGGAAGCCATGGCTGCTCTGGCACCCCGTCAAGGATTCACTACCCATACATCCGGTCTCCCCTTTCCCCTACTCCCCTCTCCCGTTCTCCTGCCCCCCTCTCCTTTCCAGACGTTGTACCACGCGCAGAAGGCAGTGATTGATGCATCCCTCCTGGACGCCCTGGAAGGGGTATCCCGCCTCGTTGCCTCCGATGCCTCCAACCTCACGCAGCTCAACTCCCGCAAGATGGAGGCCATGGCTGCTGAGGCCCGGAAAAAGCTCGACAAAACCTCCGCAGATTCCAAGAAGCCCCGCGCGGTCATGATATCGGGGATCTTCAAGCCCAAGCGAGCAGCCGCAGGGATCGTGCACGGCGCGCCGCTGCCTATGGTGTTTGAGCCGGCGACTGAGGTGGGGAAGGTGACGGAGAAGGGGAAAGCACCGGAGCTGTCGCCGAGGGCTGCTGTGCCTCTGTCTCCCACTGGGGCGTCTGCTGCTGAGCCTGCTGCGAGTTTTCTGGTGAAATCTGGGTCGGTTTCAGCTCCCAGGTCGGTCTCTCCTGTTTCTGCTGCTGCTGCTGGTGCAGCCTCTGCCCGGACAAGGTTTCCCACGTCGGCATCTGTTTCTGTTGCTGGTGCTTCTGCTGGTGCCTACAGGTCATCTGACTTGACTCTGAAAACCCCCCGGCCTCTCCCTGCACTACCAGCAGCACCTGCGTCCGGCCCAGGCCAAACCACAGCTCCGCTCCCCCCCTCTCTCCTCGCTCAATCTCTGCTCTCCACCTCATCCCTACCATCCTCTCAATTAGCTTCACTCGAACCCATTCCTCCTCTGTCTCCTCCCCCTTCTGAGACTCTCTCCACCCCACCTGATGCCCTCGGCTCACCCAAAAGCCCTCTGAAACCGCGCCCTCCCTCACAGCCGCCCGTGCGCCCCCCTTTCCGTGGCTCTGCTGCTAATAGCGTAGACTTAACTGGGGGAGGTGACAACCCGAGATCTCCCAGGGGGTTTGTTCGGGCTGGGGCTGAGGCAACAGGGGGTTCAGCAGGGGCTGGGGGAGAGACGGGGGCTGGGTATGCGGATGGGCCGCCTAGATCGCCCCGTGCTTATGTGCGTTTTGCTGATGCTCCTGCTGGTTTGGGCGGTGAGACCAGCAGCAGCGGCAGCAGCAGTGGCAGCGGCAGTGGGGATAGGGAAGAAGCAGCAGCAGCTGGAGCCGCTGCAGCAGCGGCAGCGGCAGGGGGTTTCAGGGAAGGTGGAACTAGGGACGGCTCATCTAGCCCAGCATCACCCCGCGGCCTTTCTAGACTCAGCCCTAGCACCCCCCCCAACAGCAACGCCACTGACAGCAGCCATGCCAACCGCTCTGTGAGCCCTCTTGGCCAATCACATCGCTCCACGCCCTCCATTACAATCATACCACCGTCTCACAGCCGAGTGTCATCCACGTTCCGAGCGCCCGTGCCCCCCGCCCTCCTGTCGCCCACCTGTGTGATCTACGATGCCACTCCCAAGTCCCCGGCGCCTGTGGCGAGCTTGCAGCGGCTGAATGCAAGGAAGGAGACGCGGGACGAGCCGTTTGTCACCACGGAGGGGCTGCTGGCACAGGCACAGGCAGAGGCCCTGAAAGCTCAGGCACAGGCACAGGCCGAGGCACAGGCTGAGGCAGAGGCAGAGGCCCTGAAAGCACAGGCATTGAACGCACAAGCCATGCACACACAGGCAGAGGTTGTGAAAGCACACGCCTTGAAAGCTCAGGCCCTGAAAGCACAAGCACGGGCTGTGAAAGCACAGGAAGAGGCAGAAGCAGATGTGCAGGCACAGGCGGTTGCACGGCTGCAGGCTCAGGTGTCGTTTTCTTTGGACAGGTCTATCGGCCAAGAAAGCCGGTCTGCTTTGTCTGAATCTCCCAAGACTTGTCCCACCACCGCTCCTGCTTCTGCTTCTGCTTCTTCGCACCTCCCTCTCTCCCCCTCGCCCTCCTCCCCACTTCCTGTTTTCCAACCCACCTCCTCGTCAAGCCCTCGCCCCTCCACTGCTCCCTCTTCCTCCTCTCGCCCCACCACCCCCTCATTCCGCCCCACCACCCCCTCCTCCCGCCCCATCACCCCTCCCTTAAAAACCTCTCTGCCCTTCCTGCTAGGCACCTCCTCTCGCCCCACCACGCCTCCCATGCTCGGCTCTTCCTCCAGTGTCTCCTCTGGATCTGTCATGTCCAGCCGCCCTTCCGATGCCGTCACGTGTGAGTGCCGCACCGGGCTGGGGTTGCGGAGAGACAGGCTTCGGAACATGTGGATCGAGAGGGATGATGACGATGAGGAGTGGGACGGGGAGCGGGACAGGGAGGGGGACGGGCGAAGCCTGAGGGATGGGGCGGGGGGCGGGGCAACTCCCCCTAGGTCGAGGGGGAATTCGCTGAGTCGGAGCATTGGAGGGGCACTGCGGGTGCTGCAGCGGGGAATGAGCGAGCAGGAGAGGGGCAGGCATAGTAGCTTGAGGGGAAGTAATTTGAGTATGAGCAGCGGGAGTGGGGCTGGGAGTTTTGGCGGGCGGGGGAGTTTGAGAGGAGGGCAAGGGAGTGGTCTTGGTGGTGGTGGCAGAGATGGTGGTGGTGGTGGCGGTGGTGAGGGTGGTAGTGGTGCTGGTGTTAGCAGTGGTACTGGTGGTGGCAGCAGTGGTGCTGCTGCTGCTGCTGCTGCTGATGGCTGGGCTGTTGATGCTGCTCCTGCTCCTGATGCTGCTGCTGCTAGTGGTGCAGCTACTGCTGCCATCGCTGCTGCTGTTGCTGGCCCTAGTGGTGGTTCTGGTGGTCCTGCTGCCGGTAAAGCTGCTAGTGGGTTTCGTAACAAAAGTGTAACCGGGGATGGTAGTATACGGAGTGGGGGAAGGAATAGTGTGGGCGGCGGGGAGAGTAGCGGAGGTGGAAACTATGGCGTAGGAAGCACGGGTGGGGGAAGCACATACAGTGCTACAAGTAGCAACATAAATTATAATTCCAGTGGTGGTAGCGTCATTGGGAGCGCAGACAGTAGAATTCCGTTTGGGTTTGAAAGGCCTTTGCCAGTGGTGAAGCGGCCAAGTAGCAGTGGAGGCAGGAGGCCAGCAAGTAGTGGTGGTAGAAATGGTGAGGCTTTGCCAAAGGCTTCTCCCAAAGAGACTGGTGGCAGTGATGGCGACGAGCCGGAGCTTCAACGAGCGTCCACTAGAGGCTAGTTAACTCCACTAAGCTCAAGTGCAACCTTTTACGGTATGTGTTGTAGTCTTGTGTTGCGGATGCGTTTTTGTTTTATATTTTAGTCTTTCTAGAACTGTAGGCATTTGTTTTGCTGCACACGCCATCTGACGGTTGCGTGTCTCCCAGATCACGTGGCAGCCCGCCAAGCCGCACAACCATCAGCAGAGACACTGTAAAGTGACGTGGTCACGAATCATGCCACGTCTTGCAGCAGACAATTATAGAAATGTCCTTGTAACGACCTTGCTTGTGACGCAAACTTGTGTGCCTTCGAGAAGGCCCCGCCCAAGCGAGCGGAGATGCGAGCCCATTGGCGATAGTCGCCATATTCGTTATCCATCTCGTCGTCAGCCTGTAAAGTTGCGCCTTCCCGTCACCTTGCACGTCGGCCGTCAAGTCGAGGTTCCACCGTCAGCTCGGATATTCCGACTGTCAGGCATCGGGATTATCCTCTCGTACACGCTGCACTGTTTGAACCTCGGGAACTCATGGTTCCAGGAACTAGGGAGAAGGGCTTGCAGCCAGAAACATGCTTGAGGAGCATCAGCAACTTTGAGGCTTTTCAGGAGCAATTTTAGGAACTTTAGGAGATTGAAGGAGATCAGAATCAGGAATCCGTCCTTAGTTGAATAACTCGTTGAAGCTCCACTGAGGCGCTTGAGCTAAAGAGGAACGTTTTTTTTTTTTTTTTTAATATATATGTGTAGGAGCTAAAGAGGCCCAGCTCTATTCGCACAGTATTTCCAGAAACAGATATTTGTTAGTTGATATTTTCTTTTTAGTGAGGAGTAAAGCGAAGGCCATTCCGGTGTTTTTCTAGACATCTCTCAGGAGTACACAAACATTACACGGTGTCATTCCTTCAAGTCCATTTGATCGTCAGGTTCCTTGGATAGTGTGGAGAAGTGGCTCGTGGAAGGAATTTTTAATATAAGCGCTCATCCATTTGACGATATCACGTATTGAACTCTTGACCCAGCTGCCGTTCGGCCGTCGGGTTTCATCTAGATTCCTCCATCTTTTCTTGCTGTCTCAGAGTGTGTATTCTCTGACCGCACCGCAATGGCAGCTGCGATGATGAGCCTTGCAGGTAACTTGATATAGATTCAAAAACAGTTATCCAGTTTCAGCGTCTGAGGTTCTCCTATTTTTCAAATATAAGTCTTATTATTGTTTCTCGTGGTTCATCTTCGACAATCTTACAGCAGAAATGGCGGTCAGACCTTCTGCACCAGCCGGTGCCGTGGTGGCTGTGTCTCGCTCAGGCTCTTCCGGTCGAGTAGCCACGCCAGTCTTACCACCTCTTAAGGTAGGTTATTACTCTAAAATATATTTCAGATGGTATCATCGAGAAGTTTCTTGCTGATGAAGTACAGCTTTCTTTCTTTCGCCATCACCACTCCCTCGGTTTCCAATGCTCCCTGCCAGTTCGTCGTTCGTTCCCCTGCAATCGCTCGTTAGGTCACCGCTTCCCGTTCCTAGGCAATAAAGGTTTTTTTGTGTGTTACCTCCTCATCACATCGTCCCAACCCTGGATTTTTCCCAATATGTTTTCTTCCCTGACGCTCTATCAGCCTCATAAACCATTGTCACATCGCCAAGCATCCACTCAACAGAGTTCAGAACGCGTGCAGCTAGCGTCAATGCCAGAGCAGGAATCTTCCGACCTGGGAGACATGGCCAGATGGCGTCTCGTGTTCAGCACGCTTTTTCACGCTAACGGGTTAGCAGAAGAGGCGGTGGAGATTCCTAGGTCTGGTCACGCAGGGATTTCAGGTCAATTTGAGACGGTGGAGGCTCTTGGTCATTTCAGTGCGGAGGGTGAAGGGTGAGTTCTGACCTTGCTCCTTGGTGAACCGTTTGTGTTTTCCTGCGTCCTGTTCAATAACTCGCCTTTACCACTCCGTTCAATCCCTCCCCACAGCCTGCAGGGCACTCATCATGTAAGGGATGGCGGCCTGCTTCCCCTAGGTGAGAGGTGTGAGGCATATGCACCCAGTTCCGCTGTGTTCCTTTGTTTATCATGGACAATGTTGATATTTCTCGCCATGTCTCTCGTTACAAGCCCGCTCCGATTACCTGTCTGTCTCCTTGCAGTCCAACCAACCTATTTCACTCCCGCTAAACTTTTCTATGTTACCGCTTCACTTGTCTCGCTGTGTTTCGCAGTTTCCATGACGGGAGAAGAGACAAGGATGGATGCAGAACAAGTTAACGGCAGAAAGGTATGTGAATTTTGTGCACATGCTGAAGCTGCAGTGTACTTTGTGCTGTCCTTTTCTGTCCGTATCCTCCCTGCGGTCACCATCTACCCATCTTTGGAAGGGTGCCCCCTCTCCTGCTCTTTCACGTTATAAGTCATTTCATACACGCTTGCTGCTGCTGTTTACTTCTCATCGTTTTTGCTTTCTCCCTCTCGTTCTTCGTCCTTTCCCCACCTTCCCGCCTGGTGCACGCGGTTCTTATCTTCCCTGCAGTTCCCCCACCAGCATGTACTGGGAGTTGCCACCTCTGACCCACCTGGAAGCACTCAGCTCCAGACCAACCTAGAGGTACCGTCACTCAATTCAAGTCCGAGCAGACATGCAATGACATGCAAGTTCTTTGAGCCTGATTCTGTCTCAGTCATGTCGGGGTAATTTCTTTCGTTCGTCTCTCAGTTGATTCCGGTCCTCCCATACCACTCGTCCAACTATCCGTCCCTTTGCATCCTTCTCTGCTCTGTTCTCTCTGTGTGCATGTTCTGCCTGCAGCCGAAGAAGGATAGTGAGCTGAGGGACGACTACTATGTGAATGTGGGGTACGCCATCAGAACACTTCGGGAGGAGCTGCCAACTCTCTTTTACCGGGACATGACATACGACATCTACAGGTGTGTGTTTGGGACATGACATGTGTGTGCGCGTGTTTTGAGGGCATTTGTTGGGTCTGCCCTTCTCCCTGTCTTCAAGTCAGTTTTTCATTTCTTCCTGTCTTCCTTGTCCCCCCTGTTCTACCCCTCCATCCGCGCTGCCTGACGCTCGCCCATTACAAAAGCCATCGAGTTCCACCACTGACGCGCTCACAGTCCCATCTGTCCCTCCCATCTGTGCTTTGTACACTTCAATATACTGCTGGTGCTCGCCCATCAGGGAGGACATAACCTTCCAGGACCCAATGAACACATTCAAGGGCGTGGACAACTACCGCCTCATCTTCAAAGCGCTGCGCTTCCACGGAAAGATCTTCTTCAAGGCGCTGTGTGTGGACGTGCTGCGCGTGTGGCAGCCCAACGAGCGCACCATCCAGATCCGCTGGTCCGTCCGCGGCATCCCCCGCCTCCCCTGGGAGGCCCACGGCCGCTTCGATGGCACCTCGGAGTACAAACTCGACAGTTCTGGGAAGATCTACTCGCACAAGGTGGATAATATCGTGATGAGCGACCCGCCGAAGTACCAGCCGTTGACGGTTATGGAGCTGCTGCGTCTGTCAGGGGCACAGACCACCCCCACCATTTCGTGCTCGTGCAGAGTCTCCCAGTCAGTTTCTTCTTCAGTGTCTCCTTTGGAGGGGTCTGGCGGGCCTGGTTTGCCGTCGTTTCAGCAGCTGTTGGCAGAAGGAGCGGTGTTTCTGGCGATGGTTAGTAGGTTCACCTGGATCAGGTTTTACTGCGCACTGAGTGGGACGCTTGCGCTGCAGAAGAGTAGTGGGGGAGGTGACGGCGAGGAGGAATTGGCTGCTTCGTCAGGGTAGGGTTCATATATGGGGTCTGGGTGGGTGGTGACTGAATGATGGTTGAACTTGAACCGTGTGGTTTGTGAATGTGCTGGCTGTACGTGCGGTAGCTGGAGGATTGGATGTGATGGTTTTATTGTATGCTGCTTTGGAGGCTGCTTTTGGTATGTTGCTGTACAGGGAGCTTCGATAATGTAGCTCTTCTTAGGTGAGTGAAAGCTGGATACTGTACCGTATATGCAGCTTTGTAATGCCAATAAGGTGCTTATGAATCACTGTTTCATGCTTTTCTAATTCGGAGCTGAACTCTTGTATCGAGAATGGCTGGGGGCGGCTTACAAGCCAATCAGTAGTGAGGCGGCGCAAGCATCTGGCTGCCCAATGCACCAATCAACGTAGAGCCGAAATCAAAACTCAGCGTGAACGACGTGGGAGTGCCAGATATTGAGCTGGCGATACCCAATCCTCCTGGATTCTCGGTCCGAATGTCAACGCTGGCACATTCAGAATTCTGCAGCCAAGTGCTCCGCAAAACCATGCAGAAAACATCTAAACCGAACGGATCGTTGACCTTTGCAGCTCCCTCCGCTTCCTTGCGGACCTTTAGCTTTCTTGAATTTCACCTTTCACTTGCATAGAAACCAATTCCTAGAATCCTTTTCAGTCACTCGGTTTCAGCGCATTGTTTTCACATGTCAGTGGCCATCGCTGCTGACCGCCGTTTCTCCACCACAGACGGTTGGTTCTTGTCGTCGCTCTTGTGATTTTCCCCATTGTGTCGTCGTTGCTCCTAGGTCTGATCCTCTCGCATTTGCCTTGCGGACAAGCACGCATTGTGGTAGCATCGGAAACCGAGACGTTTTTTTTCTCTCGGCTACTTCTTGACGCCTGAAGAACACACACGAAAACGCACCTAACACTAGAGCCTGCTCGCTGCGCCTCTATCCATCCATGGCTTCCGCGTCCGTCTCATTGCTCCGGCGAGCCGCCAGACCGATCCTCGCCGGTCTTTACGGAGGCGCGCTCTCCGTCGCCGCGAGGCAGCACCTCACCAGCTCTTGCTCCTCCTCCGCCGCCGCAGCCGGCGCAGCCGCTGCCGGGCTTCGCAATACAATGGCGGGATTCCACTCGTCCGCGTGTCCCGCGTCGGACTTGTCGCAGTCGTCTGGGCCGTCCGTGACGGAAGAGACGGTGTCGCTCGTTCAGGCGTCCGATAAAGGCATTGGACTCGCTTTTGTAAGCTGCTTAGGACGCGATTTTATTAAGACCAACTATTTATTCATTGGAACAGTGTCGTTCCTTAAAGCGTCATATAGTGTGGTCGAGCCCTCGCGTTTCGTAAAGACCTCATCTTCGAATTCGAACTTCGCATTCTAGGTCATCTGCATTGTCATTTCTCATTCTTTCTTTCCCTCCTTCTCTTTCCTTGTAAACTTGTGATCCCAGCAACGCTGTGGACGTGTTCTTTAGCTCTCCTATTCTTTCTACTCCAGTCGATCGATTCCCTTCCGATCCTCCTTCATCTTCTTTCGCGTTTCCACTCTCTGTTGTTTCCCTCTCACACTGTTTCACGCGCTATCCTCTCCCCCCGGCTTTTCTTCCTCGATTGTCATGTGGACAGGTGGAGCAGCTGCTGAAGCGGCAGCCAACCGGCCGCGTCATTGCCACGTGTCGAGATCCGATGGGCGCTCAGCACCTGGACGCACTTCACGACCAGAGCGGTGGACGGCTGGATGTGATGCAACTGGATGTGACTAAAGAGGATACCATCGAGGTAAGGGGGGGTACTTATGAGACGCGTGTGATGCAACTGGATGTGATTTTAGAGGATACCATCGAGGGACGGGCACGCGCAGAGGCTTAAAGAGTCACAGTCAGCTTCTGGATGTGTCTATAACGAGGGTCTTAAGGTTTATCACAGTGCGAAACACGGACGACTACACAAGTGTGTAATGACGAATGATTCAGACCACACAACCGACCACTTAGCAGTCTTGGGGTTTTAGACCTGAGAGTGTATGGCATACTGTCATTCATGCCGCGTCCCAACGTCAACCAGAGATTTTCTCACCCCCTCCTTCCTTCCCGCCCATTTTCTCGCGGTTCTCCCTTTTTCCCCTGTCGCTCTCCTGCATCTCGACACGCTTCCTTCCCCTCTCCTTCCCGTTCCACCCTTCCCTCACACGCCCTCCTCCCCACCAGCAAGCTGGACCTGCTGCTTATCGCCTCCCTCCCCCCCGCTCTTCTCTCCCTTTCCTCCATGCTTCCTGCAACCCCCCGCACCCCTTTCATTCTTCCCCTACGATCCCAGGCTGTAGCAGCGGCCGTGCGGCAGAAGTACGGCAAGCTGGACCTGCTGCTCAACGTGGCGGGTGTGCTGCATCGCCCCAACGAGCTACAGCCGGGTATGCTGCTATGCTACAGTCAGGTTCGTTGCTAGAGCCGAGAGTGCTGCTACAACTGAAATGGCTGTTCCAGCTACTGCTGGGTGTACTGACAGCCCCAGAAAGCTACAACTGAGTATGCTGCTGCTACAGCCGGGTTTGCTGCTACAGCCGGGTTTGCGGCTACAGTCAGGCTTGCTGCTACAGCCGGGTTTGGTGCTACAGCTGCTTGCTGCTACAGACGGGTTTGATGCTACAGCTCGGTTTGCTGCTACAGCCAGGTTTGCTGCTACAACTGGGTTTGCTGCTGCAGCCGAGTTTGCTGCTGCAGCCGGGTTTGCTGCTGCAGCCGGGTTTGCTGCTGCAGCCGGGTTTGCTGCTGCAGCCGGGTTTGCTGCTGCAGCCGGGTTTGTTGCTGCAGCCAGGTTTGCTGATGCAGCCGGCTGGGTATGCTGCTCCTACCGTTGAGTATGCCGCTACAGCCTGGTATGAGTGCTAACTACAGCCCGGATGGACGGTATACTGTGTTTAATGTACTTGTATCGGTACACAGAGCAGCCCGCACTGGCTGAGACATGACGCCATGCTGCCGGCTGTGCTACAACGCCATGCTTCTTGCAGGTAGTGAAACCATTCCGATTCCCCTCTTCCCCTTCATCCGTCTTCTCCTTCCTTCCTCACCCCCGTCCCTCCCTCTTCCGCTTCCCTCTCCCTTGCCACTCCCTCCCTCCCCACCCCAGAGAGCAGTCTGCACCGGCTGTGCCCGGACGCGATGCTGCTGGGCGGGCAGTGAAAGCAATCAAATCCCTTCTTCCCCGTTCCTGGCCCGCCCCCCCCCCCTCTTCGCCTCCCTCCTCCTCCCCTCCCCAGAGAGCAGTCTGCACTGGCTGTGCCAGGACGCGATGTTGCTGGCTTACCGAGTCAACGCCATGGGGCCCATGCTCGTGCTCAAGGTGAGTCAACGGCGCGCTGGTCTGACAAGTCAACGAGAGTCAACGACATGATGATGGTGACAGCTGGTGAGGTGGGCTGGGATGGCTTGGCATGGTCTTGGATGGAAACATATGGGTGCAAGGCAATACAGTACGGTCTGATCATCGATTAAAGAAACAATGTAGAACTATCATCACCGCTACATTCCATCTCTCCCTGCTCCCACAGTACATAATGCCTCTGCGGCATTAAAATAGTCTAGAATTCTCAGTCTGCAATTCCATCTCCCCTTCCCTCCTTCCCCTTCCCACCCCACGCTTGCATCAGGTCGTAGCGCCATCGCCGCCATCATTTCGTTCCATCTCTCCTCCTCATCCCCTTCCGCTGCCCACCTTCGTCGCCACATGATGCCGCTGCTGAAACCACGAGTTCACACCAAAACCACAGCATCATCTCTTTTCCTCCTTCCCTCCCTCGTCCCCCGTTTCCCCTCCCCTAGCAGCGCATGATGCCACTGCTGGTAACGTGGTAACGGGCAGCCGCACCAGAATCCCAGCACCAAAGTTTCTTTCCATCCCCACTCTCTCCTCTTCCCCACCCTCTGCAGCACATGATGCCGCTGCTGGTGACGGGTGGTCACACCAATCCCAACCGTCCCTACTCCATAGTGGCCAACATGAGCTCGCGCACCGGATCCATCTCTGATAACCACATCGGTGGGTGGTACTCGTATCGCGCCTCCAAAGCTGCTCTCAATCAATGTGAGTTCATTACCATGTAACATGTATCCATGTAACCTCAGTAGTGGCCAACATGGGCTCTCGCACCGGGTCCATCTCCAATAACCATATTGGGGGATGGTATTCTTATTAAGCATCCCAAGCTGCTTTCAAACAGATCAGTGCTGTTTCATATTGGGTTACATGTATCAGTGTAGCCTCAGTTGCCGTCACTCCTTCCCCCCAAGCCCTTCACTCCTTTCCCCGTCACCAATTACTCTCCCGTCTCCCTCAGTCACCAAGACAGCTGCAGTGAGAGTTGGCAGCCCAGAAGAGTCATGTGGCTGTCTGTGCTGCTACACCCTAGTCCTTTGTCCCTCTACCTTGTTGCATTCACCCTTCTCTTACCCTCTTCCCCTCTCCTACCCCCTTTTGCCACCCTCGCCCAACTCATTCCCTTCCTCCCCCAGTCACCAAGACGGCAGCAGTGGAGTTGGCCGCACAGAAGAGCCCAGTGGTGGCTGTGCTGCTTACACCTTTATTCCTGGTTCATGCAGCAGTGACCATCTAACTTCTCTCACCCTCGCTCCCCCTTCTTCTCCCCCACATTACCCTTGCCTTGCCTATCCCTCCTCCTCCCCCAGTCACCAAGACGGCAGCAGTGGAGTTGGCCGCCCAGAAGAGCCCAGTGGTGGCCGTGCTGCTACACCCCGGCACTGTAGACACCGACCTTACCCGCCCGTTCACTGCGCACTTGCCGGCCGATAAGATCTTCACGCCTGATTTTGCTGCCGAGCAGCTATTGGGTGTCATTGATGGGTTGAGTCCAAGTGACAATGGGCGGTTTATCGCGTATGACGGCACGGATGTGGCGTGGTGATTGTTGGGGAAACGATCATGACTAGGCAGGGGTGCTAAAAATGGGGAACGTATTTTAATGTGCTGGGAGAAAGCGTAGCTATCTAAAAATGTTTCGTTTTGTATGCATACTGTACCTGAATAGAGAATGCAAAAGTATTAACTTGAGTCTTTATAGCAGATAGTTACTTGGAGAACCTTCTCCCTTTTAAAGCTGTGATTGTGCCTTCAAGGCACACCACTTTATCGCGTACTGACCACTCGGATCCTTTCCCCCGCACAGTCCACCAATTCATTCCTTTTATCCCAGACCCGCATTTTTTATCTCCTTGCGCCATATTAGCATTTTGCGCCCCCCGCGCTTTCCGCGATTCCGCTGTCAGCGTCGTCCCGCGCGCGCTCCAATGGCTGCGCTTGCCGTGCGAGCCGTCTCCGCCGCTGCGGCGGCTGCGCTGCCGGCTTTCCCGCCGTCGCATATGCGCGCTTCGCCAGCAGCCAGAGAAACGTCGCTGCGGATAGGAGGGCGGGAGAAGCGCGGCTGTAGCAATGGCGGCTGGAGCTGCGCGGGGAGGAGGGGTAGGGCTGTCGTTGCGCTGGCTGCGCCGCCTGAAACCGTGACTGCGATTGTGGAGAGCGGAGCTGCAACCATGGTGAGAATAGACGCTCGCTCTCTTTCACTTCAACTCTCCTCTCCAGAATAGACGCTCGCTCTCTTTCACTTCAACTCTCCTCTCCAGAATAGACGCTCGCTCTCTTTCACTTCAACTCTCCTCTCCAGAATAGACGCTCGCTCTCTTTCACTTCAACTCTCCTCTCCAGAATAGACGCTCGCTCTCTTTCACTTCAACTCTCCTCTCCAGAATAGACGCTCGCTCTCTTTCACTTCAACTCTCCTCTCCAGAATAGACGCTCGCTCTCTTTCACTTCAACTCTCCTCTCCAGAATAGACGCTCGCTCTCTTTCACTTCAACTCTCCTCTCCAGAATAGACGCTCGCTCCACATTGTTGTCTCGAATCTCCTCTTCCCCGCCAGCACTCACACGTGCTTGCACTCCTTCTCCTACTCTCCTTCCCCTCCTCTTACCATCGCATGCCCTCCTGTCACCCCTCTCTCCCATCTGCCCGTCCCCCTACTCCTGTCACCCCTGCCCTCGCGTCAGGTGTCAGCTGCTGATTGGACGAGTCACCTCGTGCTCGCCACGCTCAACACAGCTGCCACGCTGGCATCGGACGGACCAATAGAATTGCCCCCCGCTTACCTGGAAGACCCGTGGGCTATTCCCGAGGTCTCTCCGTTGCAATCCTTTGCCAGTATTCTGCTGACCGGGACGATTGGTGTGCTGCTGTTCCGAGCTATCAAGAGACGAGCGAGCAAGGTCACAGAATCGGTAAGCAACGGTTAAGGATGGTGGAGTGCGGTGGGTGTGGTGGGTGCAGGCGTTCCCGCTTACCTGGAAGACCTGTGGGCTATTCCCGAGGTCTATCCGTTGCAATCCTTTGCCAGCATTCTGCTAACGGGCACAATTGGTGTGCTGATGTTTCGGGCTATCAAAAGACGAGCGAGCAAGGTCACAGAATCAGTGAGTGGAGGCCAGAGATTGGGTGCAGTGCAGTGCGGTTAAGAGTGGTTTAGTGAGTGAGATTGGGGTGGGTGCATTCCCTTGTGCATTCCTTCGCCAGTATCCCTTTGACTTGGACGAATGGTGTGCTGCTGTTTTGGGTTATCACGAGACAAGTCAGCAACTTCACAGAATCTGTGAGCGAGAGTTGGGGGAAGCCTACTTAGTGCACAGTGAATTCTCTAAAGATACTCAAATACCTCCAGAACCTGAAAGCCCTGCAAAGCCCCCACAACATCAAAGGCCTTTGCAGGACTTTCAGCTTCTCTTCTTTCTTTCAGGTACAATCCAGTTCTCTTCTTTCCCTGCCAGAGCGTCTGGCCGGACTGGATGACAGCGGAATTCTCTAAAGATACTCAAATACCTCCAGAACCTGAAAGCCCTGCAAAGCCCCCACAACATCAAAGGCCTTTGCAGGACTTTCAGCTTCTCTTCTTTCTTTCAGGTACAATCCAGTTCTCTTCTTTCCCTGCCAGAGCGTCTGGCCGGACTGGATGACAGCGGACTCAGTTGAGAAGCTGTCAGGCAGACCAGTGGCAGATGGTCGGGGAGGAGAGAAAGCACGTTGCACAGTGAAACGTCTTTCAAACCTCCAAAGCCCGCACATTGCACAAACTGCAAAATGATCGCTCCTGTGTCTCATACCCCTTCTCCCCCTCCCAGCGATTCCGGTCAGACTCAGTCGAGAAGCTGTCGTCCAATCCGGTGGTGGAGGAGCGGAAGCGCCGGGCGGCAGAGGAGGCGGCAGAAGCAGCCAAGCGACCGCCGCCCACGGTGCTGAACACGCTGGGCGGCGCACTGGTGGCGGGGTCGATTGCGATCGTGCTGTACAAGTTTGCGACGTCCGTTGATGATGTGTTTGCGGGGCAGACCCTCTCAACCACTTACACTGTGAGTAACTGTTATTGACGTGCATTGCGATAGCACTGGTGGCATGGTAGGGTTGATTGCAATCGTGCTCTGCAAGTTTGCGACATCCGTTGATGTGTTCGCTGAACAGACCTTGTCAACCACTTACACTGTGAGTGCCTGTTTCGTTTTGCCATGACTTACAGTACGCGCTTACAACGTACATGTTACAGGTGACCCATCAGGCTGTTCCCTTGACCGACATGAGATGTGTTCCATTTTTTTGTTACCGCAATCCGCGTGCTTAAGTGCCCATGCATATTTCTCCTCATCTCCTCCCCTCCTCTCCCCTCTTTCTCACCTTCCACAACCCCCCCCTTCCCTCCTCACTTGTCGGCCCCCATTCTCTCCCTGCCCCCCTATCTACAGGTTCGGAACCTTTCCATTGCTGTCAGGTACACTCCATTATTGCTTTACCTTCTGTAATTATAAAAAATATTATTCGTCGATTCCCACAACTCACACCACTTCATGCTGTTTTCATTGCAATAGCTCCCTTTTTAGCCTCCCACATCCCTTTTGTCGTCCCTGTTCCTTTCTTCTCTCTTCTCTCCCCTCTCTCCCTTCATCTTCCATTTCATCCTTGATTTTCCACAGGACCATAGTATCAGGCCTCGTATGGCTGGCCACATTCATCTTTGCTCTCAATTCCCTCGGCCTCCCTGTCTTGCTCATCCCGTCTCCTCTCCCTGCTCCTCTCTTTCCTCACCTCTCGTCCTTCCCTCTCTTCCTCCTCTTACCTACAGGACCATAGTATCAGGCCTCGTATGGCTGGCCACATTTATCTTTGCTCTGAACTCCCTCGGCCTCACGCTCTACGCCTTTCAACTGGCGCTGGGTATTGACTCCCCTAAAGACAGCCCTGTTAGTGGGAGTGGGAGTGAAGCAGATACAGCGGGATCCAAAGACAGCGAGGCTAAGGAGGCTGAGGTTCCGGTTGGGAGTGAGGAGAAGAAGCCATTGGGTTTCGGAGGTTCTTCAAAGGAAAATGGGGGCGCAGAGAAGAAATAGAGATGCATGCAAGGTATCGAGCTAGCAGTCGAGGCAACACTGTCTAAGCTATTGTTTTTAACATGCGGTTGTCTCGCTAGATAGTATAGCCATGTATTGTAAAGCGTTCCTATCAACCATTTTGGTGACCAAAACAAAAAGTTTCTGGTGTATTGTAACTGTAGCACTCTATGGCGCGTCAATAACATCAGGAGTGAAACAGCAGCAGGTGCAGCCTTGGGATTGTTGTCCGTGTTTACATCATTACCTGGCCAGATTTCGTTATGAAGAAGCGGATGATTTCAAGGTGAAAAATGGGGCTGAAAATGGCGACAGGCTGACGATAACATTGCGCGAATCCGTGGCGGGGTCAGCGCCAATCCCCGTGCATCCTCGGTACAGTGCATTCCGAGAAGCTCAAAGCCTGTCGCAGACGGGACGCTTTCCCTCAATCCGTGCGATAGTAGCTCGGCTTCTTTAGTGTCTAGGGGACGCTCGCGTCGATTCCTGACTCAGATCAGGTTTTGCTTTTGAGAAAGCCAATTTATGAGGCGATTCTTGAGACGTCTCGAAACGCAATGGTCAAGGCGATTCGAAAATGGGGCCGCAGAAATGCAGATTTAAAAGCGTTCTTTCCAACGGCACTCCTTGTTGTCTGCCTGCTCTCCGTTTCGTACGCGACACAAGGTGAGCCGATACAAGGCCAAGGATTCTGAAGTGTAACGCAACTGATTACAACGAGACAGAGTGGCTGCTGCAATCATGCTGCAACCGGAATGAAAGTTCGTCCGCTCTCCTCTTCTCGTCTACTTTTGAGGCGCCTCAAAAGTAAACTAAGCCATGATCCTTGTCTGCTCCTTGCCTGCTTATCTCTCTCTCCACTTCATCCCCTCTCCCTCTCCCTCTCATCCGTTTTCCCTCCAGTTCAAGCGCAACCCGAATTAGCGCCACCAGCGGTATCAGCGCCATTGGCGCCAGCAGCACCAGAACCAGCCGATCCAGCCGGCCAGCCGGCAGTTCAATCGACGGACGAGGTGCTTCTGGGTCGAGTGGCGGAGATTGCAGCGGAGCTCAGCCGTCAGATGCAGGAGGAGCAGGCGCTGCAGCAGTCCCAGGGAGCCATTCTTGATCAGCAGGCGCTACTCCTTCCTCCCTCCCCTCCGCTCTCTCCCCTTCTCGTCTCCCCACAGCAATCGCCACCCTTCCCTCCTCCCGTCCCCCCTCCAGTCGTCCCCTCTCCTCCCTTCCCCCCTCCACCGCCCCTCCGTCCCACGTCGCTCATCTCACCTCAATCTCAAGGCGAACCAGGGAGTTTAGGAACCACGGCAGGCGCTGACGAGGTGCTTATAGGGAGAGTGGCCGCTATAGAGGAACAGCTGATGCTGCAGCTTGCAGGGGCTAGTGAAGAGGAGGGGAAGAGGGAAGCTGGAGGAGAGGAATTAGGAAAGGGCAAGGTCCAGGAGAGAGAGACTAGTCCCCACTTACCTGCGACTCCCACCCCCTCACACCCACCACCCCCCTCTCCTCCTCCCTCACACCCACCTCCCCCCTCTCCTCCTGCCTTAGAGCCCCTCTTTACAGTCACATCCCTGAACCGAACCATTCGCAGGGTAGATCTGAACAAGACCTTTCTAGAATACCACCACCATTTCCGGGAAGGAGAGCTCAAGCTACAGTGCTCCGGCGAGCCTTGCCCGAACCTAGGCTCCTGCGGCCCGGAGTTCCCGAACCTGCGCGCCTGCTACTGGCCGAACCTGGTCGACGCGGAGTACCTATTCCCGGACCAGCCTATAAACTGCCCGAAAGTGATGGATATGAGTGTAGAAGGAGGAAGGGAGGTGTCGGATACGAGGTGCACTCATAAGGGGGATGACTTGCGGCTGGATATGTTTCTTCCGCAGTACTACGAGCTTCGGGACGTGTACTTGGATGGGGATGGCCTGGTGTTTAATGAGTCGGTGTTCTTTGACAGACACAGCTGTGCTGACAAGGGGAATGTGAGTGAATGGGCGCTTCTGAGAATTTTCAGGGTGGTTTTGAGGATAGCTTGCGGCTGGATAAGTTTTTTTCCCGGTATTACGAGTTGCAGGTCGTCTACCTGGATGGGATGGATGGGGATGGGGATGGGGATGGGGATGGCCTTGTGTTTAACAGAACGGTGTTCTTTGATTGGCCTTCCCATACCCCCTTGTGTCCCACTCTCAGTGCAGTTCTCCTTTGAACCAGGCAAGGCCAAGGTCCATCACTACGACCGGCTGTTGTCTCTCATGTACCCCCTGGGCGTCGCATTCTACCACGTGCTCATAGAGCTTGTGAGCTGTCTTCAACCTTCGCATTCCCCCTTATTTCCCACTCTGTCTCTCCCTCTGTCTCCCTCTGTCTCCCTCCCCTCTCTGCAGTTCTCATTCGAGCCAGGCAAGGCCAAGGTCCATCACTACGACCGTGTGGTCTCCCTCATGTACCCACTGGGCATCGCATTCTATCACGTGCTCATCGAGCTCGTGCCTCACCTCTTTGTGCTCTCTCCTCTGCTGCGAGACAACCCCTCCATCCCCATCGCCATCGCCTCGCACCAGGTATGCTGGTTTCATTAACTCGTTGAATGTTATCTCCCCTCCCATCCCCATTACCATCGCCCGCCATCCCCGTTGCCGCACCTCTTCATGCTCTCCCCACTGCTGCGAGACAACCCCTCCATCCCCATTACCATCGCCTCGCACCAGGTACGTTGGTTGTTATCTCCCCTCCCATCCCCATTACCATCGCCCGCCATCCCCGTTGCCTCTCCTCTTCGTGTTCTCCCTCTGCTGCCCGACAACCATCCCCATCGCCATCACCTCCCACCGGGTACGTTGGGCTTTAAAGGTTGGCCAAAACCATTCCCATCCCCATCCCTATCCCTATCACGCCCATTTCCGCCCATCACCATCCCCATCACTTGGGATTGCCCCCGTGGACTCTCCTGGAGAGCAATACCTTGGCGTCACTGCCGTTGAGTCTCTTCTAAATCGTTCCTTGATCCTTTGTGTGCGTGCGTCCTTTCTCCCCCCCTGGTTCCTCGTGTGCAATGTGAGTGTGTCTGCTGTCGGTCAGGTGAAGGCGTTCAGCAGTCTCCTGGTGCCCTTCCTCGGTATCCCAGCCACCGCTCTCAACCTCGCTGTCATCCCCAACCGACACGCTGATGTCAATCTGCTCATCCACGTGGATGTCTTGTACCAGGTAATTCCCGTGTCAGATCTCTTGTTACCAATGTATTCTCCTCTGCCCCACCCCGTTCCCTGAGCTTGACACCCCTTTTCCATCCCCCCCTGCGCTCGTTTCCCCCCAGCCAGTGTACCAGGCCACTGCCCTGTGGTCGCCTCGCCCTTCCCTTGTGGGGGGAGCTGCACTCCACTCCACGACCTCCCGTGACACCTCTTTTCCATCCCGCTCTGCCAGTGGGTTCCTTTCCTCACCAGTGTACCAAGCCTGGCCAGTGGTCGCTCTGCGAGTGGGTTCCTTTCCTCACCAGTGTACCAAGCCTGGCCAGTGGTCGCTCTGCCAGTGGGTTCCTTTCCTCACCAGTGTACCAAGCCTGGCCAGTGGTCGCTCTGCCAGTGGGTTCCTTTCCTCACCAGTGTACCAAGCCTGGCCAGTGGTCGCTCTGCCAGTGGGTTCCTTTCCTCACCAGTGTACCAAGCCTGGCCAGTGGTCGCTCTGCCAGTGGGTTCCTTTCCTCACCAGTGTACCAAGCCTGGCCAGTGGTCACTCTGCGCCCGCCATGTGGGGGGAGCTGCGCCACCGCATCCTGCTGCCCCACTGTCCCCTTCACAACCCCTGCCCCTCCTTCCCTTCGCCCTCTCTTTCCATAAACTCCCCTTCCCCACCACCCAGCCAGTGTACCAGGCGTGTGGTCGCTCCGCACCTGCCATGTGGGGCGAGCTGCGCCGCCGCTTCCTGCTCCCCCCTGCCGGCCTGCCCCTCTTCCGCCCTGGCCTGGTCCCACGCCACAACCACACCCACTTTCTCCCACCTACTGCTGATTCACCAGCCACCACCACCCCCACCAGTGCTGACAGCAGCATCCCTGTTAGGGCTGGTGACATCAGCGAGACGGATGTGCCCCTGTGGTCTGACGCGCAGACCGCCCGGCTGCCGTACAGCTGGCGCGCCGTGATTGCGCACCGGCGCGGTGCGATGCGCCACCTGGCGGCGTTTGATTCGCTCGTGGCGGAGATGAAGCGAGTTTTTCCGCCGCAGAGGGTGTTTGTGTTCGAAGGGGACCTACCCATCCTGCAAGGTGCGTGAGGTGGCATCTGCTGTGCTTGTGTTATTAAGGTCTCGATCCCTACCTGCTCGCATTTCACACAGAGGGTGTTTGTGTTCGAAGGGGACCTGCCCATCCTGCGAGGTGCGTATGCTGTGCTGCAGTGCAAGGTGTATGGGTGGGTTATGTTGAGATCTTATCAGTCTCGGTTCTACCTGCCAGTGTTGCACACAGTGTTCCCCCCGCAGCGGGTGTTTGTGTTCGAAGGGAACCTGCCCATCCTGCAAGGTGCGTATGCTGTGATTTTTTAGGCGCCTCAAAAGTCTACCCATCCCATACTGCAAGGTGCATATGCTGTGCTATGCTGCAAGGCGGGGTCTGGTCTGTTGTTCTGCAATTTGAGTGAATAATGCTGATATCTGATGGGGATCAATCCCTACCTGCCATCTTGCACAGTGTTCCCACCGCAATCAGCAGGCCTCTCCTCTCCAACATAATAATAATGCCCGCCCATCCCCTTCCCCTTCCCCACCTCCTTTCGTTGTTGGCTCTCATGCTCTCCTCCGCCCCCAAGCCAAACTCCTCTTCAACCGAGCAGCGGTCTATGTGGATCTGCACGGAGCAGGTCTCTCCAGCATGATCTTCATGCCATCCAATCACCCCTCTCTGCCTTACTGCCGCTCTCTTCTCGTTCTACATCCCACCCCCTTCATGTACCAGCCAAGCTTCTCTGGCAACAGAGCAGCAGTCTTTGTGGGGATTGCACGGAGCAGGTGTATCCGGCATGATCTTCATGCCCTCGAACCCCCCTGCCACCCTCATCCCTGCCCGTAACTCTCTCTCCCCTCCCGCCCCCAGCCAAACTCCTCTTCAACCGAGCAGCGGTCTATGTGGGCTTGCACGGAGCAGGCCTCTCCAACATGATCTTCATGCCCTCCAATTCCTCCGTCTTCGAAATCCGACCCAGGGATTACCCCAACCCCTGCTACCACCACTTAACCATGGCTACGCAACAGAACTACTACCTGGTGTTTGGAAATGGGACCAAGGATTCGGAGCTGAGGTATAACATGAGTGAGGTGGTGAGTGTTTTGAGGGTGATAGCGGATCAGACTAAAAGGAGGGTGTCTGCAAGGTCCTGGGAGGTGGAGGAAATAGGTTCAGCACTAGATGAATTAAAAGAGAGTGATTATATGGATATTATTCTAGATAGTGACAAAAGTAGGAACCAAGATCCAACCTAGTCCAAGCTCAATTGATCTTTGAGCATTTCAGTCAATCAGAATGGTGTTTAACATTTCCTTTTGCATTTCACAGACCATCAAAATATGGGTATTCAACAATATTTTGTTGGCTTCCCACTCACTAAATTTACCTGAACATAGAATTTGGACACCTTTATGATGTGAGTTGGAACTTCAATTTACATACAGCACACATTTCCTGCATGGCTTCTTGAATTCCTACATTTTAGGCATCTTGCCTGCTTTCCCAATTCCTGAAGTACGCATTTCTTTCCCAATCCCTGTATTTCAAGCATCCTCTTCACAATTCGCGCAAGCAACTACACCTTCCTAATCCCGATCCAACCGGTACGCTCGCCCCCTGAACACAGCACCACCAGAGCCACCACCCACCCCTGCCGCAGCTACTCCTCCTGCAGCCCCTCCTGCCGCTCCTCCTCCTCCCCCTGCTACAGGGCCGCGGGCCGGAGTGGGCCGCGGGGGTGCCTGGGGCTGCACCATGTTGGGTGCTACAGCCGCCCACTGTGCTACAATCCGATGGCTGGAGGATGGAGGGGATGAAGGGGATGGGTGTGTAGAGGGTGAGGAGGAAAGGGGTGAGTGGAAAGTGTTGTTGCACACACGAGCAACTATGCCAGCTGGGGTTGCATCATGTGCTACAGCCGGCCACTGCGCTACAAGCGGGCGGCTGGAGGGTGGAGGGAGAAGAGAATGCTAAGGGTGGAACAGAATGGGATGGGTGGAAAACTGCGTTTGCCTGGGGTTGCACCATGTTGTGCCGCGTCAGCTCCCCACTGCACTACAAGCCTCCTGTGCGTGCATACACGGGGATGATGAAGTAGTAGATGTGACCTCTTGGCCTGCCCCTCTAAAAGACATCTCCATAGAGAAAAAAAAGAACATGACGAGGGACTTACACCCAGAGTGGCATTGTCTGTGGTAAACAGGTGGGCTGTGGATGTCTTATGTCCATCAACTTAAACTGTTTCTTAGGACGACGAAGCAAACTCCACGAAATGAAAAAATGAAAGAGCCTGGAAAGCTTGTAAGCTAGAGCGTATTAGAGAGCCAGAATGAACAAAACGTCAACTTAAAAAGAACATGAGGAGGGACTTACACCCAGAGTGGCGTGCGGATGAGCTGAGCCCCCCCTGTGCGCGGATACACGGCCGTGAGGAAGTAGTAGATGTGACCCGCCACTATGCCGGCTAGCGAGTCAACCACGCTCATTCCAAAGAGCAGATCCATGAAGAGGTATGCCCATGGCAGGTAGAACGCCTGTTGGTGAGAGTGGATGGGAGGGGAGAGGAGCAGAAGATGGTGAAACGGATCTAGTGCAGAGCGAGAGATTCAGCGATGCTCATTCCAATATGCAGGCCCACGAATAGTTATGCCCAGGGCAGGTAGACCCATGAAATTGACAACACCGTTGGAATTCTCCCGGATCCACATGTAGACGACTGAGAGGAGCAGAGGCTCCCTAAGGAAGAGGCACTTAAAGGGGATAAACAGGAAGAGGAATACAGGGGGCGCCATAGAGAGGGGACTCACGGGCATGGATAGAAGACCCATGAAGTTGACGACACCGTTGGGATTCTCCCGGCTCCACAGGTAGATGACCGAGAGGAGCAGCGGCTCACTAAGGAAGAAGATCTTAAAGGGGATGAGGAGGGCGATGAGCAGCAGGCTGAGCGTGTTGATCATGAGCATGTAGAGAAAGTCCGCTGTTCTTCCGGCGAAAGCTGATGTCTCCATCTGTACACAGTAGCGGGCTCTGCAATAACGAGGATGGCAGTTTAAGAGCCAGAAAAAGATGTCATGTATGAGACTTAGGTTTGCGCTTTCTGATCATGTGAAATTAAATGAGCAAGAGAACGAGGAGGTATTAAGGTGCAGTGGTCGAGCGTGGAGAGGGAGTATGAAGGGGCACTGAGAAGAGGATAATGGACAGCAGGAATTAATAGGAGGTTGAAGGAAAGCTGGAGAAAGAATGAGGAAGGAAAAGGGGGGGGGGGAAGGAACATAAGCTAGAGAAAAGGGGGGAAGTCTTCGTACATCATAAGGAGAGTGAAGGCGAATCTCATGCTGAATCCTCCTGCAAAGAAGATGCTTGTAACGAGACGCCATATCTGAACGTCACAAGACAAGCATGCATATATGAAGGATGCATGCACACAGTTCACGAAGGGGCGTGTCAGAAAATGAGGTAGCCTAGTAAACTTCCTGTTATGTACGGTCAATCATGAACATATATGCCAATCTACGCATGGGAAGATAGCAATCTCCATGCAAAGAAACAGAGAACGGAGCAACGGTAAGAACGGGGGATAGAACCTGGAATTTCTGGAATATGGAGGCGTAGTCGAGGAAGATGAGCTGCACTGGCAGCACTTTGAGCTGCATGGCGCATGCGGTGGCGAATAGCGCCGTTCCCCATGCCTTGCTGACTGGCGGGAGGGAGTTGTACCACCTGAGATGTATACGAGGCGGGGATGAGATTAACTGTATCAATTAAGGCGCCTCAGAAAGGGAATTGTACCACCTGTAGACGTAGTGAGAGTATTGCAGCACGCGTGAGAGATATTATAAACCACACTGCATGCTTAGAAAGAACACGCTTCTACTCGGCGGTTTAAGGAGTAAACGACAGGCGTCAACGACAGGGGTCAGCGACAGGGGTCAGCGACAGGGGTCAGCGACAGGGGTCAGCGACAGGGGTCAGCGACAGGGGTTAACGACAGGGTTCAACGACAGGGGTCAACGACTGGCACCAGCGACAGGCCCTGCGCATAGCTGATTCGCCGACGGGAAGTAGCGACGCTTACTCTGCGGGACTCGCTGCTGCCATGGCGACAGAATTGCGAAGATCTCGGCAATCTCGGCGATCTTGGCGACCGGGAGATCACGGACGTGTCTAAGCTTGCAGCCTATGAGAACGATGTCCACAACGTGGCCTTGGCGGGTGTGCAACGTTCAAGATGTAGCGCAGCGCGAATATGGTATCCCTCAGTATTCTTTAGGTAGAATCTAGAACGTATGGAAATGAAGAAGCTTGGCGCTGACGACGTTCCTTCCTCGGCGAAATGATTCTTCCACGGAACGCTTTCGCAAAATGCTCAATTTTGAATTTTCGTGATGCTTTGGGGAGGTCGCATAATTTTTGCGAATGTGCAGATAGTTACCGGACTGGCATGTTCTGAGGAACGTAAGATCTGGTTGAGCGAGTGACTGCCGAGTCCAGACAAGGAAGGTGAGTGCACGGTTCCAGTTTTTAACACGGCCAGCAACGGTTTAGTGAGTTTCTGTGCGTTTTAGAGCGTTCTGAATTGAATGCCGACATTCCCTAGGCTTCGCACCACATCCTAGTTCTGGCGATTATCCAGCAGGAATCCAGCTTGTCAGTAATCGATCATGGATTTCCGCTCATTTGACTCCCTCTAGTCCTCGTCTCGCCGATCATTTAGTCTTTTGGTAGTTCTCCGGTCTCTCTGTCACGTTACGGCAGCATCTTTGTTTATGGCAGACAACCGCAAGGGTTCTCGAAGACTTGCTGCATCGCAAGCTGCCATGGCGATTCGATCGAAGTCGACGATAGTGAAGCTGCTCTCGATTCTCGCGCTGTGGATCGTCGTCATTGGCTTGTTACAGCTGCTTCGCACGTCGTGCAACTATTTCGCGAGCTCGCGGAGTCCGCCATCGTCCGATCCTCCCGCTGGGTTTTCCAATTCCACGAGAATACCGAAGCGCCTGTTTATTAACTACGCACACAATTGCTGCCACTTGGGCCAGCGGACCTCGTGTCAGGCCGCGTTACAGCACGGCGCGGATCGCTGCATTCAATACAATCACACCTCTTTGGATCTCGATTTCACCTCTCGAAACAATAAGATCTTATCCCTTCCTCGAGGCGTGGGATACTGGGTGTGGAAACCGTACCTTATAATGAAGACGCTTTTAGAGGAAATGGAGGATGGAGATTTGCTACTATACGCGGACGCCGATAGCACCACAAACGCGGATTTATCCGCGTTATACGGCCTTGCAGCTGGTAACGGGGAAAACTATGCTCCTGGCGGGATAGTGGATGGAATTGTGTCGAGGATGGCGTTAAACGATGGGGATGACTCGGACGGCGGCGTTAAAGACATCATGAAATGGGCTTTAAGTCAACAGGAGGTTCATTTGTTTCAATTCCCGCCCAATTTCGTGGAAGCTTGCTGGACCAAGATGGACGTTTTCCTTCTGCTCAACTGCACTGATGAAAACATTTGCATGAAATCCGCTCAGGTGAGCTTATTACGGGTACGGGTTGGGAGAGGGGAGAGGGGGAAAGGGGTGGAGGGTGTAGGGTGGGGGGAGGAGGGGAGAGAAGGATTTGGACTGATTGCTGACTTTCATGATATGATGCCTTCCAGCTCCTATCCCCGCACTAACCCTTCCTCCCTCCCCCCCCCTTTTCTCTCCCAACTTCCCTGCCCACCCGACTGTCATCCTTTCCCTCCCCTGCTCCGACACCTTCTCCCTCCCCCACTCCGACAACTTCCCCCTCCCCCGCTCTCACACACCTTCCCCCTCCCCCGCTCTCACACACCTTCCCCCTACCCCTCCCCCTCTCCCCTCTTCCTGCCACACCAAACCTGTCAGGTCGATGCAGGTTTCTCTGCGTGGCGCCGCGGGCGGCAGTCAATCCAGTTCGCCGCCCAGTGGCTCTTGGGTACATAGAGGACCCGCGCGTGTCAATGGGACCCGGGGGGGGTTGGATTGCATTGGACTGATTGCCAAATTGCATGATATAATGCCTTCCAACCAACCTATCTCCCATCTCCCTTATCTCCCTCCTCCCCTCCCATCTGTACTGTCCTTTTCCCGCGCCTACACCTCCCCCCTCCCCCTCTCCCCCCATGCTGCAACAAACCTGTCAGGTCGATGCGGGTTTCTCCGTGTGGCGGCGCGGGCGGCAGTCAATCCAGTTCGCCGGCCAGTGGCTCGGGTATATGGAGGACCCGCGCGTGTCAACGGACCTGCCGAACCAGCTGGGTCGGCCGAACCACGCGTGCTTCATGGACCACCGGCACGACCAATCCGCGCTGGGGCTGCTGGCGAAGCGGGGGGGGCTGCACATGTGGCCGCATGATGTGGTGGAGGAGGTTATCAGTCACCACTGGAACAAGGAGTGAAGGCTGCTTACTTTATGTGTGCGCACGTGCAGCAAGCGAAAATATTGTTCAAGTCAGAGCACAAAGAAAAGGTGTGTGTCTTGACTGGGTGTACCAAGGCATTTCGGTGTTTCTGCGTTCTCTTGTTCCCTCATCTTCCCTTGATGCTCCATCCTCTCTAATTCCCGCATTCTCCCATTCAGGCACCACCCCATTCCCTCGTTCAGGAATATCCATCGTGCAGTTATATCCAAGCTCTTCTGTAAGAACCAGGTACAGCATGCCCCGCCTCATGCCTCTCACATGGCAGGCTGAGAAGGAGGCAAAGGCTGACGCTGCCAAGAAGGCAGCAAAGGTGGCGGCAGCTGGGGATGTTTCTTTGCTCTTCTGGGTATTATGATGCATTGTATGTGCATGGATGGACCATTCACCCTGTTGGGCTGAGAAAAAGCCCTTAGGATCTTTGCAGGACTACCGTAAATTCCTTGTAGACTGATGTAATAGCGGAAGCGTTTAATTAAAGGTTGTGAACCACCTTGCGCTGGTATGTGAGGGCAAAGTGGATTGATTAAAGCAAAGATATACAATCTTTTATAAGAGTACAAGGGAATATGAAGAGTTATAACTAATAACTGTTTTGCTGTTGCTGTCGCGGTTCGATACAGTGACGACTCGGGCAACTACTCAATAGCGAGTCAGTTGTTTGTCCTTGCTTGTCGCGCTGTATTTGTCAGGTCAAAGGTCGCTGACCTTTGACTTTCGCGTAACCTCCAGCAGTTGTTCAACCTCCGAGGGTTGACTCGCGATGCTTCGATATGTTCTGCTTCGCTTCTGACTTGGTGTTTCGACACGACAGGGGCGCTTAAGTTGTTTCCAACACACCCATCAGATTACATAGAACTGCAGGCATAGTCCCCTAGGAGAAGCGCACACATGAGAAAGTATCATGGAACTGCCCACATATTCTCCTAGAAGTTCACATGAGAAACGATTGAACTGCATGCATAGTCCCCAAGAAGTTCCCTACTCCACTATCCATGCTTCACTGCTACACTACTCCCATGTTTCACTGCTCCACTGCTTCACTGCTCTGGTGCTTCTCTGCTCCACTTTTCCTTGAGACCACCACCATCCCTCGAGCCAGCCACAATCCATCCATCTTTTTTCGCATCTCAGCCCAGCACGGCGGTGTGTGAGCACTTACGGTAGTAAAACCCAATGGCATCTCTGGTGTAAAAATACACCGTATGTCAACCTAGATTGGTATTGCTTAATCAGGAGCCCAAAGCTCAAGCAACATGGTAATTTTTCCAACACCTTAGGGCTCTAGGTATGCATAATCAGACATCCTTTCTGGCTCTCCCCGACCAACCTGTTGCCATACCTACAACTGAGGCACGGGCTTGAGCTCAATCTTTAGGTCTGGTGCCGAACCAAATACTGGCAGGTCACCTGGGTCCACATTCGGCACACTGCTGGCACCAGAGTTGCCTGCCGAGCCTGCAGAAGAGGCTTGGGCCACAGCCAGGTCTGGAGAGGACTGGAGTGCGTCGAGAATCATCTGAAGGAACAAGCGGTGCCTGTTCAAGCACACATGGGGAAAGGTAGATGGCACGAACACAGGGGGACGGGTCACAAAGAAGAATCAAGGAACAAGCGGTGCCTGGTAAAGCACACATGGGAGCAGGCGGATGGCAGGAACAGATGGGTGTATTCGAACGGGGAATGGGTAACGGTGGGTGCAGAGAGGGATGGGCGCACATGCGTATCGAAGTGCAGGTGAGAAAATGTGGCAGTGATTGAGGAGATTGGAGTGAAGAGGCTGGTCTAGAATAGGAAGGGCTTTAGAACAGACGAGATGTGAGCATGTGGTCTCTCACCATCTGAGGTCGGCTGTGAGCTCTGGATGGAATGCCGTGGCCAACAGTCTGCCCTGCCTCACCGCCACTGCCACCCGGTCCAACTGGCAGACGAGTCAACAGAGGGGAAAACAGGAAGCATAAGAAAGGTCAACAGAGTCAACTGGGGGGGGAAACATAAGTCAACATGGCACAAGCCAACAGAGTGAACACTCAAGGGGGTGAGGAAAACATGCGACACATAAGCTTGCGACAATCCAAAACAGCAATGGGAGGAGAAAAAACAGGCGGCATAGGTCATGGAGGAGGAGAGAAGGAGAGTGGAACAGTCTATCGCCGTTGAAGAGCAATGAGGGCCCCTTAGGAGGCACGTGGGGCATTTGAATACCTCATTATAAATTTCTCACCTTTGCTAGAATTTCTTCTTCGGAAAGCTCCTGGCCACTCTGGTCAGGCACGGCCGAAGCAGCAGCTGCGGGCTCGGCCGAACCAGCGCCTGCAGGTGCGGCCGGGGCAGCAGGTGCGGCGACGGCAGAGGCACGGTTGGGAAGAGGGTACTCCGCCAGCACCTCAACAGCAGGGCCGGTGTGGATGATAGCAGGGGCTCGGATGAACACAGCCCGAAAGGGGGAGGCTTGAGACTGGGAAGGTGTGGGTGGTGCTGCAGGCGCTGCTGCTGCTGTTGATGTTGATGGTTCTGACGGTGGTGCTGCTGAAGAGGTGGATTGAAGGGTGTGGTGCGGGAAAGGAAGGAGAGTCTCAAAGCTGTTGATCTGCATAGGAAAGAGGGTGGGGAAAGCGAACAGGCATAGGAAAGAGGATGGGCGGGGGAAGGGAAGGAGAATCTCAAAGCTGTTTATCTGCATGGGAAAGAGGGTGGGGGCGAGGGACTTGCAACGATGGTGAGCAGGTGCAGTGCAGTGCAGTGCGGGAAGGGAAGGAGAATCTCAAAGCTGTTGATCTGCATGGGAAAGAGGGTGGGGGCGAGGGACTTGGATTAGCACGAGTACGTATGAGCACATACCCATACACACATCGGTGTGCAACGACGTGGTGCACAGTACAGTACAGTACAGCCCCCCTTGCAACGATGGTGAGCAGGTGCAGTGCAGTCCAGCCCCCCCAGCAGCACCTCCTATTGATGTCAACTCAAGCCACACTTTTAACGAGTCACTCACTGTCAAAACAGGCCCCCCAACCCCAACACCCACCTGACTGCCTAAAAAAGTTTCGATGCATGGTGCAGTCCAGCCCCCCTTGCAACGCCTGCCTTTAATGCAAACTCAAGCCACACCTTTAACGAGTCACTCACTAATGGGACAGCTCCCCGTACCTGGCGCCCCTACACTTCACCTGGCTGCCAGAGAAGTTGCGATGCACGGTGCAGTCCAGTCCCCCCAGCAGCGCCTGCCTAGAGCCTTTAACGGGACATCCCCCATCACACACCTCTCACAACCTGACAATCCCCCATCACACACCTCTCACAACCTGACAATCCCCCATCACACACCTCTCACAACCTGACAATCCCCCATCACACACCTCTCACAACCTGACAATCCCCCATCACACACCTCTCACAACCTGACAATCCCCCAAACTCCCCTGGACAAGCCTCCATCCCTCCTGGCTGCCGAAGAAGTTGCGGTGCACGGTGCAGTCCAGTCCCCCCAGCAGCGCCTGCCTTTAAATAATAAAAGTTGACTCAAGCAAGCCACTCACTGACGGGACATCCCCCATCACACAACCCCCTCTTTCCGAAATCCACCTGGCTGCCAAAGAAGTTGCGGTGCACAGTGCAGTCCAGTCCCCCAAGCAGCGCCTGCCCTCCTGACTTCTGACCTGCCAGGACCGGAGCAGAGGCCCGTCCGGAGGGAGAGAATGCAGCACAGGGGAGAGCAGGGAGCGAGTATAGATGTGAAGAGGTTCAGGAGGGAGACATTGAACCGGGGAATGCACGCAATGCATAGACAGCTTCCCCTGCTGCATAGACAGCTTTCTGAAGCAATGCTCGCCCTCATGATGTTTAACTAAGCGCATTTTTCCAGCCACGGTCCAGTCCTCCCCTCTCCCTCCTCTCCCCTCCCTCCTCCCCTCTCCCTCCTCTCCCCTCCCTCCTCCCCTCTCCCTCCTCTCCCCTCCCTCCTCCCCTCTACCCCTCTCCTCCCGTGCCTTGTTCACCAGGAGTATGGGTCCAGCACTCATTCCCCACACCGTGTGTACCCCCCTCCCCCAATTTTTTCCCCCCTCCCAAACCAAACCCTCCTTCTCCACTCCCTCTCCCTCCAAAAAACCTCTCCCCACACCCACCTAGCGCCTTGATAGCCAGGAATATGAGCCCAGAGCACGTCCCCCACACCGTGTGTACCCCCCTCCCCCTCCACTTCCCCCCTCTCCCCCCACGCACCTAGCGCCTTGTTAGCCAGGAATATGAGTCCGGCGCACGTCCCCCACACTGGCCGCCCAGAGGCTGCGAATTCCTGCAGCGCGCCGAGCTGGGAGAAGGGGCGCGAGGGGTGGGGGGGAGATGGGTGGTCAGTCATGACGTTTTGAGTCAACTCTTTGAGTCGCTGGGAGAAGGCGCAAGGGGTCAGGGAAGGGGAATGATCAGCCCGGACGGATGGGATGCTGTGGCTACATGTGTGGTGCTACATGTGGTGCTACATGTGGTGCTACATGTGGTGCTACATGTGGTGCTACATGTGGTGCTACATGTGGTGCTACATGTGGTGCTACATGTGGTGCTACATGTGGTGCTACATGTGGTGCTACATGTGGTGCTACATGTGGTGCTACATGTGTGGTGCTACATGTGTGGTGCTACATGTGTGGTGCTACATGTGTGGTGCTACATGTGTGGTGCTACATGTGTGGTGCTACATGTGTGGTGCTACATGTGGTGCTACATGTGGTGCTACATGTGGTGCTACATGTGGTGCTCGCTCCCCCCATCGGGAATGGCGGATCCAAGGTTACAGGGTTAGAGGAGAAGAGGACAGAGGAACAGACGATTAGAGTTCAAGGGCATCGTACCAGTCCGCATCGCTGGGCGAGGTTGGCCACGGTGGTGCTCTCCCCGCCGGGGATGATGACGGGAAGGGGGGTAGCCAAAACGATAGCGTGGAGGGCAGGCGTTGGAACGAGGGATAGTGGGGCGAAGGGCCAGAGGCACAGGGGGAAGGCGTCAAAGCACCTCACCAGTCCGCATCGCTGGGCGAGGTTAGCCATGGTGGTGCTCTCCCCGCCGGGGATGATGAGCGCCTGCACTGCGCGCAGCTCCGCGTCCGTGCGCACCTCCACAGCCTCGATGGTTAGCGCTTTCATGTCCGCCGCGCACCTGCGCAGCGCTGCGGAAGGAGGGGCAAATGGTTGGGGAGAGGGACGGACGGACGGGAATGATGAGCGCTTGAACTGACCGCAGCTCCGTGCAGTTCCGTGCAGGCCTCCACGCTCTATGCTGCCTGCGTTCATGTCCGCCGCGCACCTGCGTAGCACTGCGGCATGGCGGGAGGTAGGGGAGAGAGACGGGAATGATCAGCGCCTGCACGGCCCGCGGCGTCGCGTCAGGACGGACCTCTACCGCATCGAAAGCCGTTGCGTACCTTAGGAGAGCTGCCGGAGGGAAGGAGGGAGGGCCGGGTGATGAGGGAGGAAGGAGGGTGCACGCTCCGCAGCTCTGCGTGCGAGCACGCCTCGACTTTTCCGAAACGACGCGGCCATCTCGCAGATCTAGCTGTGATAACGAGCTCTGCACGGATCTGCGAGATGAATAGCCCACATGACTATAGTCGAAAGGCGACCTTTGACATGTCGAAAAGTAGCCTACTTGGAAGACGGGGATTGATCTGCGACTTGCGGTGTGCACGAACGAGCAGGCTCAAAACGAACAAGCCTTGCAGAGCGTTTTCGGACAAAAAGGCAGCAGTTTCGCAAAGCAATGAGCAACAGACGTATAATGTGATCCACAACAACCAACCGGTGATCACTGATACTCACCTGCAATGTGCTCGCGGAACGAGCCTTGCAGCGCCAGCACTCCCACTCGCATCAGGGGACTTGGCGCCGACCCAGAATCCGCTGCCATGGCTGCGATCGAGCACCGAGCGCTTGGGCCACGGATCCGCTTGGAAGCGACACGATCCGCTCACAATCTGATCAGCTTAGAGTCGCGGATCGGTTTGAAGCTACGGGTGAGATCGGATCAGTGCACTTTCTTCCAACGAAAGGATCGCGGAGTCGCGACAGCCTTCTAAGCCTTAAAACTGCTATTTGACGATCAGGTAAGTCAGGGTGCGGAGGCTGACACGATGGCGCAGTACATTGCGTGTGCGACTCGGTTCAGCTGCGATCTAGGGAGCGTCAAGCGCACGGCATGAACGAAGTCTGGGAACAGAGAAGATGACAGCGGACTTCTCGCTCCGGCCTAACGGTTGTGTGCACGGTTCATGCTGATTGGCTTACTGATAGTTGATGGTTATGAAGGAATAGGAGCTCCCTAGGTCCCTAGATGTTGCCGTGTCTGTGGATTCTGTGATCAATCGTGATGAACAGAGAAGGCAGGCTGGTTATTGTTGTGGCATACGTGTGCGGTGCTGGTTGTGCCACGGCCACAGAAACACCGATTGGTTCTTATTGCTGGCACTTGTTGCGTTCGGAGTTCGCTTCACGACACAAAACGAGTGTCACGGAACCAAAACGCTAAAGCAAAGAGAGCTCGGGGTTCGTGTCCCAGGCTCGGAAAAAGTAGCTCCATGTTAGCTGTGTAACGATGTCCTGATGATTTCTGAAACAAGCGCTGAAATGCCTTCATGATCTCAGCTTATGGACGGCTCGTGTCGTGAATCGAAGACGTGAGGTATCAGCGACAGAATGTCTCGTTATGAGAAGCCCTCTAATTTTTTAAAAGCATCGCCTGCAAGTCTATCAGAACCAGGCTGATTATAATCACAAACGAAACATTCCATAACTGGTCGAATGATCAGGTGTTACCCTCCAATCTTCAGCGACGAGCGCAGCGTGGCTGGTCGGTCGCACGCGACTCCATTTTTAAGCTGCTCGCTTCGCAGCAACCTGCAGCCCCCTTCAGCCGACGGCGAATGAGGCAACGACAATCAGCGATAAGCGCTTAGCGAAACGGCACGTGAAGAGGCATCGTTCAGTTCCCAAACGACACACCAAGTAGAATCGCATGCGTCGCGAGCCGACCATTTCGCATTCTCTGTCTCAAATGTTTTTTCGCGAACCTCATTCCTTGTCGCTCGCAACAATGTGCGCCATTTTTTGTTCCAAGTCACTTGACAGTAAATTCCTAACTCCGCCATCTCTCGTCCTCCTTACTCTCGTTGTAGCTCTGAACACCCTTAGCACGCTCAGCTCAGCCAGCATTCTCGATGGCGGCTGGCGGAAGCAGCAGGGTCCCTCACGGAACGTCTGGCGCGAAGAAATCAGCACGTGGCGAGGAGACAAACTCCCTGGCGCGAACCAGCAGCGACAAGAGCAGGAGTATATTCGGCTCGGTTCAGCCCGGTTGAACGTGGAGGGTCTAAACAACGGTGACCTAGAAAATTCGGTTTATGGAGAGCTCGGGGCGCCTGTTACTCCAGGTGCAGCGTCTTTGCGACGACGGTCGCTTCAAGGCGAAGGCGGCGAAGAGAACTCCTTCGGTATGCTCGCCACGCCACGTAGCGTAACTCCCGGCATTCACGCTTCTCGCAATGTGTGCCTCCGATTCGTTGACTGCAAGTTCACGTGTTTAATTCGTCTCATGTGTTCACGCTTACGATTCACCGCTTCCAATTCTTCGCTCATGTGCTGATGTGAGTGTGCCGCAGAGTTCTTTCCCGACGACAGCTGGGAAATCGTCGATCTTCCGTCAAGCAAACCTCCTCAGCCTCCCCCGGAAGTTCCCAGCGCCGACGCGCCTGATCCGCCCCCCGCGGACTCCGCGGAACCCCCCGTGGGCTCCCCGGACGACTCCTTCCCCTTTCCGCCGTACCCCGCGCCGCCGCCTGGCGACAGCGGCGACAGCCCGTCGCCCGCGCCCGCGTCGCTTCCCAGCCCGCCTGCGGCTCCCGCACCGGCGGTTACGGGCGGAGTGGGCGAAGTCGCGTCCGTGTGGTGCCCGCGTTTGCCGCGACTGCCCGCCGACTTCATCGAAAACCCTCTCGAGGAGTTTAAAGCTCTCGACGAGGGCATGGCGAAGCTCTACGCGCGGCGTCCAGACGGGCAGTCCATCACTATATGGGTATCGGGGAAAGACTCCCCTGTGACTATATCGAGTATGCCGCCCACGTCCGAGCTTCTAGGGCTTGAGACGACTATGCCGCAGATTGAGGGGGTGGGGGAGCCGTCAAACCCACACCTGGACCCGTTTTTCACCTCCTCCCTGCCGCCCTTCCCTGTGGTTCCTTTGAACTCTGTGCCGCCGGTAGTTGCTGCGCCTCCCCCTCCCCCTCCGCACTCGTTTCCCCCGCCTCCTCCCCCTGAGAACTTCACTCCAGCTTCTGAGTTTCCCCCACCTCCCCCTCCCCCGAACGTCCTTCTCGCCTCTCCTCCGCCTAACCCTCCGCCCTTTCCCCCGCAGTCACCACCTCCCCCGGATCCACCCTCCCCTGGTGGGGTAAATGTGAGTCAACCCAGCGGCCCAGGCAGCAGCTTCCCCCTGTGCAACCCGTCACCCATCCGGTGTGTGTTCAGGTTCGAGGGGTATGAAGACAGAGTGCCAACGCTGGACATTACCAGTGCTTTGGCGGAGGAGGTGATCAGTCCCGCGCTGGTGGTGCTACGTGGTAACCGGACTTGTCGTGTGGTGGCAGCAAACAGTGGTGAGGGGAGGTCGATCTGCGTTCATGTGCTTGACGAGGTTTACCATGCGACAAGGAGCCAGTTTTACGCCAATGCGGAGGTATGTGTCTGTTGCCTTCCTGATTTTTCTGGTTCCTCGATATTATTTCTACTAGAGCTACAAATCTCCCTTCTTTCATGAATGGAATGGATGCAGGTTGTGCGAGTAAGGCAGTTCAATCCGCTGAGCTTAAAGAGGGCCTTCTCCAACTCGTACGTTCGTCTGGACATCAATTCAGCTCAAATTGAAGATGACGAGGGGATAGTCAACATCTTCTCTTCAAATGTCAAGGATTCTGAAGGAGACACCATACCACATAAGAAGAGCTGCATTATCTTTCGCTTGAAGGCTTCTTAGCATCCAGTTCTTTGCATGGTAATTTAGGATGACTAGGCGGGAGCCGCTCGCTCTCACACTGCTAGGCTATGTCCATGCTCATTTGTTTTTTTAGGTTACATAGTTTTGTACGTTTGTGGGCATCTACGGTATAATCAAACGTAAAATTCATAGGATGATAGGATCTGCTCTGCATCGGCATACCCTGTCGCGATGTCTACAATGCGGAAGCGATAGTTTCCAAAGCGAGGATTCTCCAATCGAGTACTCCAGTTTCAATGGAGTGGCTTGCCTCGAGATCTGCGGCTCTTGTGCGTAGGAGCCCTTGCCTTCCATCCACCTTCCTCTTCCTGGATTCCTTCAGTTCTCCCTGCATACTTCATTCTCGCCGTCTGGTTGGTTGAACCTTGCTGTTCTCCACCGTGAATACACCTTCCTCCTTCCACTATTTTCTACGTGAAGGTTAGCCGGAGATTGGTCAGTCGCGGCGTAGTGTCGGCCAGAACCTATTATTGCGCTTGTGTCTCTCGGTCTGTGTTTAGTTCAGCATTGTCAGGTCCTCCTATCAGGATCACAGAAATTCAACGCAGTTCCTGTTGTACTTATCACATCGGCTTCACGCCTAGGCCACCCAGCAATCATCCCGTTCAGAAACCGTCGGATCTTGCAGTTAACGGGCGAGATCGTTCCCATGATGGTGGAATTTGCGGGGTAACATGGCATGGCGCGGCGTGCTTGACCGGATCTGGAGGCGACAAGAGCCGGAAGAGGTAATGGAGCAAAATCATTAGTAGGGAATCGAGAGTGAAGGCATTTGTAGCGAATGGAGTGTGAAGCAGTAGTGGGGAATGGAGCGTGAAAGCAGCAGTAGGAAATCGAGCCTACAAGCAGTAGTAGGAAATCAAGCGTGACAGCAGTAGTATGTTATGGAGCGGAAAGAAATAAGAGGTGATGTAGCGTTGATATGCCGAAACAGGAAACGAGATTAATGTCGGACATTTTTCTCAATCTCTCCCATTTACGTCGTCAATCACCATCCATCGTTACTGTCAACATCTCGGCGACTTTAGCTACCTACGATCGCGCTTGAGTGTGGTTGGATTACGCGACGGCGATAAGGTCGATTTTCGTTACACGACGACAATATCGTGAATTCCCTTCGCGCGACGCCTTACAATCTCCATGCGACTACTCGCCAATGCACTCCGCGTCGCAGGTCGACGAAATGGCCGACGCACAAGGCGCGTTCGTGACGCGCGCATTCGAGAAGCTTCTCCGAGAATCCACGGGACGGAAGTTTCAGAAGCTACACCAGGCGCTTAAAGCCTATCTAGGTAAGGGAATTTCTGAAGCTAGACCAGTCATTTACAACCTGTTTAGATTGGTACAAGTTTTGTGAAAATGCTCGCATTCGCCCCCCCACAGCAAATCCAGCAAGGTAAATGTCATTTTACGAGACATCTCAAAATTCCTTCGTAAAACGAGAGTGGTATCACTTCGCAAAGATTTTGAGGCCAGTTCTTCACCCTGTGCTTGCCTTTCCACCCGTGCTCGTCTCATGACCGGCAGATCGACCGAAAGGGGAGCATTTGGTTCTGGTCACATCAGCATCACGGTCAGCCGCCGATCTCTCTTTCCACTCCCTGCAACCACAACACCCCCCCCCCCCCTCCTCCCCCCCCCTCCTCCCCTCCCCTCGTTTTCTTTACTTCAATAATCGTGTGCTTGATCCCTTAAAATGCTTCACTTTCGGACCAGTACTGGTCATCGGAGCCGACCCAGTTTGGCCACCAGATAGAACTCATTGCAACACACTTTCTAGTAATCCATTCGAAGAATCAAGTCAATGACATTCCCCAACAACCTCCCAATAAACGTACGTCTTGGCCCTGCATGAAAACCAATCCGCCACTCTTTTCCCACCAGAGTTGATCCTCGCTATGGGCTGCCACAGACAGACGAACCAGGAGCGGCGGAAACCGTTCCGCAGCCGCAGCAGCCGGCGCAGCTGGCGGGCACGATTCCGCTGGAGCCCGCCGGCAGCGGAGACGGCAGCGGGCGCGCGCACCCGAACACGGCAAACGCGGCGAATGTGACGGCGGCGGCGGCGATGGCGGAGGCGGGGCATTCGCTGGAAGGTGTAGAGGCGGAGCTTATCCTGTGCCCGCTGCGGCTGGCCATTGAGAGCAAGCAGAGCCGCCTCATGGAAACGGCGCTTGACTGCCTGCACGTGAGTGCTTGCCCCCCTGGCCAGATCCCCCTACCGTTCCTTCCCATTACCTTTGTCCTAAGCATGTGTCTCTACCCCTCCGTCCGTTTGTGCGTGGATATTGCTGTGTCTCTCCTGATGTGCTTGTAACGGGGCAGAAACTGATATCGTATGGTCACTTGGAGGGCGACTGTGGGCTGGAAGGTGGCAAGAACAACAAAGTGCACACGGAGATCTTCCAGCTCGTCTGCTCCTGTGCCGATAACACGGCACTCGACAGGTGAGGCATGGAATGGGGTAGAGGTGCGCGTTGTCCGGTTGCTAGGGGTATTGGAGCGTGGCAAGAACAACAAAGTGCACACAGAGATATTCCAGCTCGTGTGCTCCTGTGCCGATAACACGGCACTGGACAGGTGAGGTGGTTACCTAGTAAAAGACCTGGAGATAACCTGGTGATTACCTGGTGATAACCTGGTGATTACCTGGTGATAACCTGGTGATTACCTGGACAGGTGAGGTGATTACACAATGCATGTCACTTGAGGGGCTAGAGGGCGACGAGAATAACAAAGTGCACACAGAGATCTTCCAGCTCTCAACACGGCACTTGACAGGTGGGGCAGATTATCGCGTTGCACTGTGGGATTGGAGAATGGCGAGAGCAATCAGAGGCTGCAGGCTATAAGAGACACACTCACTGCCATCGCCTCTTTGAGGCGCCTGAAGAGAACTCTTTTCCCCCTTCCCTTTCCTCCGCTCCTCAGTGTGGTGCTGCAGGTAAAAAATACTCACATCTCCTCATCTCCCCCCTCTTCTTCTCTGATCTTCCCTCCGCTCCTCAGTGTGGTGCTGCAGGTCATCAAAGTCATCCTCACTGCCATCGCCTCCTCCACTTTCCAAGGTACCTTTTTGCATTCAACCCAGGTTCTCACCCTCATCTGTAAGCAGTTTGGCACCTTTCGTCTTCCCACCTTCGTCTCCTCACCTGCCGTCGCCTCACCTTCCATCTCCCCCAAAATACCCTCACTCGACATTCCTTCTCCCTCGGCGTACTCTGAATTTAACCAATCCTATTCCCCATATTCTCCCCATTCGCCTCCCCATTCTCCGTAACCCATTCCCCTCGTCCATGTCTGGCAGTGCATGGGGACTGCTTGATCCTTGCTCTGCGCACATGCTACAACATAGTGCTCACAAGGTAAGTTGGCCCATCAAGGTTGCCCCACCAACATTCGTGTTCCCAACGCAGTAAGGACGGCTCAAGTTTTTTCTGTAAGTGTTTCACCAAGCAAGCAGAAAGCACTCGTAGGCATCACACAGCACTCTTTCCATGCTTGTTCTCTTGGAAATAACATCCCACTTCCTTCGCGGGGCATGCTTGATTCTGTCTGTGATCCGCTCTTTCCTCCTTTGTGCCTCCTCGCAGCAAGAGCCAGGTGAACCTGTCAACAGCCAGGGGCACGCTCACTCAAATGCTCAACATCGTCTTCAAACGCATGGAGGCATCGGAACTAGCCGTGAGTTTCATCATCAGAGCATGCATTCAGCATACCCAATGAAGTCTCCCTCCCCAGCGCCTATGTTTCCTTCCCCTTCCTCTCCAAGTTTATCCATCTGGTGATTCCACCCCTCTCGCATCCCTTGTTCCACCTCCCATCGTGACCCACTCCCCCTGCCACCCCCATCCACCCTCCCCGCGCCCCCACATTTACAGAGTGCCCCTCAGCGTCCCCACGCCTACCCCACACCCACCAAGCCATCCGGGGAGGGGCCTTCCGAGGACCAACCTGCCGCTGCTGTTGACGCTGCTTCTGGTGGTGATGGTGGTGGTGCGTCTGCTGCTGCTGCTGCTGCTGCAGTGGAGGGGATGGAAGGGAAGGAGGGAGGCGGGGAGGGGGAGGAGGAGGGGGAGGTAGAGGGTAACGGGGAGAGGGACGAGAGAGCGGGAGTACAGGAGGAGCTAAAAGTCCTGGAAGGGCCTCAGCCCAGTATAGAGGCGTTAGATGCTGTCCTAAGTAAAGCACTTAGGCCGCAGGGAGGGGGCGCAGGTGGGGATGCTGCTGCTGCTGGTGGTGGTGGTGAGGGTGGTGAAGGGGAGGGAGGTGCTGGGACAGCAGAGGGGAGTGGAGAGGAGGGAGCTGGGGCGACTCCTGCTGCGCCAAAGTGAGTGATTCTGAGACGTGGTTTGGTTTGTGATTATGGAGAGTTGTGGTGTGGTGAGGGAGGTGAAGCGGAGGGGGGTGGTGGGTCAGCAGGGGAGGGGGGTGGCGAGGAGGGAGCTGGGGCGACCCCTGCTGCTCCAAAGTGAGTGAAGTGAAGCTGAGGTTTTGTCTGTGATCGCATAGGGAGGTGTAGTGTGGTGATAGCCCGCATCCCGAAACCTCTCGCCCTGACCAGGAAGTCAACTGACTGCATTGTCTGACAACCTCCCGCCCTGTTGCATCATCCTCCCCGCCACCACCAGGGGCATCGATCTGAGTCTGCTGGCTTTAGCGCAGCGGGACGCACTGCTGGTGTTCTGCACGCCGCACCAAAGTCGAGTAACCAACCAGTTAACTAACAACCACCCACCTAGTCACATTCTCCCCACCACCACCAGGGGCATCGATCTGAGCCTACTGGCGCTGGCGCAGCGGGACGCCCTGCTGGTGTTCCGCACGCTGTGCAAGATGGCCATGAAGGACGGCACCGAGGACCTTGTTCTGCGCACCAAGGCACTGTCGCTGCAGTTACTACAGGTGGGTGGGTTGCCAGCAGCACGTGTTGGGCTGGCTCAGGTAGGCAACAAGACACTCTCCCTCCCACCACCTGCTGCTGGTGTTCCGCACACTGTGCAAGATGGCCATGAAGGACGGCACTGAAGACCTCGTGCTGCGCACCAAGGCGCTGTCACTGCAGCTGCTGCAGGTGTGTGGGGTGTGTGTGTCACATGCTTGCCTCTAGTCCAGCTCGCCAAGCCATGCTCTGCAAGATGGCCATGAAGGACGGCACCGAGGACCTCATCCTGTGCACCAAGGCTCTTTTGCTCCAGCTGCTGCAGGTGGGTTGCTGTGCCACGTGCTTGTCTAGTAGCTTCTGCAGGTGGGTGGGTGCAGTGGTCAGCACGTGGTGAGTGGGGTACCAGTGGGCCTGTGAGTCGCCTCAAAAGGCATTCAGCACGCGATGACGTGCAAGACGGCGAGCAGCGCATGAGCGGGAAATGCAGCGTATGAGCGTGCGGTGCAGCGTATGAGCATGCGGTGCAGCATATGAGCGGGCGGTGCAGCGTATGAGCGGGCGGTGCAGCATATGAGCGTGCGGTGCAGCGTATGAGCGGGCGGTGCAGCGTATGAGCGTGCGGTGCGGCGTATGAGCGTGCGGTGCGGCGTATGAGCGTGCGGTGCAGCGTATGAGCGGGCGGTGCCGCGTATGAGCGGGTGGTGCAGCGTATGAGCGGGCGGTGCAGCGTATGAGCGGGCAGTGCAGCGTACGAGCGGGCGGTGCAGCGTACGAGCGGGCAGTGCAGCGTATGAGCGGGCGGTGCAGCGTATGAGCGTGCAGTGCAGCGTATGAGCGGGCGGTGCAGCGTATGAGCGGGCGGTGCAGCGTATGAGCGGGCGGTGCAGCGTATGAGCGGGCGGTGCAGCGTATGAGCGGGCGGTGCAGCGTATGAGCGGGCGGTGCAGCGTATGAGCGGGCGGTGCAGCGTATGAGCGGGCGGTGCAGCGTATGAGCGGGCGGTGCAGTGTACGAGCGGGCGGTGCAGCGTAAGAGCGGGCGGTGCAGCGTACGAGCGGGCGGTGCAGCGTACGAGCGGGCAGTGCAGCGTACGAGCGGGCGGTGCAGCGTACGAGCGGGCGGTGCAGCGTACGAGCAGGCGGTGCAGCGTACGAGCAGGCGGTGCAGCGTACGAGCGTGCGGTGCAGCGTAGGAGCGTGCGGTGCAGCGTGTGAGCGTGCGGTGCAGCGTGTGAGCGGGCGGTGCAGCGTATGAGCGGGCGGTGCAGCGTATGAGCGTGCGGTGCAGCGTATGAGCGGGCGGTGCAGCATATGAGCTGGCGGTGCAGCGTATGAGCGTGCGGTGCAGCGTATGAGCGTGCGGTGCGGTGTATGAGCGTGCGGTGCGGCGTATGAGCGTGCGGTGCAGCGTATGAGCGGGCGGTGCAGCGTATGAGCGGGCGGTGCAGCGTATGAGCGGGCGGTGCAGCGTATGAGCGGGCGGTGCAGCGTACGAGCGGGCGGTGCAGCGTACGAGCGGGCGGTGCAGCGTACGAGCGGGCGGTGCAGCATATGAGCGTGCGGTGCAGCGTGTGAGCGTACGGTGCAGCGTATGAGCGGGCGGTGCAGCGTATGAGCGTGCAGTGCAGCGTATGAGCGGGCGGTGCAGCATATGAGCTGGCGGTGCAGCGTATGAGCGGGCGGTGCAGCGTATGAGCGGGCGGTGCAGCGTATGAGCGGGCGGTGCAGTGTATGAGCGGGCGGTGCAGCGTATGAGCGGGCGGTGCAGCGTATGAGCGGGCGGTGATGCGCTCGTGCCAACCACTGCCCACTCTTCCCCCACTCCTCCGACCCCCTCCCTCCACCAGGGTCTGTTAGACTCAGTGAGTCGCGAGTTCACGCTCAACTTCGCTCATGCGTGCTGCTGTCTCGCCCTCTGACCACATCCTTGGCCTCGCCTGCTCCATCTTCGCAACACTCATCCAGCGCCCCCTTTTCACCCTCTCTCTCCCTCGCCTCGCTCCCCCCCACCACCCCCTTCCTCCTTGCAGGGCCTGTTAGAATCGGTCAGCCGTGAGTTCACGCTCAACTTTGCCTTCCTCGACTCCATCAAGATGTACCTCTGCTACGCGCTCGTGCGCGCCGCCGTGTCGCCCTCCGACCGCATCCACGGCCTCGCCTGCTCCATCTTCGCCACGCTCATCCAGCGATTCCGCGAGTCCCTTAAAGCCGAGATCGGCCTCTTCTTCCCCCTCGTCGTCCTCCGGTCACTCGACTCCCCGGATATCTCTCCAACCCAGCGTCTGGGGCTTCTGAGAGTGTTAGAGCGGCTCACAGCCGAACCACAGCTGCTAGCGGATGTCTTTGTGAACTACGACTGTGATTTGGACGCGTCGAATCTGTTTGAGCGTATGGTGACGTCTCTGGAGCGGCTTGCTCAGATGCCTGTGGTGGGGATTGCGGGCGGAGGGGCAGGGGCGGGGGGGGCGGGTGCGGGAGGGGAGGGTGGGGCGGCGCTGGTAGCGGCGGTGAAGCTGGCGGCGTTGCAGTGCTTGGTGAATGTGGTACATGCTTTGGATACGTGGTATGGGAAGGATAAGCCTCCGGTGCCGGTGGGTGTGGTGGGTGAGGAGAAGGAGGAGGAAGGGGACGAGTGGAAGGCGGATGGGTTGGGAGCGGTGGAGGAGGAGGAGGAGGAGGATGAGGATGAGGAGGAGAGGGAGGGGCGGGTGGCGAAGTGGGCGGCGGCAGAATCACAGGCGGATCAGTTTGGGCGGGCCAAGGCGCAGAAGGCAGCGTTTGAGACAGCTGTGGAAAAGGTAGGGTGGGAATCTTCAAAGCAATGGTTAGGTCACAGGCGGATCAGTTTGGGCGGGCCAAAGCGCAGAAGGCAGCATTTGAGACAGCTGTGGATAAGGTAGGTGGGAGCAGCAATGAGGCGTGGAGAAGGTTTGGTGTAGATGTGATCTGATTTGAATCAAAAGGCAGTAATGGGAATATATGTGAAAAAATGTTGTTTTGAGGAGCAGGAAGGTACGGTATGGTGCTCATGCCCATTACAAGATACGGTACGGCAAGTTACAACATACGGTATGGTGCTCATGCCCATGGTTTCAAGTCACCTGCAACAACCTTCTCCCTTACACACACCTCCCCACCACACCTCGCCACCTCTCCCATCACTCCCCACCCTTCTCCCCCACCCAGTTCAACATGAAGCCAGAGAAGGGACTGGCGTTCCTGCGGACGAGAGGGCTGTTGGCTGCCGATGCTGCTGCCACGGCTGAGTTCCTGCGCTCCACCCCTGGGCTCGATAAGGTGAGAGACGGTGTGAGGTGGTGTGAAACGGTGCAGAGGAGCGGATGTCAGGTCAGCATACGTGGGGTAGGTGAGTGGGCTGGCCTTTCTGCGGACGAGAGGGCTGCTGGCTGCCGACGCGGCTGCCACAGCTGAGTTCCTGCGCTCCACTCCTGGGCTCGATAAGGTGAGAGGGGGTGTGAAAAGGTAGGAAAGGGTGGGTGTGAAACGGTGTGAAACGGTGTCAGATGGTGAAGAGGAGGAGTGGATGTCAGGTCAGCATGCCTGAGGTAGCATGAATACTGCTGGCTGCCGATGCTGCCGCCACGGCTGACTTCCTGTGCTCCACTCCTGGGCTCGATAAGGTGCGATACGGTGTGGAACAGTGTCAGACGATGAAGAGGAGTGGATAAGGTAAGCTGCCTTGCGAAGTTGAGTTGGAGTTGATCAGCTGGCGAGGAGGAGCAGCTTCTTGTTCTTGCATGCCTTGGTGGGTGGCACTGGCATGCACGCCTTGGTGGGTGGCACTGGCATGCATGCCTTGGTGGGTGGCACTGGCATGCATGCCTTGGTGGGTGGCACTGGCATGCATGCCTTGGTGGGTGGCACTGGCATGCACGCCTTGGTGGGTGGCACTGGCATGCATGCCTTGGTGGGTGGCACTGGCATGCATGCCTTGGTGGGTGGCACTAGCATGCATGCCTTGGTGGGTGGCACTGGCATGCATGCCTTGGTGGGTGGCACTAGCATGCATGCCTTGGTGGGTGGCACTAGCATGCATGCCTTGGTGGGTGGCACTAGCATGCATGCCTTGGTGGGTGGCACTAGCATGCATGCCTTGGTGGGTGGCACTGGCATGCATGCTTTGGTGGGTGGCACTAGCATGCATGCCTTGGTGGGTGGCACTGGCATGCATGCTTTGGTGGGTGGCACTAGCATGCATGCCTTGGTGGGTGGCACTGGCATGCATGCCTTGGTGGGTGGCACTGGCATGCATGCCTTGGTGGGTGGCACTGGCATGCATGCCTTGGTGGGTGGCACTAGCATGCATGCCTTGGTGGGTGGCACTAGCATGCATGCCTTGGTGGGTGGCACTAGCATGCACGCCTTGGTGGGTGGCACTAGCATGCACGCTTTGGTGGGTGGCATGCCTTGGTGGGTGGCACTGGCATGCATGCCTTGGTGGGTGGCACTGGCATGTATGCCTTGGTGGGTGGCACTAGCATGCATGCCTTGGTGGGTGGCACTAGCATGCATGCCTTGGTGGGTGGCACTAGCATGCACGCCTTGGTGGGTGGCACTAGCATGCACGCCTTGGTGGGTGGCACTAGCATGCACGCCTTGGTGGGTGGCACTAGCATGCATGCGGCACAGCACAGCACAGCCAGCATCTAATACCACGCACACACATCTGCATGAAAAGAGGTGGTTTTTGAGACGTCTCAAATACACCTGCATGCCTTGGTGGGTGCACTGCCAAGCACACACATCTGTGCTCCACCTCCCCTCCCCTCTCCATGCGTGTCTTTCCTTCCAGACCGCCATAGGGGACTATCTGGTCTGGGGCATCACGACGACCATCATCAGGCTGTGATGATGCACGCATATGTGGACGGCATTCCCTTCCACTCCCTCACTCACGACATTCCCCCTCTTCCTTTGATTTTTTTATGTGTGTATGGTGTGTATGTGCGTGCATCTGCCCCTCCAGACTGCCATAGGGGACTACCTGGGCAATCACGACGACTACCATCTGGAGGTGATGCACGCCTACGTGGACGGCATTCCCTTCCACAGCACCTCCTGACCCACGGAATCCCCCCTCTTCCCCTGACTCTCCTGTGTGTGTGTTGTGTGTGCGTGCATCTGCCCCTCCAGACGGCCATAGGCGATTACCTGGGCCATCACGACGACTACCACCTGGCGGTGATGCACGCCTACGTGGACGGCATCCCCTTCCACAGCACCTCCTTCGACCATGCCATCCGCCTCTTCCTCAAGGGCTTCCGCCTGCCAGGGGAGGCTCAGAAGATCGACCGAATCATGGAGAAGTTTGCAGAAAAGTAGGTAGAAGTGGGTTTTGGTGGCTGATGAGGGAGGCAGTATGGATGATAAGTGTGTCTGGCTGGTTGATTTTTTTGTTCAAAAAGCTCCTTCCTTTAGGGCTTCCGCCTCCCGAGGGAGGCGCAGAAGATCGATTACATCATGGAGACGTTTGCAGAGAAGTGAGTCCTGGTTCCTGGCATGGTCTGGGGTTTAGGGCTTAGCGGATTGGTTCTGCTGCCTAGTCGAAGAGCACCTTCCTCAAGGGCTTCCGCCTCGCAGATGATCGATCGCATCATGGAGAATCCCTGACTCATGCTTTTTTCACCAGTTTTCACTGTTTGTTCCTTTGCTTAAGCGTCCTCTCTGCTACTGCAGCCCTTCGAAACATGAGTCAGGGTGACCCCTGGGATACCGGATGATCGATCGCATCATGGAGAAGTTTGCAGAGAGCTGATTCTTGGTGGCTGATGAGGGAGTGAGTGTGGTAGACAAGTGGTTGGCAGAAGTGAGTTGGGCTTGTTGAGAATGAGTGAAGGAGTTAGTTAGAGCTGTGAGGGCGTGCCCCTGGCAAGCAGGGGCTTCCGTCTTCCCTGTGATCATGCTCAACATCAGCAACCCCTCCTCTCCATCCCCCTTCCCCAGGTACTGCAAGGACGACCCCGGGGGTATTCAAGACGGCAGGCTGTGCCTATGTGCTGGCCTACGCAGTGATCATGCTCAACACAGACGCCCACAACCTTTCCTCTCCATCCATCCCCATTCCGTCCCAACCTTTCCATTCCAGGTACTGCAAGGACAACCCCGGGAGTATTCAAAACAGCAGACAGCGTGTACGTGCTGGCCTATGCAGTCATCATGCTCAACACAGACGCCCACAACCCCTCTATTCCTCCCCCATCCTCTCCACCCCCTTCCGCAGATACTGCAAGGACAACCCGGGAGTATTCAAGACAGCAGACAGCGCGTACGTGTTGGCCTATGCAGTGATCATGCTCAACACAGACGCACACAACCCCGTGGTGACCGCCAAGATGACCAAAGCCGACTTCGTGCGAATCAACTCATCCCTCGAGGGCGAGGAGAGCGCGCCTAAGGAGCTCCTAGAGGCCATTTATGACTCAATAGTCTCCGAGGAGATTAAACTAAGGGATGATGGCGGTCCGGGGGGTGCCGGAGGGGGTGGAGCGGGCGGGGCAGGCAGGAAGGAGAAAGGGCAGCTGGTAACCGTGCTGAATCTGGCGTCGGGGCATAAACGCAGCACGGTGGATGTGCGGAAGGAGAGCGACGATATCATCAAGCGAACGCAGGCGATTGTGAGGCGAGGGCGCGTGCAGCGAGGGGTGTTTCACTCCGCTGCCCATGCTGACCTCGCTCGGCCCATGCTGGAGGCGGTAGGATGGCCTCTGGTCGCCACGTTTGCTGTGACCATGGAGGAAGGTCCGTCGGGAGAGAGTGCCGCTGCAGTGGCTGCTCTAGCGGCAGGGGGTGCAGGGGGTGGGGGGGCGAAGAGTCTGGTGGTGGTGTGCATGGACGGGCTCCGCTGTGCGATTCACCTGGCGTTTCTCCTGGGCATGGAGACTCTCCGCTACGCCCTCCTGACCTCGCTCGTCCGCTTCACCTTCCTGCACGCGCCGAGGGAACTCCGGGTGAAGAACCTGGAGGCGATCCGGACGCTGCTGGCGATAGCAGAGCAGGAGCCTGAGGCGCTGCAGGACACGTGGAATGCTGTGCTGGAGTGCGTGTCCAGGCTGGAGCACGTTGCCACGTCACCTGCCATGCTGGCGGTGCTGGGCGCGCCGCCCGCGCCGGTGGCGGTGAGGGAGGCGCTGCTGGGAGGTGTGGAGGAGCTGGCAGGGAAACCGCTGGAGCAGGTGCGTGGGGCAGGGCTGAGGTTGTTGTTCCCATCTATGCTTGATTGCGGTTTGCTTCTTGGTTGATGACATCTGCAGTGCTTGCTGCTACATCAATCCCTCTCACCTCGCCTCTCATCCCCTCCCTACATCGCTCTCCCCTTTGCTTGCCATGCCATGGCATGGGTGCTCCCTGTCTTCCGCCAGTATCATCTCCTCTTGCCTGCCATCAGAGACGCTGTGGTTCAGTTCTGCGCCATCGCCCTCTGCACCTCTGCCCCACTTCCTGACTCTCATCGCCTCCTTCCCCCCCTGTTTCAGGTGTGAGCTCTCGCCTCCCCTCAGACGCCGTGGTGGAGTTCTTTATCGCTCTCTGCGGTGTCTCCACAGAGGAGCTCCGCCAGTCCCTGCCCCTCACCACTCATTTACTCCCTCTCACCCCACTCCCTCTCACCCCTCACTCACTCAGGTATTTGTGGTGAGCTCGCGCCTGCCGTCAGACGCCGTTGTCGAATTCTTCATCGCTCTCTGTGGTGTCTCTGCGGAGGAGCTCCGCCAGTCGCCCCCGCGGGTCTTCTCCCTACAAAAGATTGTGGAGATCTCCTACTACAACATGACCCGCATTCGCATGGTGCGTGAGTGTGGTGTGGGTGGTAGCCCACATGGTACACGTGAGTGCACTTAAAGGTATCCAGGGGTGTTATCGCTGCAACAGACAACATGACACGCATTCGCATGGTGTGTGAGTGTGGTGTGGGTGGGTGGGTCCCATTCAGGGGCGTCTGAATAGTGCGTGTGGGTGGTAAGGTACATGACTCCACTTAGCGCCCCCGCGGGTCTTCTCGCTGCAGAAGATCGTGGAGATCTCCTGCTACAACATGACTCGTATTCGAATGGTGCGTGCTGGCCAGTGCTGATCTCCTGCTACAACATCTGGTCAGTGCTGGCGGTGCATTTCATCACAACCGGCCAGAACCCCGACGAGCACGTCGTCATGTACGCCGTCGACTCCATCCGCCAGCCGGCGCTGAACTCAACTACCGGGAGCGCACTCAATCACCAGGAGCGCATAAGGTCGCTGCTTTGAGCCGTCTCCAACCACCCCCTCTTCTTCCCTTTCTCCCCTCTTCCCCCACGTTCCCCCTTCCCACTTCCGCCCCCCTCACCCACCCCCCTCCCCCTTCATACAGGTGTGGGCGCGCATCTGGTCAGTGCTGGCGGTGCATTTCATCACGGCCGGGCAGAACCCCGACGAGCACGTCGCCATGTATGCCGTCGACTCCATCCGCCAGCTGGCGCTGAAATATCTGGAGCGCGCTGAGCTGGCGCGCTTCACGTTCCAGAACGACATCCTGAAGCCGTTTGTCGTGCTCATGCGCACGAGCCGCAGCGAGAAGACTCGAGAGCTGATCGTCCAGTGCGTCGTGCAGGTGAGGGTTTTCCCAACTGTGGTGGGCGTCATATGCCTGCCTGTGTGCGCCTGTTTGTGGTGCTCATGCGCACGAGCCGCAGCGACAAGACAAGAGAACTCATCGTGCAGTGCGTTGTGCAGGTAAGGGTTTTTTGGGTTGTGGGTATCACATGTCTGGGTGCGCCGGTTTGTGGTGTTGATGCACATGAGCCGGAGTGATGGGTCTAGGGAGTTCATCGTGCAGTGGGCCATGCAGGTAACTGTTCTAGCTGTTCTGTGTCCATGAGCTTCTCATCCCCTTCCCTCTTCATCCCCTTCCCTCTGTCCCACTCTCGTCACCTCTGTACACTTAAGCTTCCCCCCACCCGTCCTTCCTCTCACTCCCCTCCCTCTCCCCCACCCCCCGGTTCTTTCCCCCTTGGCATTGCTCTTTGATGATCCGGGTGAAGGTGGCCAGCATTTAAAGCTCTGAATGAAATGCATTGCTCTTTGCTCTTTGCTCTATTTTCCCCCTCCGCCTTTCTCTGACTGCACATCACCACCCCACCCCCACATACCTGGCCAGGTTTGAGGTTTGCTCTCAAACCTCAAACCTCTTGCCCCCCCCCCCCCCCCCCCCCTGCAGCGTGTTCATGGTGCTCACTACTGCCGCCGCCTGGAGCCTTCAGCTGGTCATCCCCTGTCCTCTGCCCATCCCCCTCACCTCCCACTCAACCCTTCCTCTCACTCACCTCCCTCTCACACCTCTCTTTCACTTTTTGCTGGCACCAACTTCAGATGATAAAGGTGAAGGTGGGCGGCATCAAGAGTGGGTGGCGCAGCGTGTTCATGGTGCTCACTACTGCTGCCACCGACAGCCACGAACCCATTGTGGAGAGCGCGTTTGAAACCGTGGAGCAGGGTGAGTGTGGTGTGGCTGCGGCAGTTGAAGTGAGCTGAATCTGATTGCGGGTGTTTCTGCCCGTATAGCTTGAGGGGCATGCCGCCACTGACCGCCACGAGCCCATTGTGGAGAGTGTGTTTGAAACCGTGGAGCAGGGTGAGTTGAAGGAGTGGGGGAGGGAAAAGAGGGGGGGGGAGGGGGGGGGGTGGGTGGGCTTCAAGTGAGCTGAATGTAATGTGCCGGTGTTTCTGCCCGTATAGCTTGATGCATTATGCCAGGGTGTTTTTTTTTAAGTCTCAAGCATACCTCGATGCATGCTGCCACCGACAGCCACAAGCCCATTGTGGAGAGCTCCTGTGAGATGGTGAAGCAGGGGGAGCTGACTTGAATGTAGGGTGAGTGAAGGAGGGTGAGTAGAGAGGGTAGAGGCTGGGGAGCACTTTCAGCAGCGGTCAGGAGACTACCTCATGCCCTCCTTCCCCTCCACAACCCGCATTGCCTTCTCTCCTCCCCCCTCTGTCTGTCCCTTCCACCCTCCTCCCACTGCTTCAAGGACTGCGTCAACTGCCTCATGGCCTCCTTCCCTCCAAACCCCTCATTGTCTTGTCTTCACACCCTCTATCTGTCTCTACTCTTCCCAACCCCCTCCCTCTGCTGCAGTGGTACTGGAACACTTCGAGCAGGTGATAGGAGACTGCTTCATGGACTGTGTTAACTGCCTCATGGCCTTCGCCAACAACGTCCTCGTCCCCCGCATCTCTCTCAAAGCCATTGCACTCCTCCGAATCTGCGAGGACCGTTTAGCCGAGGGCCGGGTCCCGGGAGGCGCCCTGCGCCCCGTGAATGAAGGCGAGAAGATGAGCGACAACGAGGTGGCGGAGTATTACTGGTTCCCGATGCTCGCCGGGTTGTCCGAGCTGACTTCCGACCCTCGCCCAGAGGTTCGGAGCTGCGGCGTGGAGGTGTTGTTTGATCTGCTTCGGGAGAGGGGGCATAAGTTTTCGACGCGGTTCTGGGAGAGTGTGTTTGAGAGGGTGCTGTTCCCCATCTTTGACTATGTGCGGCACGCTGGCACGGACGGGGAGAGGCCCCCCCCCACGGACCTGTGGCTGAGAGACACGTCCATTCACTGCCTGCACCTGCTCTGCGACCTCTTCTGCGACTTCTACCAGGTGGGCTGGTAGTGCTTCAGGTACGGTACAGTGTGATGCAGTGTGATGCGGTACGGACGGGGAGAGGCCGTCCCCCACTCCACGGATCCCTGGCTTAGAGGCACGTCCATTCGCTGCCTGCACCTGCTCTGCGACCTCTTCTGCGACTTCTACCAGGTGGGCTGGTAGTGCTTCAGGTACGGTACAGTGTGATGCAGTGTGATGCGGTACGGACAGGGAGAGGCCGTCCCCCACTCCACGGATCCCTGGCTTAGAGGCACGTCCATTCGCTGCCTGCACCTGCTCTGCGACCTCTTCTGCGACTTCTATAAGGTGGGCTGGTAGTGCTTCAGGTACGGTACAGTGTGATGCAGTGTGATGCGGTACGGACGGGGAGAGGCCGTCCCCCACTCCACGGATCCCTGGCTTAGAGGCACGTCCATTCGCTGCCTGCACCTGCTCTGCGACCTCTTCTGCGACTTCTATAAGGTGGGCTGGTAGTGCTTCAGGTACGGTACAGTGTGATGCAGTGTGATGCGGTACGGACGGGGAGAGGCCGTCCCCCACCCCACGGATCCCTGGCTTAGAGGCACGTCCATTCGCTGCCTGCACCTGCTCTGCGACCTCTTCTGTGATTTCTACCAGGTGGGTTGGTAAGGCTTCAGGCTCTTTATTGTGTAGCCAGTCTGGTAGTTTCTCTGCTACTCTAATCTGCCTCCCCCTCCCCCCGTCACCCCTCAGCACGTGGGTTTAGAATTCATCTTAAACCCCAAACCCTAAACCCGACACTCTAAACACTTCATCCTGCCGTCCCTGCTCGGTCGCAGAGCTGAGGCTCATCTTACCTACACCCTTACCCTACACCCCTCATCCTTCCCTTCAGGACGTGGCCTTCATCCTGCCGTCCCTGCTCGGTCTCCTACTGGACTGTGCCACGCTCACTCCAGCTCCTCTCTCCCCTCTCCTGCACCCGCACCCCTACACCCTGCACCCCTCACTCAGGACGTGGCCTTCATCCTGCCGTCCCTGCTCGGTCTCCTACTCGACTGTGCCACGCGCCCTGACCAGTCACTGGCAGCCATAGCAGTGGGAGCACAGCTGAGGCTCATTGACAGGGGGGCGCCGCTCTTCTCCTCCCGTGACTGGGCCGTGCTGCTCGACAGCCTCAGGTGGGAGTGACTTGACATTTTTGGGTTGGACATGGCATGGCAGTGGGTACACAGGGGGGGATGTGTGGGGAGCACAGCTGATGCTCATCGACAGGGGGGCGATGCTCTTCTCGTCAAGGGACTGGGCCGTGCTGCTTGACAGCCTGAGGGGCGGGTTTGATAGCCCATCTGATTCCGATCGCCAACAGCATTGCAATCCTCATGCCCATCCACCCTCTGATGTTGTTTGGAGTGGTTAGCCCGATAGGGAGTTGCCATTAAAACCACTTGCCCCGCTGTCATCCGCAATCAAAGAAACACTTGCCTCACTGAAACCCTTGCAATCACTTCTCCCCTCCCCACCCATCCCTTGCCCTACCCACCCCACCTTCTTCCCTGCCCACCTCACCGCACTCCACCCCATCCCACCCACGATTTTCTTTCGAAGTTGCCACACGAACCACTTGCCCTACCGAACTTCTCGCCATCACCGACACCTCTCTCGCTGCCTCTGCCTCCTCCATACGTCTTACCTCCCCACCAACCTTCTTCCCGTCCCACCCCTTCCCACCCCACCCCACCCCAGAGTGGCCACACTAACCACTCGTCCCACCGAGCTTCTCGCAATCACTGAAGCATCCCTCGCTGCCTCTGCTGCTGCCGCCGCCAACGCCGCTGCTGCTGCTGGCGACACCGCTGCTGCCACTGCCGCCACTGCCGCTGCCACCGCTGAGCTGTCATTGGACAATGCTGTGCTGGAATCCGGCGCTGCTGACCTGGCGGATCATGCGTCAGGCTCGGCGATCCGTACCAAGATTCCCACTGGTGACGTGGCGACGAGCCTGATGGGGCCGAACCTGAGTGAGAGGATTGTGGCTGCGCCTGGAGGTGTGACTGTAGCCGAGCAAGTGACTGAAGTGGATGTGACTGTAACGAATGGAGGGGCGGAGGGAGAAGAGGGTTACGGGGTGGTGGATAGGAGTGGGGCCGATGAGGAGGCGGCGGGTGTTGGGGAGGGGAAGGGCGAGGAAGACGGGAAGGTGGAAGGGAGTGGGGAGGGGTTGGCGAACGGGGAGGGTACTGCCATCAAGCCTTCAGGTGAGCTCGTTTGTCAAGTCGTGACTGCCAACACTGCTGTGGTAACAGCCTGCTCTCCTCCTCATCCCTCCTTTGCTCGAAAGCGCTGAATGCTGCCCCCATTCCATCTATTGCCGCTGCTTCTATTGCGAAAACCGTTTGACCTCCCTGCCCTCTCCTCTAGCTCCCTCCCCTCTCCCACACACCCCCCCTATGTCCAACTCCCTCACTCCCCCCCCTCTCTCTTCCGCAGCATCAGCCAAGGGCGACAACTTGGACAAGCGACTGATGGACACGCTGCTGCTGCTGGTGGTGGTGGTGCAGGGTGCTGCTATGCTGACAGCTCTATCTCGCACTCTCCCCCCCCCTCTACTCCCCCTCCCCCAGCATCAGCCGAGGGCGACAACTTTGGCAAGCGCCTGATGGACACGCTGCTGCTGCGCAACCTCTCCATGGCGCTGGGGGGCGCGCCCACTCCCGCTGCTGCCTGCACTGCTGACAGACTTGCCTCTCCCACTCCCTGGCCCCCACACAGCGTCAGGAGAAGGGGACAACTTTGGCAAGCGCCTGATGGACACGCTGCTGCTGCGCAATCTCTCCATGGCGCTGGGAGGCGCGCCCACTCCCGCTGCTGGGGGGAGCGGCAGCATCTGGTCGCGCGCGTCCAACGCAAGTGACGCTGCCCTGGCGTCTGCTGTGGAATCCGAGGTGAGTGCGTGACGGGTCTTACCATGCCTCAGGGGGGCATGCCCACGTGCACACGAGGTGGCAGCATCTGGTCGCGCGCCTCCAACGCAAGCGCTGTGGAATCCGAGGTGAGTGCGTGCCGGGTCTTACCATGAAGTTAGTGCCTTGTTTGTATTCAAAGTCTTTCCACGGCGCTGGGGGGTGCGCCCTCACCCGCTGCTGGCCAGGGTGGCAGCATCTGGTCACGAGCCTCCAACGCCAGTGACGCTGTCGATTCCGAGGTGAGTGCGTGCTGGAATCCCCGCTGTGCTTGCTGTAGGCGCGTGAGGGATTGCCACACGGCCCATAGCTTTGGGAATCTCTCCATGGCGCTGGGGGACGCCCCCACGCCTGCCGGTGGTGGTGGCAGCACGAGCATGAGCATCTGCCCAGTGAAGCTGCTCCAGTCCGTCCATGGCGCCAGTGCCAGTGAAGCTGCTCCAGTCCGTCCATCACTATAAGTCTCTTCCCAATCCCTTCTCGTTTATGATTTCACAGGAGCAAGGCGATGGGGCCAAGGAAGAAGAGGAGGAGGAAGAGGAGGATGAGGAGGCATCGGCCTTCCCGGTGGCAGACCCTGTGCGGGTCAAGTGCTACACGCAGCTGCTGCTGCTGGGGGCGCTTAATCAGCTACAGGTGTGTATGGACTGAACGTGCTGCAGGTGTGTATGGACTGAACGTGCTGCAGGTACGTGTGGGAGGACAAGGTTCATCCGAGTGTGAGTGTTCATGTGTGAGAGGTTATGTCTGTGGCAGAGCTGCTGCTGCTGCTGCTGCTGGGAGGGCTCAATCAACTGCAGGGGGTATGGGATGGCTTGTATGAAACGCCCCACCAGGAGAATTGCTGGCAGTGCCTTCTCCCCTTCCAAGTCCTACTCCCTGCTCCCTTGGTCCCTACGCCTTGCTCTCCCCACCTCTCGCCCCTCCAGGAGAAGCACTGGCAGCGGCTGCGGGCGGCGCACCGGCGGCAGCTCTTGGACTGCATTGCCACCAGCATTGACTTTGCCGCCCGCTTCAACTCTGACACGCACCTGCGCATGCGCATCCAAATGCTGCCGCCCGAACGGTGCACTCTGCCCCCTGCTTCTGCAGTATTCACTATTTCTTTGCTCGCTGTGTTGTGCTGCTTGCACTGTTGCACTTGTGTGTTGCGCTGTGGATGTGAACCTCTTGTCTCCGCCGTCCCTCCTACGCCAGGAGGTGACCTGATGAGCAACGCAGCTGTACCGGATCGTGCTCCTCCGCTGCCTCAACGACCCTGCCCTCTCCTCCCTCCCTCCCATCCCTTTTCCCCCCCACCCCACCCCTGCCTCGTTTCCCCTCCAAACAGCCCTCCCCCATCTCTGTTGCGCCAGGAGGTGACAGCAACACAGCTGTACCTGATTGTTCTCCTGCGCTGCCTCAACGACCCGGCAGCAGCGCTGCTCCCACCAGCCCTCTCCTCCCAGATGCTGCTGCAGTCAGGGGCGGCTCACGGGGACGGCGCAGGGGAGGGGGAGGAGCATGTTCATGGGAAGACAACCCCTGAAGCAGCAGCGACAGAAGGGGGGAGAGCAGCAGCAGGAGCAGGGGTGGGAGCAAACGGGGGAGCTGCGGCGAAGGGGGTAGCAGCAGGGGGTGGGGGAGAGGGGGAGGGGGGTGAGGAGGAGGAGGAGGAAAGGAGGCGGTTGGGAGAGGAGGCAGAGGAGCAGTTGCTGCGGGTGTGTGGGAGGGTGCTGGAGATGTCGTCTCGCCTGCAGCCCAACACGGGGCAGGCTGTCGAGGCCGAGGTGCACCGCCTGCTTGCCCTCCGTGCGCCTGTTGTTGCCAGAGTGAGTGAGGGAGGGAGGGAAGAAGGTAAGGATGCTGAGGAGGGGGGGGGATGGGGAGGGTGCAAGAGTGCATGGAGGCTGGGTGGATAATCACCTATGATTTTTGTGTATGGGTACTTGTTTGCCCCGCCTTATTCTGAGTTTGTCACGCCATATTCCGTGCTGGCATACCATCACCCCCAGGTACTGTCAGCGCTGAGTCAGATGGACGTGGCACGCTTTGAGCGCTTTGTGCCGCACCTCTACCCGCACTGCACGCGCCTCATCTGCTCCGACCAGGTACCACCTCCCTCGGTAGGCGTTTTCCCAGGTACCACCTCCCCCAGTGGCTCGCTTTGAGCGCTTTGTGCCGCACCTCTACCCGCACTGCACCCGCCTCATCCGCTCCGACCAGGTACCACCTCCCTCGGTAGGTGCTTTCACAGGTAATCCCTCCCCCAGTGGCTCGCTTTGAGCGCTTTGTGCCACACCTCTACCCGCACTGCACCCGCCTCATCCGCTCTGACCAGGTACCACCTCCCTCGGTAGGTGCTTTGACAGGTAACCCCTCCCCCAGAAGCTTGTTTCCCGGTACCACCTTCCTCCAGTAAGTCTTTTACTGGTTCTTTAGGGTTGAGAGTCTGCTGATCCTATCACCTCTCAGGGTAGGTTCCGATACAACCTACCTCTGTCCGTTTCCTCAATGTGCCTCCTCTGCCATGATCTGCTGCATTGGCAGTTATCGAAATCCTTGCATTTCGCATCTCGCTCCCCGCTTGCACCCCTCCCCCCGCACTCCTCCCGCTTGCACCTTCCTCACTCTTCCCTCTCACCCTCCTGCACTCTCTCCTCTCACCCTCCTGCACTCTTCCCTCTCACCCTCCTGCACTCTTCCCTCTCACCCTCCTGCACTCTTCCCTCTCACCCTCCTGCACTCTTCCCTCTCACCCTCCTGCACTCTTCCCTCTCACCCCTCCTTGCCTTTTCTCCTGCCCATCTCACCAATAAGGTGGAGGTGAGAAAGGCTCTTGGGGATCTCTTCACAGCCCTTCTCACTCTTCACTCTTCTCACTTTTCCCTCTCACACACTCCTCCCTCTCACTCACCCCTCCGTGCCTCTTCCTTGCGCATCTCCCGCCAACCAGGTGGAGGTGAGGAAGGCTCTTGGAGACCTCTTCAAGGCCCGCCTCACTCCTCTTATTCCAGGCTCCGATGCACCTTCACCTCCCATGACGGCTTCCGCGTAACAATGTCGCTCATGTTACCGTATTTACTAGCGCTGTCTTTGTACTGCTTATATTCCAACCCGTTTGGTTCACTGTCGCTACAGTAGATTACGAGCCATGCGTGATGGGATTTAATTTCTATGCTGGCATTGAAAGGCAACCCCAGATTGGTACATGGAATATGCCGTTATGTTTAATGAAATGCTCAGACGAGGCCATAGTGTACCGGTACTAGTGTCTGAGAAATATGTTCCTGTTGACATGGATGGTGGTGTCTCTGAACTGTAATTCAATATTGTCAAGGTGGCGTGTAACGCTTCTGTGTCCGAAGAAGACAGACATACTTGCAACCGATCAGCTTGTAAGGGTTTTTGACGTGACAACGGAACAGATCAGCAACTTGATTGCCGAGTCCAGATGCAATTCTTCTCGCACATGACTCAGGTGCGCCAGATTGGTGCTTGTCCTTTCTTGTTTTTGCTGTCTTGCTCTGCGCAACAGTACATTACTGTACATGTACATTCGGAGAAAAACGCATGAAATGAAACATGCAATTCCAAATCCAAACCTTGACCTGGACTGATTTTCACCTTCGGTTCCGTGTGTTGATTGCTCAATCAGAAACGCCGTTGCTGCTCATCCCCAATGCAGGCATTCTTCCAGCTGATTAGACCCCACCATCACTCAGCCTCGGCATTAAATGCCAGCAAGGAGGCGTGCATTTAATGCCTTCGCCTACGAACAGAGTGTAGACAGCACGCCAGGATAATCATGTGGAGCCTTCGTCTGAAAGAAGTAACACGTGGCTTTCACAATGATGGTTCGGTGCCACCACGCCCCAACAGACCCGATGCGCTTGCATGTGCGCTTCTCTCCACGCTGGTTGGATGCTTCGATGTTCCTTCTTGAACAAGCGGGCCCACTCCACTTCACCATCTCCAAGCGTACGCGACAAGCATCGACGCTTCCTTCCCCGGCTAATGTGGACAGCTCACACATTCCCCGCTTTTCCCCCCTTCCCCGCTCTCCCCCTTACCCCCAACCCCCAACACCGCTCCCGCACGCCCCGCCAGCTTCCATTGTCACCAGAAGATCTGCGAAACGTCACGTGCTCACGAAACTTTCGTGCAGTCGCTGATTCGCCACACCACACTGACGCATTATTCTGGTCGGAACTAGCGCTACACTCACAATCATATAATCCTACATATGAGCCCAATAATCCTCTACACCCTATGCATTGGTTGCATGTTCCCTGTGATTTTATAGGAAAAATCGTTTGCTGGCAAGCAAGAAATGTGTTTTGCACTACCAGAAGACAACCAACAATCAGTCAATCCTAATGGTCACATCATGAGTTCAAGTCGTGAGGAAAGCCCTTGTCATGGTTCTCGCCCAAGCCTAGGCCAAGCTCCAAACCAATAGTGGGAGCAGGCGGCACCAGGGGAGTTGGGCAGGCATCTTCTGTCTTAAGAAAACTATCAGACAGAATAAGTTCTCGTGACGGAACCCCCGCCGCAGACTCCAACTGCCCCCTCCCGCTGCCACTCCCACCAAAACCAAGTGTATGCGCATTCCCCTCCGCATGTACTATCCCCGTCAAGATTTCCACATTGTGAGAAGCATGCACCACATCTGCATGTGGTGAGCCCAATGCCGCATCTTCCCTCAAATGCTTACCCACCGCTTGACCCTCATACGATAGCGATAAACCACCATGCGATGCAATTCCAAATCTGTGCAGCAAACTCCCTCCCATAGAGACCTGCTGCCTCTCCGTGAGGACTTGCTGTTCCCTTTCAGAAGGGTTCTGCAACCTTCCACTTGCTGTGCGAGGCCTCTCTTCAGCAAAACCAGCCGTCGCACTTGCCTCTGCCGTCCCTGCTCCCATTAACCCCTCCTGCTGAGGTAGGTGCGTGGCACCGACGGTGATCCGGCTAGGCACAGTTATATGCTGGAGAGGTCCCGTTGTTGGTGAAAGACCTGGCTGTGCTGGATAACGCTCATGAGGTGCAGAGGCGTTGAAGATCGACGTTGCAATTGGGGCGGGTGGTGTTACGCTTGCTGCGGTGCCGGCTTGTGAGTTGGATTGCGCGGCCCTTATTTGCTGGGCGAGGTAGCCGATCACGCTCTTCCACTGCTGTTGCTGCTCATTATGCTGTCGTTCCTGTAGTTGTTGCTGCTGCTGCTGCTGCTGCTGCTGCTGCTGCTGCTTCTGCTGATGCAGTTGCATGATCCGGAGTAGCTGCATCTGTTGGTTATCCATCTGCGGCATTTGATGCTGTGATTGATGCAGGGATTGTTGCAGGGATTGCCGCGGGGATTGATGCACGGTATGATTCACAGATTGCTGCTGGGGAAGGGGTGGGGAAAGTCGCTGAGGTTGGAATTGAGGTTGCTGGATCGCTGGTAACAGGGGAAAGTTCCCTGTGATTCGATTCGGCTCGTCCGGGCCACATACATCCATTGGCGGCGTTTTCGCCTCATTCATGTACCCATGCTCTTTCGGCCTTTGCTGCTGCACTGCCTGCAGCGCTGCCTGTATCGCATGCAGCCCTGGCTGCTCTGCCTGTCCTGCAGCCAGCCCAGCCTGGCCTGCCTGCTCTGCACAGGCCTGTCCTGCAGCCTGCACAGGCTGTATCGCTTGCGGCGCTCGGGGCTCTTTCCTCTGCGCGCCCCCCCGCACATCCGCGGAGCCTCCGCTCCGCTGTCTCTTCCTTGTAGTAGCGCCCGCGGGACGACCTCCTACCTCATCCTCCGGAGTTTTGGTCGCACTGCCAGACTGATTTTGATTTCCTGATCGAGCCGCCTCGGAATTTTCGGTGATTCCAGCGACACCGCCGGGAATTACGGCGTTGATTGCGGGTGAGGCCTGGTCCAGAAGCCACTGGATCGTCTCGCCGTCCGATCGGTGTCCCAGGACCCGCGTCAGCTGGAAAATCTGCGACGCGCACGCCGCCGGCATGCGAATACGACGGCCTCGGCCGTCCACCTTCCGGTGCCTGTCTCTCCGCTTCGTCCCTGTTGGATCTGGCCCGGAATCGTCTTCCGCTCCTTCCGCATCCCCCTCTCCATCCCCATCCGCCTCCGCCTCCGCCACCTCCGCCTCCGCTGCCTCCTCCCGCTCGTCCTCTCCCGAGAGCTGCGTTCCGCCGCCACCGCCACCCTGCGACGGCGAGCTGCGTCGTTCGACGACGCCGGCCGTGCCAACGGTACCGTGGGGATGGGCGACAGTGCGATTGCCTTTGCTGTCGCCTGGCGACGGAGGATCTTGGCCTTTGGACTGGCCAAGCAGCTGACTAGAATCAATTTCGGCTTGGGGCTGACGTTCGCGAAATGAGCGTTTTTTCGTGGTCGGAGTCTGTGCGTCGCCCGTGAGGGGCGGCAACGGGCGGTTGCTCATGACGGCGTTTGAAAACTTCGCAACGTGGGCGTTCGCGAAAGCCTCACTGGGTTGAACTCGAGGCAAGAATGGGCTCATGTCACTCGCGCCGCACTTCCACTCCAACCGTAAATCGGGTGAAGCAGTTGCAGCTTCGTTCACCGACGACGTAAATTATGGCCACCCTTACACAACGACCAAAGAGCCTCACATTCATGGTCGGGCGAAGCGAATGAAGCAGCCCAACACCAACTCTATGATCTGTTTCCTATGGGCAATTGAAGGTCATTTGTTCAGTTTATTAGCCGCGGGCTAAAAGCAGAACTGGGAGGAAAGTGTGGGAAGACCAACAAGAATTTGGCTGTTTCGTTCGCAACAGCTGTCGAAGATGTTACGGAAGTGTACGAAGAGAGGATGGCGTATCAGTAAGCGAGCGTAAGAAGATGTTACCCCTAACGTCATGTTTTTCGCAAGCGTCTGAGCGTCCATCTTCTTCTGCTCCTCATCCTCAGGGGTTCGCTAACATGGGTCTACATCCCAAATCGCGACGAGATTCTCTATCCGTCCACCTGAAACCACCTCTCCCTTCACCAGTCTATTTCCTCCGCCGCTCCGTCCCCTCCCCCCCACCTACACCCACCCAAAGTTCCCCTCCCCCTCCCCAGCTCCACCCAGCCTCCGCCAGCTGGTCTGGGTGGTTCGCGTCACGTGGCACTGGACCCACAGCCGCACACAGTGACGTGACACAGCATCTCACCTACCACACGGATGGACTTGGGTACAGTAAAAACTGTACTGTACTGGAGACAAGGGAGGTGTGAGTGATGATTCAACGACAGCACGGACGGACAAGTGGATTCATGTCCAGGCAAGTCAGCGAAATCATGAGACGACTTCACGCTTCCAGAAACGACAAAAATGCGTAGGCGGTGCACAATAATTTACGCACCAACCTAGCAGCCAGCTGGAACGGCAGACATCCTCCGCATTCACTGCTCTCGTGCAACTGATCCCACCGTACAGTAACAATGGACTCCCCCCTCCTGCTTGTCTTGCTCACCCTCGCCTCGCCAACACGAAGGCTCGAAGAGAGAATGACGTTACATTTCTGACGAAGTGTACAGTAATTTGTTCGCTTCTCCATGTTGCTCATGTATATCATACACGTACACCTACTATGGGAAATGCGAAATGGACTACAAAACAAGGGCAATTTCCGTCTTTACTGAACGCCAAAGAGTTTCCTGAGGCGCCAGGAAATCGGCAGCCCATAATCTACCCAGAACAGCGCAACGCAGTACGTACAGTCGGTGCTCATTACGAGAACACCAGCTAGGCGGGAGGCATGTGCGTCAATTGGGTATTGTGCATTTCGCTTACCCCGCACTTGTCGCCACGGGAAAAAATGGGGGAAAAAATGTGAGAAATTGGAATGGAGTTTGTTGTTGGGTGTTTAGGTTTGTAACCATGTAAAAATTTCTGATGACAGGCAACCGGTTTTGTTTATAAGGTGTTAATGTTTTTCTTCCGCAACTTGGTGGTTGTACCCCGAATTCAGCACATTGCCCGATCTTCTCACTCACGGGCAACGCGGGTGACTAAAATTATAATTGTGATAATCAATCTTTTTGTGATTGATAATCAGGCTGCGTATCGACTGTATAACTTAGCGTGTCACATATGGTAATTCTAGCTATATATATGTATATATATACACATATTCATGTTCTAAATGGCCATAACATATTTGTTGCATTCCAAGCATAAATTTCTCGTAATATTGTCGTAAAAATACTTCTCAATATTTTTTCTACATCTAGTTGAGTCTTAACACTCATTTATGAGAGTTATACTTGTAATTCACATTTTATTATTCATCAACAGTTAGGACTTGCCATCGGGCTCATCTGGGTGCACCACTTGTGGTATCAACTATTAGATATGTTAAGACTCCAACACATGTCAATGCGGAGACAGAAACTATTGGGCTACGCTATTCACCTTAAAGACTGCTTGATGTTTTTGTACACTATTTTTTTAATCAAACCTGTCAAACATTACACAATTTCACAACCCATATAAAATATTAGCCCTTGTTTTGTTCGTAAGGGTTGTGATAACGTTCTTTCTTCATTGTTGTCATACTCTCAAAATAGCCTATGCATAGGTTAGGACGATGACTAGAAGGTTAGGCAAAGAAGAGGGGTTTCACTAAAAAACAAGGGTACAAGATATAAGAAACAAGAACAACCAAAACAAGGAGGTGCACCACCACCAAGCAGGATGAGGTAACTAAACTAACACTACAAACAATTATACGTAATATAAATAACATATTTTGATACGCCCCCATAACTATTTGCATGTGTAACTCTAGTTACGCCCCCTAAAGGGGGTACACCATGCAGATGTAGGTACGCAGTGTGTGTCAGAATATATCTGTAACTGCCTGTAGCTATAGTTAGTGTAGTTATTATAAACTTTGTTTGGTGGTGCACCTTCTTTGTTTCTTTGCTATATGTTATTGCCAACCTATAGTGAAGCCATCTTTCTCCTCTCTCAATTTTCTCGACATTCTCCTTACCCTAGAACTCGATCTACTAAGAACCTAAACCATGGCTCCTAAGCCAACCTATGCCTAGACTTCAACATGGTATCAGAGCAAGTACCTTCCTGCTGCCTTCTTGCTTCCGCTGCCTATCGTCCTGCCGCGCGCCTCGGGCGCGCGGCTTATTGGCGCACGGCGATTTTCTGCCCGCCGTGTGCTCGTGGCGCACGGCGGTTTTCTGCCCGCCGTGCGCTCTGGGTGCGCGGCGTCTTCCTGCCCCGCGCGCGGCCATTCTCACGCCGCCTGCCCGCCTGCCTCATGTCCACGCGCGGGCCTGTTTTGCCCGCCCGTACCCTCCAATTCGCGGCGCCCTGCGAGGCGCCGCTCCTGCGGGACCCGGGCGTCGCCGCTCCTGCTCGTCACGACGCCCCTGCAGGACCCGCACGGCGTCGCCGTGCTCGTCGTCACACCACTACGGGACCCGCGGGGCGTCGCCACAGCTTGTCGCGGCGCCCCCAGGACGCCGCCCCTACTCGTCGCGGTGCCCCTGGGGCGTCGCCCCTACTCGTAGCGGCACCCCTTGGGCGCCGTTCCTACTCGACGCGACGCCCTCCTCCCTGGCCACCGCCTCTGCCTCACCTGCGCCCGCGCCAGCGTTGCAGCCGAGCGCGGGCCTACCTTGCCCCAGCGCCGCCCCTGGACCTCAGCAGCAGCCCCTGGAGCAGCCGCCCCAGCAGCAGCAGCCCCTGGAGCCGCCGCCCCTGGAGGCGCCGGCACTGCAGCGGCCGCCCCAGCAGCAGCAGGGCCTGGAGCAGCCGCCCCCAGCAGCAGCAGCCCTTGCAGTGGCCGCCCCAGCAGCAGCAGTGCCTGGAGCAGCCGCCCCAGCAGCAGCAGCCCCTGGAGCCGCCGCCCCAGCAGCAGCAGCCCCTGGAGCCGCCGCCACTGCAGCGGCCACCCCAGCAGCAGCAGCGCCTGGAGCAGCCGCCCCAGCAACAGCAGCCCCTGGAGCAGCCGCCCCAGCAACAGCAGCCGCCCCTGGAGCCGCCGCCCCAACAGCAGCAGCCCCTGGAGCCGCCGCCACTACAGCAGCCGCCCCAGCAGCAGCAGCGCCTGGAGCAGCCGCCCCAGCAGCAGCCCACGGCGCCGACCCCACAGCTGTATGCACCGCCGCTCCTGGACTCGGTAAGGCTGCCCGTGCCTGTGCTGCCTGTTGCCGCCCGTTGCTGCCCGTGCCTGTGCTGCCCATTGCTGCCCGTGCCTGTGCTGCCCGTGCCTGTGCTGCCCGTTGCCGCCCGTTGCTGCCCGTGCCTGTGCTGCCCGTTGCTGCCTGTTGCTGCCCGTGCCTGTGCTGCCCGTTGCCGCCTGTTGCTGCCCGTGCCTGTGCTGCCCGTTGCTGCCCGTGCATGTGCTGCCTGTTGCCGCCCGTTGCTGCCCGTGCCTGTGCTGCCCGTTGCTGCCTGTTGCTGCCCGTGCCTGTGCTGCCTGTTGCCGCCCATTGCTGCCCGTGCCTGTGCTGCCCGTTGCTGCCCGTTGCTGCCCGTGCCTGTGCTGCCCGTTGCCGCCTGTTGCTGCCCGTGCCTGTGCTGCCCGTTGCTGCCTGTTGCTGCCTGTGCCTGTGCTGCCTGTTGCTGCCTGTTGCTGCCCATGCCTGTGCTGCCCGTTGCCGCCCGTTGCTGCCCGTGCCTGTGCTGCCCGTTGCTGCCTGTTGCTGCCCGTGCCTGTGCTGCCTGTTGCCGCCCGTTGCTGCCCGTGCCTGTGCTGCCCGTTGCTGCCCGTGCCTGTGCTGCCCGTTGCCGCCTGTTGCTGCCCGTGCCTGTGCTGCCCGTTGCTGCCTGTTGCTGCCTGTGCCTGTGCTGCCTGTTGCTGCCCATGCCTGTGCTGCCCGTTGCTGCACGTGCGTGTGCTGCCCGTTGCTGCCCGTGCCTGTGCTGCCAGTTGCCGCCCGTTGCTGCCCGTCCCTGTGCTGCCTGTTGCCGCCCGTTGCTGCCCGTGCCTGTGCCGCCTGTTGCCGCCCGTTGCTGCCCGTACCTGCGCTGCCCGTTGCCGCCCGTTGCTGCCCGTGCCTGTGCTGCCTGTTGCCGCCCGTTGCTGCCCGTGCCTGTGCTACCTGTTGCCGCCCGTTGCTGCCCGTGCCTGTGCTGCCCGTTGCCGCCCGTTGCTGCCCGCGCCCTTGTGCGCTCTGCTCTGCCTGCGCCCTCGTGCGCTCTGCTGCTGCCCGCGCCCTCGTGCGCCGTGCTGCTGCCCGCGCCCTTGTGCGCTCTGCTCTGCCTGCGCCCTCGTGCGCTCTGCTGCTGCCCGCGCCCTCGTGCGCCCTGCTGCTACCCGCGCCCTTGTGCGCTCTACTCTGCCTGCGCCCTCGTGCGCTCTGCTGCTGCCCGCGCCCTCGTGCGCCCTGCTGCTGCCCGCGCCCTTGTGCGATCTGCTCTGCGTGCGCCCTCGTGCACTCTGTTCTGCTCTGTCGTCCCTGCCCCCCCCCCCCCCCCCCCCCCCCTTCTTCGTCTCCTTGCTGCGCGTGCAGCCGTGGAACGGAGGCTATGGGGGTGGCGGGTATGGGGGTGATGGGTGTGTGTGTGATCCCCTTCCCCTCCTCCTCCTTTCTCTCCCACTGCTGCAGCTGCCGCTGAGGGGGGGTGGGTGTGAGGGTGTGGGGGAGCTGGGGGAGAGGTGCTAGGGTTGTCAAGGAGTGTGGAAGGGGGAGTTGGAGGACTGAGGAAGGTTCCAGGAAGCAGCCGCCTTGGAGCCAGCAGCTTCACCTGCCAGCAGCCTCTCCTCATATAGTCCCTCCTCCTCACTTGCCCTCTCCTTCTGCTGCGCATGGTGTACCCGTTCAGGGGGTGTCTCTGCATTAGCTTCTGCTGTAGGCAGTTATGGGGGAGTGTCAGAATATACCTGTATCTGCCTGTAGGTATAGTTAGTGTAGTTATTATAAACTTTGTTTGGTGGTGCACCTTCTTTGTTTCTTTGCTATATGTTGTTGCCAACCTATAGTGAAGCCATCTTTCTCCTCTCTCAACTTTCTCGACATTCTCCTTACCCTAGAGCTCGATCTACTAAGAACCTAAACCATGGCTCCTAAGCCAACCTATGCCTAGACTTCAATAGTGTGAACCGGTGCAGTGGTGGCAGATTCAGCTGTAGCAGGTATGGCGGCGGCAGCTGGACCTCACTCCAGCCACCCCATCACCCTCTTCCCCCACAATAGCAAGTGTGGTAGTAGGAGAGAGGTTGAGGGGGAGGCGGCTGCTGCTGAAACACGAGAGGCGGCTGCTGCTGCAACACATCGCCACCCATTCACCCTCCCCCCCACAACAGCAGGCGCATCCGTGAGAGGGAGGGGGCGGGCTGGCGTTGTAGGTGCAACCACCCCCCTCCCTCTCCGCCACTTCCGCATCCCTCCCAACACCCTTCTCCCCACCCCCCCTCCCCTCCAAACTGCTGCACGCGAAGAAGGAGAGGGAGGAGAAGTGGGCAGGGTCGGGCAGCAGGGACGACGGGAAGCAGGGCGGGGCGTCCGCGGCGACGGGCAGAAACCGACGCGCGCCCGGGGCGCGCAACGAGCACAAACCGGGCACCCGACGGGCAGAAACCAACGCGCACGACGGGCAGTGTGACGGGAAGGTGCGCTGCATGACGGACATCGCGACAGAGGTCCTTAGGAACTTGCGGCTCTAGATACCATGTCAAAATAACCTAGGCATAGGTTAGGAACCATAGTAACCATGGCTAGAAGGTTACTCAAAAAAGAGGGGTTTCATGAAGAAACAAGGGTACAAGATCTAGGCAAGAACAAGCAAGACAAAGAGATGCACCACCACCAAACAGAATAAGGTAACTACACTAATATTACAAAAAATTATACAAAATATAAAGATTATATAAAATATAAAGAACATATTTTATATCGCATGTTCATGAAGTGATATGAAGTGTGGCCTTCAATTATTGCACTGTTCCTGTTCCATTCGAGCCATGCTGTGCTGTTCCACAAGCACCTTGCTCTGTGTGTGTGTGTGTGTGTGTGTTTTTTTTTTTTTTTTTTTTTTTACATACAGAATACCTTTTAAGACGAATAAAAAACGCAGCAATAGAGCAAAACAACGCAACTTCAGTGAGTGGAGTTGGAAATAGAGTGACATAGGGAAGGGAAAGAAAGGTGATAAAGGAGTATAGATAGTGACCTAGGGCAGGGAAAAAGAGGTGATGAAGGAGTGAAAGTGCAACCAACACGTAGGGAACCCCATCTAGTCGCCCCATCAAGACAACCCATCAAGATACTTCATCAAGACACCCCATCAAGACACCCCATCAAGACACCCCGGAAAGACACCACATCAAGACCCCCCATCTAACCCCCCCTCCCCCCCTCCCAACCCATCATCTACATCCGCATGTCCATCAAGTAGGGCGCATCCGCCCACGGAACATCTTGTTTGACATCCTCTTCAAAATTATCCCGCTCCACCCAAACAACGACAAGGCCTCTCATCATCGATGAGCGCGTAACAAGATCACACGCGCCTAAGCTCGCTGCAAAGCCACCCCTACGGCTGCTCTAAGTGACCCGAGTAGATACGCCGAAGAACCATTTCCCGTGGCCTTCTCCGCTCCTTTCGTCTTCACTACCTCAATCTGCGCCTCGCCCTGTTTCTTAAGCCACCTTCCAAAGCTCCCTTCCAGACATCCCCAGGTCTCTGAGATGAGAGGTGTGAACTGTACTCCCCTATGCCGCTGCAAAAGTGATTCGTAGTTCGCCGCTTTCCGCTTTTCCCTCTCCCTAGCCGCAAAGCCCACCTAGCGACCAATCTGTCCGTGGTGCTGTGCTTACAGAGAGATAAGGTCTACAACACTAACCTCCAGCGCATGCTCCTCCCCCACCCTCACTCCCCGAACCGCCAAATCCACTTTCTTCCCTGGCAGCAACGTGACATCCTCCATAGTCACAACCCCACCCGACCCTTTAGCTATCTTCGCCACCACGAACTTAACCGCGTCATGAAGCCTAGAATGTGCATACTGATGCTTGCATCGGAGGGCATGATGGGGATCTGAAGGATAAACAAACTCAGCCCCACAGGCGTACTTGCCGGCGACTATCAGCTGCTGGATAGGGAGGCCCAGGCGCATGGCCGCACAAATGCTCCACCCGGCTGCGGTAAACGTAGCATCGTCTGTTAGAATCATAAGCATAGTGAGAACAGTGAGGAGCCATAGCTAGGGTTTAGCTAGCTAGGCAAGAGAGAAATGAACAAAGGAGGGGTTTCACTAGCAGCAGTTGGGATACATATAGCAAACCCTAACAGGGTTGTACTCGCTATAGAGCACCCCACTACAGGCTAGATAATAACATCCTGACACACCCCCATAGCCAAAGTGGGGTGTAATCAGCAGAGCACGCAGTCATAGAGCAGGTTCACAAATGCAAGCAAAGCTAGAGGCTATCACAGAGGGCAAGTGAGAAGGAGGAGGAACTGTGGAAGCAGAGAAGATGGGAGGCAACGACTGAAGCTGCAGAGGCACGGGCACAGGAGCGGCTGACTCAGTGGCTACCGAAGCAAGGGCGACAGACTACTGGAGTGACTGGCTCCGCAGCAAAGACGAGCGGCAGGAGCAAGGACCCACTGGCGACTAGTGCAACAGGCTCACTGGCTACCGAAGCAAGGGCGACGGACTACAGGCGCTGCAGGCGACACGACAGCTACCTCCACACAACCTCCTCCAACTGACCCACACCCTTGACACACACCCCCTGCTGAACCCCTAACTCCACTCCCACGTAACCCCCCTAGCACCACTCCTTCGGCTCCCACACACCCACCCCCCTGAGCTGCAGCTGCAGCAGCGGGAGACGGAGGAGGAGGAGGAGTAGTGGAACGGCGCACAGAAACTGCACCCCCATACCCCCCACCCCCAAACCCTAATTCAGGAGAACGGGCAGCAGCAGGGGTGGGGCACCGTCAGAAGCACGGGGGACAGCGAGCAGCTCAGGGGCAGAGAGGAACGGGCCGCCCACGGGCCTGGCACTGCCCGACGAACCGCGCGCAGGCGGCCCGAGCCGCGCACGGGCCTGGCGCAGCCCATACAGGCCGCGCGCGGGCCTGGCGCAGCCCGTACGGGCCGCACGCGGGCCTGGCGCAGCCCGTACGGGCTGCGCTCGGGGCTAGCGCAGCCCGCGCTGGCCGGGACGGGCGACGGGGGACGACGGGCTGGTCCCTGTCGCCCGTCGAAGCGCCCCCCGGGGGTGACGGGCGGACTGACGAGGCAGAAAGCCGCCGCGCGCCTCGGGGCGCAAGGCGGGCAGAGAACCGCCGCACGCCCCGGGGCGCACGGCGGGCAGAAAACCGCCGCGCGCTCGGAGCGCGCGGCGGGAAGAAAAATCCGTCGCACGCCACGGGGCGTGCAACACACATGGTAGCAGCGGAAGCAATTAGGTGGGCCCACAGGCCAGGAGCGTAGATGCTCTGATACCATGTTAGATTCATACGCATAATGAGAACATTGAGGAGCCATAGCTAGGGTTTAGCTAGCTAGGCAAGAGAGAAATGAACAAAGGAGGGGTTTCACTAGCAGCAGTTGGGATACATATAGCAAACCCTAATAGTGTTGTACTCGCTATAGAGCACCCCACTACAGGCTAGATAATAACATTCTGACATCGTCATGCGAAGGAATGGCAGAGACCCACGCCCCCGCCCCCAGACCCTAAAGAGATGTCAAACGGGCCAAGGTGGCATCGTCGTGGGCCATGCCTCGAAGAGACTGCAGACTCTCGACCGTTAAGCGACGGTGTTGCGTAGAGAAAAGCAGCAGTAGGGGGTCAGCGGTGCACAAGGCAAGGGGCGACATCTCCTGCCTGTTTTAGAGGACTCTCTTCTAATTTGTAGGAAAAAGGATTTGCACTAAACGATAGAGCACTCTGCTAGCTTTCTAACGAGCCGTATATCACCTCGATCGCCTAAGTATCGAGCGAGATATATGCGTTTACGTGCTAGGTAGTGCTCTTGGAATGTAGGATAGGAGCTCTCTGGAATTGTCAGAACATTATAGCTTATACTTTTGTGTAGGCTGTAGTGGGGTATCCCATAGGGGGTACAACCCAATTAGGGTTAGTACTTGTACCCACTTCATTCATAGTTCATTCATTCTCGTTTCTTCTCATGGTATCGAGCAGGTTCCCTCGTGGGAACTGATCCTAGGGCCCACCATCGATATTTTTTTTTCCTGCCCGAAGCGCGCTCCGCTTAGGCCCGAGTCGCGCCTCGGGTCCTCTCTCTACTGTCGCGGCCTCCCTCGAGCCGCCCTTGCTCGGCCGTCGCTGCCCTTAGCGGCCCGTCGCCACCCTACGCGGCCCGCCCGCCGCCCTTTGGACGCCCGTCCCGGCCACGTGCGCTGCCCGTCCCGTGCGCCGCCTGTCGACGCCCGTCCCGGCCCCGTGCGCCGCCCGTCCCGTGCGACGCGGCCTGTGCGCCGCTCGTCCCGGCCCTGCGCCGCCTGTCGCCGCCCGACGCGGCCCCGTGCGCCGCCTGTCGCCACTCGACGCGGCCCGCGCGCCGCCTGTCCCGGCCCGTCGCCGCCCGACGCGGACCGTGCGCCGCCTGTCCCGGCCCGTCGCCGCCCGTCCCGTCGCCGCACTGCCCGTCGCC